TGTTTGTAAAGGAAAAAGAACATGATATACCCATTCAACCCAAGACAAGAAATAATCCTTTCAAATAAATTGCATGACTCATAAGCCAAGCTAATATAGTTCAAGGAAAGCGAAATCACCTTAAAGAATCTTAAAATTTTACTAAAATAAAAAAATAATTTTCCCCTTAATAATGATATTATATAAATTATATCCAAGTCTTTATGGAAAGAATCTATTTAAAAATAAATATTTTTTTGGATTATGACTTTAAAATTTATTTGATTAATACAATTTTCATATCTTTTTATAATCTTAATAAATTTGTACATCAATTTTTACATACTAAAAGTTATTCTAAATTGAATGAGGAATTTTGAAAAAATACTGATATTATATATATACAAATAAATCTTGATAATATTAAAATTAAATCATGAAAGCCACTTATGAATTATATTGGTTATTGGAATTATTAGTCACATTAAGGTTAATTATATCAAATTAAATTGAATACAAAGTTCTCTTAAGTGCATTATCTTAGCATCACATAATAGAATATACTTATTTCCAACAACAAAATGATAATATAGTACCATCATTCAAAACAAAAATCTAAATTAGATGGACATAGTAGTTATGTTTATTCAGGATACTACTCATGCCTTAACATCCTATAAATGGATAGACTTATCATCTCTACCATTACAAAATGCTAAGTTACTTTCTCGTGAGAGTAGCATACTGACAAGACAGCTCCAATATGACCATCTAATTTTGCTTTTTGTTATCAAATTTTAATATCACATAGTCGTATAGACTTCCTCTAATCCTTTTTAAAATAGATTCTGTCAAGTTTCCAAATATATTTTTTTTTCCTTCTCATTTTTATAAAATAGGTGCTCATCAAATAGTTTATAAAACACTCATCCAAACTCGCTATACATGATTGGGCCCTTTTTGAAAACTCCTAAGATTGTTTAAACTATTTTGCGGATTCCTTAAAAATAATTATTTAAAATAAGATATTTTCCATATAAAATCCTATTGCCTTTATATTAGAATAAATTAAATATCAATAATATATGATTGTATAGTTATTTAAAATTTATTAGAAAAAAAAAGTTTAAAGGGAGAAATCAAAATTTATTTTTTCATCTCAAAGGTAGATATGAAGAGAGCTTTCTCAATTTAAATACATGCATTTAATAGAGATACTCATTCTATTCAATATAGGATTACTCTTATTGATATTATATAAAATTTCTGCTTAAAGCATCTATTATATGTAAGACTTTTGATTTCATTAACTCAAAGAAATCCTAGGCAATTTATAATTTCTTTTATCTAATTATTTTAATAATCACATAGAATTTTCTATATCTTTTTATAAAGCTTAACCTTATACAAATCTTCTTTACTTTCAAAATCTGATAATTCTTATAAATTGCATGAATTCTTATTATGAATGAAATCCTTGCTTATTAAATGAAATTACTTCTATAACTTATTTCTTAATTAAATAGGTAAACCACTAAAATCTTCCTTTTTAATAGTTTTGAATATTTTATCTTTGTTATTTATCAAAGAGATATTTAAGTTCCTGATATTCTAGATAGATTTTAGTGGTCTCACTAGGTTATGGAAGTTTTTGATTTCTCAAAAATCATAAATCTAGAATTATCATTTTTTGAATCATTTTTGGTAAAAAATGACATAATTATAATGAGTTTTATAAGTCTATACTTATCTAAGAATATTTGACTCTCCTTTACAGATTCTTAAAATGTTTCCTTCAACTTGTTTTTATTAAGCTTGATATTTAATCCTTTAAACATTAAACAATGCCTTAGGCAACCTTTGTTGCATTTTTCCAATCTATAATATTTTCTTCCTAAATGACTTTCTATTTGGCATGATCTCTTTACAAAATCATAATATTATTAATCATGATCCAATTGAAACCTATTATATTATTGTTTTGCAAGTCAATAGATGATATTAGTAAATATTTTTCTAAATCCAAGATACTAAATATGAAAAAAATAAGTTTAAGAGGTTATATAATCTCAACCTAACCCCAAATTTATTCTCCTTTAAAATCAATATCATAATCAAATTCTAAATTGATAAATTCAATGCTTTTGTATTTATTGATCTTTTTACTCCAGAAATTAAGCCTTTTGAACTATATCTAAATTTTTTCTGATATATTCTGAATAAGAGCAACTGTATTGGCTATATATACTTCAATATTAATCTATAAAATCGCCAACAAGTATTGTAACCCTTCTAAGTATTGCAAATTATCGATTACACTCTCTTAAATGTTATCTACAATTGACTAATCTAATTAGGGTTAAGATTATGTTAAAATATCGAATTTTAATCAATTAATATCAATTTGAATTGTTTTATTGATTTAATAAAAACAATTCCTCCAGATTAATTCTTTTTTTAAATATATCAGCGGAGCCTTTTGTAGAAGCAAATGAAATATTTTATTACACAAATAAATTTATTTTTAAATTGACAGCCTAAAGAATTCTCTGAAACCAGATCCTTTGCTTTTAAATAATCAAAAAGCGCTAAATCTTATAAGATATATCGTATTCATTACTTGTATTACAATGAGATTTTAGATCTTTAGTATTCAATTGAATGGCCATTCCTAAATCGAGGAGATTTTATTGATTATTTCCCTCATATTTAATTTGCCTTCTAATCAGGGTAGAATATTTTTATTACTAATACTATAATAAGAATTACCTTAATATTAAATTATTGAGTCTATTATACTCTATATTTCCCATTACCAAATATTTAGAACCTATTGAGATAAAATATTTATGAGTATGCTTGTATAAGCAATAACATAAAAAGTAAATAAAATGGACTTTACAAAATCTTTGTGTGTCTAATCTATATTTCTTAAAGTACTCCTAATCAAAATAAATTATTGATTATTTTTTTATAAAAAAAATAATCAATAATTTATTTTGATTAGGAGTACTTTAAGAAATATAGCATTGTTATAATCTATAAGTGCATATTTTTTATTTGTAATTACATCATAAAAGATTCCTACCCATCTATAAAGACTGTTATCTCTGTTAAATTAGGCTAAACTATTCATAGGGTTGAATGCCTCTTCTTAATTTCCAATTTATTTAAATACAATTCCTATTCAATATTATTTTTGATTGCTACTTTTTTGATTTTTAAGATCTAATGGAAGGGGCTATATTCTAATCCTCGAATGCCTATTCATTATTCCAATCTAATTCTATGGAAATCCTATTTAATATAATATCTCTATTACATCTATAAATATATAATTTAACACTCATTAAGATCCAATAGAATTGTTGCTTCTTCGTTATCTCTTATGAAATAATATTAAATTTCTTTCTATAGAATTATTTCATTACAGCTATTATGATAAATTTTAGGATCTATTCTAAATTTTCTATCTCATTATATCTATATCACTCCTCTTAATAATTTATTATTTTACCTTTGTTATAATCAATTTTGAGTTCAAAGTTCTAATTGAATGGTATATTAAAATTTAAAAAAGCCTATTCTTTACTTCCCTATTTTTTATATACTTATTCAAATTTATTAATTGAATGGCTTCCTATTTTAGTAGATTTTAGAATAAAAGGATCCAATAGAATGGTCTTATTCATATCTATGAGTTGATATTCATTATTCATCATTTTATGAAATAATACTCATGACTACATATTCTAATATTATTTCATTTAATTACTAGTTGAAGATTAAATAACTATTCATAAATATCGTACACTTAACCATTCTCTAAATTTACTATTATTCACAGTTTATTTTTATTAACTCATTGATATAATTTACATATCATATATTCTGTTATTCATTAATAATATATCTTTCTTAATTGTTTGTGAATCTTTGTAGCATTTGCATCATTTAAATCATCATTCTTCAAGTATTCTTATTTTGAGTATAATATTCTGATAATTTCAATATGTTAATCACTTCATCTTTTTACTAAATGAATTATCAATCAAAGAAGGATCTAACACAGCTTAATCAAAAAAAAGAGATAATATTCTTTATAATACTTTTCAGTTTGTTTAAGAAGTATTCATATTAAAACTTCTCTCTTTCCATAATGTCAGATTTAATATTATTCAAATAATCTCGAGATTAAGCAAATCATTTTCAAACCTTAAAAATGGAATCTCCCTAATCTATATTATGATTATTCTCCTTATCAACCATATATTATGCTCTTATTTAATTAATTGCATTTCTAATTTTAATTAACTCACACATATATTAATTAAACCAAGAGATAATTTGCTCCTATTCATCATTAAGTATTTTTTCAACACATATCTACTTATTATGGTATCCTTTTTAATGATCTAAGAACTTTATATATTATTTTTTGTTATAAAGATAATTTTATATTCATATAATCTTTTAGACTTTAATGTGATTCAATTTACAAATGAAATATGAAGTCATTATAAAAAAAATATCTATTTTAAGATTAACTATCAAATTATAATTAATAGAATTTGAATTTCTAGACCTATTTTTATAAAGAATTAACATAAATAAATCTCAAATTCTATTATTAGCTATTTTATGATTAATCCAAATGTAGGCAACTCTATTTTTATAGAAGGGAATATGTTTACAAGACTTTAATAAACTAATATGTAAGGTCCTCAATTAAATAATGATATTGTACATTTGATTGGGAATCCAAAATAACTATTTATCTTAAAGTAATACAATAAAATAAGGACAAATGAAATACAGATTCTTAGGCTAATTAAAGGATTATAAAATGAAGAATAATCTAAATGTCAAAATATCATTAAAATAATTGGTATACAGGAGAAGTAAATATAAAACTAACTGACTTTATAAGTAATTTTAGAAAAAAGTGAAGATAATTGCGAAAATTTGATTTCTGCAAAAACCATTAGTTTAGTCTAAAAACTAAATATATTTGAATAAGTAAACTCAATATTTTATTAAGATGGTAAAAGGAGTGATATAATTACAAGAATTAAGCTGTTATCTTAAAGATTTGAAACCAGAAAACTTTGTCTATTTTCAAGATAATAATAACAATTATGTAATCAAATTAATAGAATTTGGTTTTCTAAATCAAGAGTCTAATCTAATATCTCAAATCAAGTCTTTAAAATACATAGCTCCTGAAGTTTTGATAACATAGGGAAATTATAATATAAATACAACTAATATTTGGAGTCTTGGAATCATATTATATTAAATAGTTTCATCTCAACATTTTTTCTAATGTATTTTATTCATTCATTTTTAGCTATGAATCAATAAGAATTGATACAATAAATCAATTCTTTAACTTAAGAGTAGATAAATAGTAAAATAAACTAAATTTTGAATATAGGATAACCAGAAAAAGATTTAATTTCTTCAATGTTATAAAAAGAAAGTTAACACAGACTTAAATTATAAAGTGTGTTAGAACAAATATAGATTAATTTACCAATAATAAAGGAATAAGAAGAAACAAGACAATTAAAATTCGTAAAAGAGTAATATCTAATATTTCTTAGAAATGCAAAATAAAAAAATAATTTATAAGCCCCTTAAATTAAACTCATCTCAGAATAATTTAAATTTTATTAATTTATTTATAAGTAATTTTAAGGACAGGGTTAGATTTCAAATTTGATAAAACGGAATTAAGATATTTCAGAAACTATCTAATAAATAGAATAATAGGAGAGCTCAAATTAATAATTTGACTCAAGATAACATGAAATTACTGTTTATAAAGAATTTAATGAAAAGCTTAAATAATGTTTATATGATTTCGATAATTCATTCAAAAATTCAATTCGTGATGCAAATTAATTTATTTAAAGAATCGATAAAGACTATATGGAATTTCATAATAGATAGATTAGGTCCTGTAAAGAATAATTAACAAAATAATCAGAGAAATTCTAATAGTTTTCTAATTTACCAACATATGCAAATATTATTAATTAAGTTAATAAAAAGATAGAAGAATATTTTGTATAATTAACAAATCTAGAATAATTAATAATTTAAAGAACATAGCAGGCTTATTAAAAATACGAGCAAATTTATAAATAGATTCAGCAATAATTAGTAGATTTCTATTAAGAAAATGATGAAAATGTTAAAAAAATTTTACTTTCAATTTAAATTGAAAAAAAAAAGGAAGAATGGAGAAAAAATTAAGATTAGGTATAAGCCTAATGGAAAATATGTGTAGATAACACGCCTAAATTAAAATAATAAATGATATAGTTGATAAATAATCCAATATGCTAATCTCTTAAGAAAGTGATAGATGAAAAATTTTTATAATTAGATTAAGAAATATCTGAAAATGAAAATTTATTTAATAGTTATAAAAATTTCAATTAATTCAATTGTGTTGAAGCTATTAATTGGTAGATTTAAATATTGGAAAGCTTTTAGAAAAAATTAAAGGAATTATATTTGAATCAAACAATATAAGTAGGCCAATTATAAAGTTATTCCAATAATGTATAAGAACTATAAAAAAAGTACACACTATTTTAATAAGCTACATAATCAATTAATTGTAAATTTCCAAATTATTAATATTTTATTAAAATTCATCAAGAAAATGAAAAACATCATCAATAATTAGAATAAGAAATAAAGGTTTTGTAAGAATATTTAATGCATTAAAATGAAAATGAGTAGCTATTTATAGAAGCCTTAGAGAATATGAAAACCAAAAAATAAAGTTAAAAAAAATTAGAAATTGAAAAAAGGATCAGTAAAAATCAAGAAATTAATAAATAATAGGGTTAGATATTATCTGCTGTTTTGTAGAAAGTGTCTAAATTATAATCAGAATTAAAATTTACTGTTTAAGATCACAATCTAATTATGGATTAGGAATAGTTAAATATACTAAATAATGCATTATAAAATGAAATAAATATGATGAATCAAAAGATATCTAATTAAATATTTAGCATTTAATAATTAACTCAATAAATGATAGAAATTTCAAAGTTAAATACTAAAATAGATGATTAGATGAAGAGAATACCTTAGAAGTAGATAGTTGAAGATTTTATCAACAAATTTTAATAAAATTAAGACTCATATGAAAAATAGTATGCTTTAGTTAATTATATAAAATTATATCACTTAACAAGATATATTAATAGAATCAAATAAAAACCAAATATAATGGATTAAGTAGAAATAACCAAATACGAGAAGGAGACTAAAGGTCTATTATAGAATTATGAAAATTATTTATTTAATAATAAAATTTAAATAAAAATTGAAGAAATGGAAATAAATAGAAAAGAACTGGAGTAACAACTTGAAAAATTAGAAAAGAAATTAGAATAATAAAATTATGATTCATTATCCGAAAGGTTGAAATTTGAAAAATAGATAATTGAGACCTAATGGAATAATTAATTTTATAAAATAACTGATTTTACGTAAATGATAAGATTAAATAAAATAAAAACAGAAATTTAATAAGTAATTCAAGAAAAATTTAGAAATCAATTATGATTTAAATAGTCAAATTTTATAATATAATTATACATGATTATATAAATTGTATTATTTTTTATATATATAATATAAACAATAATTATATATTTTTATATTTATTATTTAAATTAGACTATTTTGTTTTTGAAATATGAATAATGTAATAAAATGTTGTAAATAGAATAATCCTCAAATTAAAAAATTTGATTAGTACAATTAAATTATCGTTTTCTTAAAATAAAGAGAATTAATTCTACATTTAATAAGTTTTATTTGATGGACCATAAGTTTATGTAAATTTTGACTTAGATTACCTTTTGGTGTTTAAGGAATCATTTAATCTTTAAATCAAAATAATTTCATTAAAAAAGCTTTAGTCATTCAAATATATTTAATACTTCTTTATATTTTTCAGGATAATTAAGTATATAGTGAAGCATATGATAATCATTATTGTGCTTGAAGTATTTTGAATTGAGATTCTGTATAATTCAGGCTTCTGTAAATGATTTTTAGGATATAGGAACCATTAAAATTATTATAGATTGATTTTATGGAAAGTAATTTTTATTTGGAAGGTTAAAAGAGGGTTTTATAAAAACAAGATAGTTAATTTAAGAAACTTAAAACGTAAAATTAATAGAAATGTAAATTCAATAATTTTTTAGAGGATGATTTATTGATCAAATTAAGTATAAGATTTGCAGAAATTCATATTATTAAGCTAATAATTATTGAATTAATTTATTGTTATTTATATATTAATAATTTGTCATCCTTTTATGAAATTAAATATGAATAGGATTTACACATTAATTTATAAAATTGTTAATTTTAGTAGATTAAAGAAGAGAGAATAAAAATCACATTTATATACTTCACTTATTTAATATCTCATATGATGAATATATTTCATATTTATTATCCAAAAATACTAAATATTATCCATTATTGGTCTTAGTTCCATTAGATTTATGAGTTTAACAATCTAATGATGTATAAATATTAAATGTGCCATCTTTTAATTGTCTAATCAAATAGATATGACGTTTATGTCTTATCAATATTATATTTCTATCTTTATTATTTATAATGGGAAATAAATCATTATCTTCATATTCATCTTTCTTAATTAAAGTTATAGTTTTATTTGAATTCTATTTAAATACCCCATTTTATAATTCAAATATCAAAATATCATTCATTTCTATCTTTTTCCAAAGAAATTATTAATTATTAATGAAATGGATTTTATATCCTAATACAATTTCTAAAGTATATTTGAATTCTCATTTTCCTTATAATCCTTTCTCCCATATTATAAAGTGACTATAACCACACAATGCCAAAAATGTTTCAGATTTATTTAAACTGAGTGATTCAACACTATTGTTATGTATATCTAGTGAATAAAGATATGTCAACTCATTCTTTCTAAAACCTACTTACTAAACTATTATTTTTTCATCACACCCTCCGGAAATAAATTGATCTTATTATTTATTTAATATTAAATAATTAACACGACCAATATTTTATTTGAATGGTTATGAACACTTCCATTCATTTTGTTTAATTTATTGTCAACAGATAATTTGAAAATATCCAAAACCTGAAATAAAATTATTTGTTTCTAAATATAAGAATTAGATAATTTGAATCTTCCTTATTAAAAATTCCAAATTTTAATTATATTACTATCACTTGAAATCATAATTGATTCATCTTTTTTGAACGATATTGCTTAACATAATCCAATCTATTAATATTAATCATCTATTAGTTTAAATTAAACTTATTTGTACATTATCAATTATTATATTGATTACTAATATTAATTCTCCCCTTAAATCACTTGCTTTTAAGTCTAGATGATAATTTTATAATTTACTTATTTAATATTTCATCATATTTTTTACTATCTTAAAATGGTTTAAATAAATTTAGGTACTTCTCAATTTTTGATTCAATTATTAGTTTAATTAATTAATTTTATCTAATAATATTTACTAATTGAATTGATTCACTTTTTCTTTATTATTTAAATTCTCCATATCATCATAAAAACTATAAGCAATATTTTATTATCCATTTATTTTTTTATTTTTTTATCAATTCATCTAAATTACCAATTAATTAATCTAATTATTTTCATTAAATTATAAACAATTGATGTTTCATTTATAAGTATACTAAATATTAAATTCCTAATAGAAGGATAGGAATATATTATAAATTTTAATAGCAACAAGAATATATTTGATTATATATTTATTCTTTATTCGTATTTACATTTTTAATATAATAGAGATAGGTAATTTAATTCTATTTAAATTAAATTAATTTATATAGTTTTCAAAATTAATATAATTAATTTAATATTAATATTAATTTGAAATTTATACGAAAATAACATTCAATTATATCTTATTTTTCAATATATTTAATTAGCAATCTTTTTTTCTAAGGTTTACATTCTTGATTCATAAAGATACTTTTTAATCTCATCAATTATTTCAACTTCAATTGCTAAAAATAATTTGTTTGTTATTATCGAATTTCTATTGTATTTCAAAATAGAAATTTAATTAAAACTGTTTCTAAAGGCTTAGAAGATCATATCTGATAAGAATGAGCTAATCTATTTCTTCATCATGTATCTTCTAAGGTCCTGTTAATGTTAAAAGGAAAAGTTATTATCATTATTATTGAATAAACCTAAACGTTTCATATATTAAACGATGTCATTCAAATAGTACTCATGATTAAAATTTTGCAATTCCTAAATTTATTCGGCTTATTTTTTAAAATTTTCTAATTAAGCTTTATAATTTTCAATTTACTAATAATATAATTATATTTATACCGCTAAAGCCCTTTCTCTATCAAAAAAATTTACAAATTATCTAACCTTAATTTATTCAAATAATGACTCCATATTCTAATGTTATATATCCAAGTTATTACGCATATTCTTAATTTATTCAACTTTAACTTTAACTTGATTAAAAAAATCATTAAATAATATTATTTCTATTGGTTCTGTATATTATTTAACATTCAAATCCTTGCATAATTATTAAAGGCTAGGTTTTATTGATGCTTAATAAAACTATTTGATTGATTAAGGGTTTGATAATTATAGTTAATTACATGCCTTTTGAACTTACCTATTATGAATATTAAAACCTTATCTTAGCATTGACTATATTACATTATTTGTAAGAACTTCTTTTAATTTTTTTTGATCACATTGTTTTTCATAAAAAAGTTCAAGAATGAATAATAATTTTTGAATTTCTTAATCTCTTTAGTAGCAATCAACAATAATATTAGAGAAACATTATAATTCATATTTAAGGGCTTCTTTATATTAGTTATATTGTTGAATTTCATTTTTGACATTATTATACCTTTTATGACTTTCTCTTGAACAAACCTCAATTAAATCATCTTTGATTTTCACTACATCCTTATCCTATTTACATTTGGCTATTTATAATTTAATGTATTTTTATGCCATTTAACAAAAGCTATTTTTAAATCCTACTGTATCTCCACAAGACTATTAAATACATAGTTTAACCAAATCAAAAAGTTCAGAAGATGTTTCTTGACTGATATTTTTTAAACTTTATTATTCACATAAAACTTATTTTGCCAAATTGAGGATACTTGTTTAGGTGTGAGCATTCTATGTAATATCTGATATTTATTTCAATGTGTTATATTAATTTTCTATATTAACCTTTTCCAGATGGGTTAACCAAAAACCTGACTTTTCCAATCCTTCAAATGTAACAGCTGGAATTTATTTTAATACTTCAGTGATTCCAACTTTCTTTAAGGATTTCATCATTGTACCACCAAGTTATAGAGCTTCTTATATACCACCTGGTCCTGCTAAACCTAATGCTGTTGCAATTTTAATAACTTTATTTTAACCCCAAGCTCCCCAATCAATAGGAATTCCTTTCCAAATTGACTTTACTGCCAACATAATGTCTGAAATTCCTTCAGCTATTAAAACCCTTCCTATAGGTAAGGCTGCTCCACAAGTAAATACACATATAGCACATCCTACTACAAATTAAACTACTCCTAGAAAAAACATCCCTAAAGATTCCCAAAAACCTTTTTTCTTTTTGATTTTATATAATTTTCCAAGTTTAGGCAATGGTCCATCTTCTATAACTTCTTATTAATCTTTAATACATTAATTTAAATCAGGATTATTTACTTCATCATAATCAATAACAGGTATCCAATCTAATGAAAACTTTTCATCTTCACCAAGCTTTGATTATAGGGTATTTAGGATATCATCAATACTTTCTATTGCTTTTTAATACACTTTAATATGATTTTTTATTTTTTATTCTTGAGCACTTTCAATTTATTTTATTTCTACTTTAATATTTTGATTGGTTGGCTTAATTTGAGTTTCTTATTCTCTTGAAAATTTTAACAAGGGCATTTGAGTGTTTTCTTTTTAAATCTTTATCTCTGATTATTAAGAATCTTATTCTTATTCTACTTATTATTTAGTATTCTCTTATATTTTACTTAATTTAGAAATTGTTTCAAAACCTAATTCATCATCAATTTTGTTTTGAAATAGGGATTTACATTATATTAATGTTTATACTCCTTCTTCATATTTTGATGAACGTATTAATTAACATCCTTTATAATATTCTGAATAAGGATCATTTATAGCTATCTCACTTGCTTTATTAAATAATTTTATATCTCCTTTTTAGATTCCTTATAATATTAAGTACTTTGGATTTTAAGCTTCATCAGAATTCAATTTTTCTTCAATATCATTTTCATTTAATCCATCATCTTGATGTTCTTCTAAATAAAGACCCCATTTTTCTTCTAGAGCTTTGAAAGCAGCCTTGTCAGTTTTTATGTTTGCTTAGCTTTTAGCAATTTGACAAAACTTTTAAAAGCATTTGTCTTCATTTAATAATTTATTCATCCTTTCTTCAATTTCATTTGAATATTATTACTCATTTAAATCTCTAAAGAATATGAGTATATCCAATTATGTATGATTTAATTTTTATGAATGAAGTTGATAGTAAAGCATCGAATCAAAAACAGTTTTAATTTCTTTTATTGGACCGATATATAGATTTTAATGGAAATAAACAATAAGCTAGGCTGTTCCTTATTTACCTTATCTAGCTGTTCTACCAAATCCTTAAAGTTAGATTCTGATGTTACGTGGTAAAAAAGACATAATCACATGTAGACCACCATTATTTTCTAATTCTTAATTTGTTGTTAAGTCAGTTCCTCTTCCAGCTAAGTTTGTAGCAATAATAATAGTTCCAGGACCAATTTCTTTATTTATTTCCTAATTATCATCAACATATGTAATAGAATCTAAATTATGTTTTTTTAAATGAGCTTCAATTTTATTAACATCATCAATTGTTTGATTGATAATTAAAACAGCTCTCCCTTTACTTTTCTGCTACTAAACTGCTTTTAATATCTCATTAAACCATTCATCCTTAGAAAGAGTTGCTATACCAGGTTCTTCTTTTAATAGTCTTTTTTTATAAGGAGGCATGAAAACAAAGTCAACATTGTATTATTTAGCTAATAAATCCTGTGTAATTTATGAACCTAATGTACCTGTAAGACCTAAAAGTGTATTTTTATATCTTTTAAAGAAACCTACATTAGACAAAAAGTTTGTACTAATTGTTAATGGTGTAATAGGAAGATTGTGTTTCAATTAAAGGAATTGATGTAATCCTTTTTACCATTACATACCATCTTTATGAACCACTCCTGTATTTTAATAATCAATAATTCTAACTTAATTATCAATAAGGTAATGTTTCTTTTCATGTAAATGAAATTTAGCTTATATAGCATTTTCAATCCAAGATTTTTTAATAAAGTTGATATAATTTAGTCTAAATTTAGGTAGATAAGCTTTCATGACTTCATTTATTTAAATATTTAATGTGTTTTCAATATATTCTTACAAGTCTATACTATAATGATCTTATCCAACTGCCATAATAACTTTCAAATCAGTTGAAATATTGTTCTCTATTTTACTAATTTCATCCCAAATTAATCTAAGAACTTTTGTTAAATCTAGCATTCCTGGATTAGATGAGCTTAATATTGTTTTATTACTATTTCCATCAATTAGCATAGAATCTACTTCATCAACTATAATATATCCTTATTTTCTCTCAAGCATAATTCCTGATTCTGCATATTCATGTCTTAATATATCAGCTTAGAAACTATGAGGATCACCGTATATTATTTAACACTCATAACATGAAATCTGATTTTTTTTCTACTCCTATTATTCATGGATGTTATGAGCTACTGATATTTAAAATAATTCATAAAATTTAGCCAATTCTTAAGCATCTCTAATAGCTAAGACAGGAGAACTAGTAACAATATCCACATTTTACTTTTTCTTTTTACATAATAATATAGCAAGCATTGCTATTATTAAAGTCTTACCTTCTCCAGTATATATCTAAGCTAAACGTCCTTTTTAATCATGATGATTAAATAATTCTAATACTGATAATAATTGAACTGGTCTTGGATAATATGAAAAATGTTATCTTACTCTAGAACATAAAAGTAATAAATCTCCAAAATGTAATTAAGGACTTTTAGAAAAGTCATCAGATTTTTCAAAATATTTTGGATAACCAAATTATCTGTATAATTATTATAGTGTTTAGAAGATATTTTAATCAACTCTCTTATTTAGAGATTCAAATTCTTTAAAAAGTTCTGAAATTTAAATATTCCACTCTAGAGTATTTTACTTATGGATTTCAATATTTTTTTGAAAGAATGATTATGACATGTTAACTTTGTTTTCTACATTTACATTTTCAATTAATTATTAAAATTCTTTAATCGAATTAAATTATTTAGTTAAAGCATTATTAATAACTTCTTTACTTAAATTTTTTGATTATATATATTAGATGATTTAATGTACTTCCAGAGTATTCTTTATTTTTTAATATAATTATTTTTTGATATTCATCAACTCTTAAATATTGAATGATTTTTCTTAAATTTTCTGTTATTATTCAGATTTTTTACAATTAGTAATCTCTTTCTGAATTTGTATCTATAATTATTCCCAATTTTAATTGCATTCCTTAAGATATTTTATAACTTTGTCTGCATTTGCTATTTTCTTTATTTGGTCTTGTAAAATTAACTTTTTATCTTCATCAAACTTCATTTAACTTAAAATTTATGGGATAGTTTAATTTTCTTTATCAGACAAACTTTGATTTTCTTTAATACCTGACATATTTATATTATTATCAACTAATCTTAGATTATTGGGTTATGAATAAACTCTTAATTCTATCAGGATTTAATTTTAATTGTGATATAAATAAGTGATGATCATAAAAGAGAAAGAAGTAATAAAAAAAATAAGAAATTCTCAAAATTTTTATACTTTTTAAAATAGAAAATATTACAAAAGTTTAGCACTTTCTTGGATATAATTATATTTCTTAAGTCTATTTTAATCAAAATGTGATTATTTAATTGCAAAAATAGTTAATTCTATTAAAAATATAAATAGAATTGGAAACTATTTAAATTAAATATTTAATTTCTATTCTAATATTCAAATTCGAATTCAATTTTATTTCAAATTACAAGCTTGTTAAACAATTCAAAATATTATTCTGTAAATTACTTCATTTTTGTTAATTTTATTTATTTTTTATTCGGACCATTGCTTAATCGTTAAATGCTTTTATTAAGGTTATTATAAACTATAATTGTGTAAATATTGCTTTAATTAAATATTTTACATCTTATTGAAATATGGATAGTTAAATTTTCAAAAAAATAATTAAATTCTTTAATAATACTCTAAAAATATTCCAAATATCTTTTTAGTTGATGAATAAAAATTTAGAACTATTACATTATTAAAACAAATAGGTACTCTCATAATGATGAGTAGTTTCCGTTAAAATGAATTAATAAGATCCTTATTCTATCGATTTATACTTACTGAAATTTCTAATTCATATTTTATAATTAATTTAGATAGAGATTCATCATTATTTTTTCAATAAACATTCAAAATTTGATAAGCTAATTTATTTAATTAAATTTAGTTTCTCTAATTCAAATCTTTTCTGTTAGAAAATCTTATTTTGAGATAACTTCTAAAAAAATAAATTTAAAATGTATCCTTCTCATCCCTATATTTTTCTTATTCTTTTTTAATTATTATACTTATTGTTGATATTTGGATAATAGTTAATTAGTATGTGCTTATTATATTAATTTTCAAGACATTTTTACTCTATTTCAAATAGTTACTCATTGAAAATCTCAAATTTTCCTTTTATTAAAAAAACCTTATTTGTTTTGTAAATACTAATTAATATGAGGAAAAAATTTGCATTACTACTTTTTCAATATTTCATTATGTTTATCTGGAGCAGATGATTTATTCTTATTTAATGGAATATTTGCTTTTCTAACTTATTTTGAATGATTGTTAATCAAATTTGTTAAAAGCTCTAAAAGTAAAAGATATGATTTATTTTTTTCAATGTTTTAAACTATAAATCAAGTAATCTCATTCAGTCTTTGAAAAACAAATCGGACTCAGTTTTTTTTTTTTATTAAATGCCAGAAGCTAAAATATAATTTTTAGAAATAATAATAATAATATAAAACTAAATTTAGTGAATATTACTATTAGTTCTGTTACTAAAAATGATTTTAAAAATCTGAAATTAAAAATCATTATTGAATTGGATAATCGAAACGAAATTTAAACAGAAGAATGAATTTCAAATTAATTCAAATTATACTTAAAGGCTTTAAAATTGTAAATATTCAAATAAGAGTGATATATGTTATTATTTAACAGTTTGGAACTTAAAAAGTAGACTAAAATTTCTATAATAAATTAAATTATCAACTATTAGAAAAATATCAATTTATCATTTTATTCATATTTGATTGTATTTTCTAATTTAAATTTCTTTTGAACCTTAATCCCAAGTAATTAAATACTATCCATCATCACTCATACATCCAAATAAATCTAAATGTCCAAATTCAATTTACTATTCTATTCTAAATTCGCCATTACTTATTTTCCTTATCAAATTCACATAATTGCCATTCTTATTTACAATTAGACATTTTGATTTTATATATTAAATAGGAAAAAACCAATAATCAGCTCCACTTTTAACATCTATATCTTTTATCTTTGAATACTATTTATTAATAGTATTCAGTTCATAAACATGCAATTATTGACCACTATATGGTTAAAAAATGAATACATTGTCATTTATAAAGCATATTCTACAACCATATTTCTATACCTTTATTTTTTATACAACAATCCATTTAAAATCCTATTAAGATTGTTCAATTATTAATATTTAATCATCACATCCACATGAAATTACTTTATTCTATTATTTATTCAAGCTTAATCCAAATACATGAGAAGTATGGTCTGTAATAGTTTATAAACATAACCATTAATTCTATTTAATCCAGAATTTAATAGTTTTATCTTAACCACCTGAAATGATAATATCTTCATTATTATTCAATATTAGACAAAGTATCCAACCATTATGATCATTTAATTTTTATTTACAAACCCATTAATTTTTTTCATCCATAGACCATATAATAATTTACGAATCATAACTACCAGATATAAATTCTTTAGAATTCTTCATAAAGTTTAAAGCAAACACATTATTCTAATGTTCATTTAAAACTTAAGTTTATTTCAATACTTCTTATTTGAATTCAAATAATTTGATTACTTTACCACAACCAACAATCACCATTGAACAATCTTAATTGATAGCTATTGCACGACATTTATCTATCACTTTAATAGAATTTTCATGTAACAATTAATAATTGATTGGATTTAAGATTAATTCAAGAGAAGGTTAGAGAATTGGTTATTATTTTTCGGATTATAGTTATTAGATTTATTTTTACATTTCTTAATTAAGACATTCCTATTATTTCTTTAGATGATGGTTCATAGACATTTTGATTAAAGATGTTACTTAATCACTAAGTTAATGACCAAATTATTAATTGTGAATTACTTAAGTCGAAAAACAAGGTAATGAAATATTGTGTTAAAAATCATACGATGATTAAAATCTTTAATTAAGTTACTATTCAGTATCATAAATAATCTAATCAAGCAAATCATCAATTCTTTTATATGAAGACTATAAATATCAATTTATGATATTACATCTATACTTTATTATAATTATAAACAACAGTCTTGTATTGAGGTTTAATAAACCTTACGTATGCTGGGTTCATTAGTTTCTATGTTATTCAATTTGTTAAAGTACATTTTAATTATTTATTGATAAAGATATTTTATTAATTAGTACACACATTTCAATTATATAATATTTAATAATTAGAAAATATACTAAAAAACTACTATTGATTAATAGCTATTAATTTGCAAAGTAGAAATTGTAGAATGACCAGAATCTGAATTCTTCTTTTATAGCATTTTAATGATTATTTAAATTCTAAAGTCTAAAGTAAAAATAAATTAAGGTACAAAAGAATATATCAATATTTAAAATTGATTAAATAGAAATACAATAGTAAATTTGTAAAAATATTTTAAGTAAATTTATAAAAATATATTAAATTTCACTTTTTCTTCATTGTTTTAACCCTTCAACAATTTATGATTATATTTTCTTGTTTCAATCTATTTTTTCAAATATTCTTCTTATAACAAATATATATATAATAAAAAAACACTTTCATTAATTTGTAGAGCTTGATTTGATATGTGAAATAATTTTTCAATTGTTATTGTTCATTCTAAAAAAAGAGCTAAAATTGGTAATTATCTTTCGACCATCAAATTTTATTATAATAATTGATTAGGGTTCAATTCAATCTTAATTCTAAATAGATTTAAAAAAATATAATTTGATTTTACATTAACATAAACTATTGAGTTATAATATTTTAATAAATAATACAAGATATTGATTAATTTTAACAAAATTTACTTGATTTCTTTAAATAACTATCATTATAATATAGAATTATATTAATAAACATATGATAATTAATTCCTTTTTTGTTATTCTTAATTAAAAAAGCATTTAATTTTTGATAATTAATCTGACAAAGAATTTTATTTATGCCAATCTTAGATATTTCTGTTTTTGTAATGGGAGAATAACTTAAAATAATATATTATTTCTTGATCATCTAATTTTTCATTTAAATTCAATTTTATTCAAGAATTATTATAAATATTATTAATACAATATGAAACAGAATAAGGATGCTAAAATAACCAATTAAAGATCTAAATCTGAATCGAATTAAAATGGGCTGAAAAAATTGAAATAACCTAATTATGATTTTCATAAGACTAGGAAGGATGGTGTAAAAAAGGATATTCTTTACCATATTGAAAAATGGAATCAATATCAAGAAAATAGCAAAGAAATTAAAAATTTTTATAAAGACTTAGAATAAGACCATTCATTTATTTAGTGGATCTTCCCTAACTTTTTTAGTAGCATGTTTAATTCTGATAGCTATAGATTAACAATAGAAGAAAGAAATTAAATGATTGAAGATGAAGATGTTAAATATTTATTAATTAATGTAGATTATGAGATTCTATATTAGTAATTACAAAATGTTTTTAAGATTTTTGGGAATTAAATGGAATAATGAGAAGTTAGAATTAGAGAACAAAAATCAATTTAATTTATGTCTTCAAATTAATACTCATAATTAGTTAAGATTAAGGAGAGTATTGGCTTCTTTAAGTGTTTTAGGCTAAAGAAATCTAGCTATATAATTATTAGATTTTTTATATAAGGAGAGCAACAAGCTTTATGGCACATAGTATTTTCTTTATGATTTGGTTCAAGAGGAATAATAAAAATACTAAATCGATTTTCAATCTTAATAAGGTTATTAAGATCTTTAATAAATTAAATAAGAAGAGAAAATAGAAAAAATAAATATAGATTAATTGGCTATGAAATCAAAAAAGATTTAAGATCCTCCTATCAAATTATAAGACGATAAATAAGAAATAGGTGGTGGACATTCAATAAAAGAAATATAATAGAAGTAAGGATTCAATAAAGTTGAAAAGTAATAGTAAAAGGGATTGGAAGAAAAAAAATTAGAAGATAAAATTAAATCAAACTTTAAAAATTAAAATCCTTTGGCAAATAAATAATTTTTAGTTTAAAAAAAACCTAATTATGACCATGGCAAGTATGATAGAGCATAACTGTTATTTAATTTTGATGAAGTGAAAAATAATTATGTGTAGGGAGATTTATTGGATAAAACTTGGGTTACTATAAATTTATTATCCAATAAAAAAGTAGATATTTAACAACAATGAATATAATTAAAAATTACAATAATTAGATCTTAAATTAATGCATCTGATAGACAATTATATAAATTTGAATAATCTTCATCATTCTTTCTTCTAAACATGATTATTTCATCCAATTATATATTAATTTGTTCTACTTTTTAAAAATATTTCCAGCAATTAATTCATTTTATTTCTTCTATCTCTGACTTATGTAAATCAAATTAGAAATTATAATGATTGTCATTTTTTTTCACACCTATAAGAATAGTTCGTTATTATACATAATTAGATATATTAATCAGGTATTCATTTTAAATAAAAAATATTTATTTCAAATTTTAAGGATTATGGGAATTCTTCAAATCCGATGTCTTGATTCGAATAGACCTAATGAAATTTTAATTTTATTTGAGATAAAATNTTCAATTTTATTCAAGAATTATTATAAATATTATTAATACAATATGAAACAGAATAAGGATGCTAAAATAACCAATTAAAGATCTAAATCTGAATCGAATTAAAATGGGCTGAAAAAATTGAAATAACCTAATTATGATTTTCATAAGACTAGGAAGGATGGTGTAAAAAAGGATATTCTTTACCATATTGAAAAATGGAATCAATATCAAGAAAATAGCAAAGAAATTAAAAATTTTTATAAAGACTTAGAATAAGACCATTCATTTATTTAGTGGATCTTCCCTAACTTTTTTAGTAGCATGTTTAATTCTGATAGCTATAGATTAACAATAGAAGAAAGAAATTAAATGATTGAAGATGAAGATGTTAAATATTTATTAATTAATGTAGATTATGAGATTCTATATTAGTAATTACAAAATGTTTTTAAGATTTTTGGGAATTAAATGGAATAATGAGAAGTTAGAATTAGAGAACAAAAATCAATTTAATTTATGTCTTCAAATTAATACTCATAATTAGTTAAGATTAAGGAGAGTATTGGCTTCTTTAAGTGTTTTAGGCTAAAGAAATCTAGCTATATAATTATTAGATTTTTTATATAAGGAGAGCAACAAGCTTTATGGCACATAGTATTTTCTTTATGATTTGGTTCAAGAGGAATAATAAAAATACTAAATCGATTTTCAATCTTAATAAGGTTATTAAGATCTTTAATAAATTAAATAAGAAGAGAAAATAGAAAAAATAAATATAGATTAATTGGCTATGAAATCAAAAAAGATTTAAGATCCTCCTATCAAATTATAAGACGATAAATAAGAAATAGGTGGTGGACATTCAATAAAAGAAATATAATAGAAGTAAGGATTCAATAAAGTTGAAAAGTAATAGTAAAAGGGATTGGAAGAAAAAAAATTAGAAGATAAAATTAAATCAAACTTTAAAAATTAAAATCCTTTGGCAAATAAATAATTTTTAGTTTAAAAAAAACCTAATTATGACCATGGCAAGTATGATAGAGCATAACTGTTATTTAATTTTGATGAAGTGAAAAATAATTATGTGTAGGGAGATTTATTGGATAAAACTTGGGTTACTATAAATTTATTATCCAATAAAAAAGTAGATATTTAACAACAATGAATATAATTAAAAATTACAATAATTAGATCTTAAATTAATGCATCTGATAGACAATTATATAAATTTGAATAATCTTCATCATTCTTTCTTCTAAACATGATTATTTCATCCAATTATATATTAATTTGTTCTACTTTTTAAAAATATTTCCAGCAATTAATTCATTTTATTTCTTCTATCTCTGACTTATGTAAATCAAATTAGAAATTATAATGATTGTCATTTTTTTTCACACCTATAAGAATAGTTCGTTATTATACATAATTAGATATATTAATCAGGTATTCATTTTAAATAAAAAATATTTATTTCAAATTTTAAGGATTATGGGAATTCTTCAAATCCGATGTCTTGATTCGAATAGACCTAATGAAATTTTAATTTTATTTGAGATAAAATCATCAATTAAATAATTATGATAAATCAACTTATATATTAGAATTTCAAAATATTGGCTTATTTAAAATAAAACAAAAAAATGAAGAATGATAATCTTATCTTGATTCGAATCATCATGTTTTCAAACATATTTCTTTACATTATTTAAAAGTTATAACATAATTCAATTAAATATATAAATTAAACATATTACTTAACATTATAAAGAAGTTTTATCATAAATAATTTGAATATGTTTAATTTATATATTTAATTGATTTATGTTATAACTTTTAAATAATGTAAAGAAATATGTTAAATTTATAGTTTATAGATTAAAAATAAAAAAATAGATAGAATTATCAAATTTTAAATTAATATTGAAAGTTTTTTTCTTTTTGTTATTTATAAACAAAATATAAATGGATAAATATGCTATAATTTATTTATGATATTAAATTAACGATTAAAATTATCAGGAGTCTCTCTTTAATTTATCATTATATTATTAATAAAATTACCAAAATATCAGAACTTGTATGATTAATAGATTAAATCATATGTAAATTATATTATTAAATTAATTGAGTTTTCTATTTATTAATTAACTTATTCTAATTACATTATTATTTTCAAATTTTACAATTTAAACTAATTTANTTCAATAAAGTTGAAAAGTAATAGTAAAAGGGATTGGAAGAAAAAAAATTAGAAGATAAAATTAAATCAAACTTTAAAAATTAAAATCCTTTGGCAAATAAATAATTTTTAGTTTAAAAAAAACCTAATTATGACCATGGCAAGTATGATAGAGCATAACTGTTATTTAATTTTGATGAAGTGAAAAATAATTATGTGTAGGGAGATTTATTGGATAAAACTTGGGTTACTATAAATTTATTATCCAATAAAAAAGTAGATATTTAACAACAATGAATATAATTAAAAATTACAATAATTAGATCTTAAATTAATGCATCTGATAGACAATTATATAAATTTGAATAATCTTCATCATTCTTTCTTCTAAACATGATTATTTCATCCAATTATATATTAATTTGTTCTACTTTTTAAAAATATTTCCAGCAATTAATTCATTTTATTTCTTCTATCTCTGACTTATGTAAATCAAATTAGAAATTATAATGATTGTCATTTTTTTTCACACCTATAAGAATAGTTCGTTATTATACATAATTAGATATATTAATCAGGTATTCATTTTAAATAAAAAATATTTATTTCAAATTTTAAGGATTATGGGAATTCTTCAAATCCGATGTCTTGATTCGAATAGACCTAATGAAATTTTAATTTTATTTGAGATAAAATCATCAATTAAATAATTATGATAAATCAACTTATATATTAGAATTTCAAAATATTGGCTTATTTAAAATAAAACAAAAAAATGAAGAATGATAATCTTATCTTGATTCGAATCATCATGTTTTCAAACATATTTCTTTACATTATTTAAAAGTTATAACATAATTCAATTAAATATATAAATTAAACATATTACTTAACATTATAAAGAAGTTTTATCATAAATAATTTGAATATGTTTAATTTATATATTTAATTGATTTATGTTATAACTTTTAAATAATGTAAAGAAATATGTTAAATTTATAGTTTATAGATTAAAAATAAAAAAATAGATAGAATTATCAAATTTTAAATTAATATTGAAAGTTTTTTTCTTTTTGTTATTTATAAACAAAATATAAATGGATAAATATGCTATAATTTATTTATGATATTAAATTAACGATTAAAATTATCAGGAGTCTCTCTTTAATTTATCATTATATTATTAATAAAATTACCAAAATATCAGAACTTGTATGATTAATAGATTAAATCATATGTAAATTATATTATTAAATTAATTGAGTTTTCTATTTATTAATTAACTTATTCTAATTACATTATTATTTTCAAATTTTACAATTTAAACTAATTTATTATAGTTTATGTAAATAATCAAAAATTTAAACAATATTATTTTATACTAATTATACTTTTAGATTTTAATATTTTAATACATCTACCATATTTTTTTACTTTTTACATCATAAATAAATATAACTATAATTATATATTTATTAATTCTACTTTTCAATATATTAATTTTTGTTAACACTTTCTTATTAAAATTATCAAAGTATTTTTTATAATTTTCACATTTTGTTATCTTATTTATATTACTTATTATCTCACTCTTTAATAAATATTAAACTTTAAGAAAATTTGTGCCTTCTTTAACACATTTCTTATTATAATGCAATTAATATCTAAAATAAATCTTAAACTAATATTTTTGTTCAATCTTTTTTTCATTTTTACAAAAAAATAAAGAAAATTTTCATAAATTAAAATTTTAGTTGTTTAATTTCTAAAATTTGATAGTATTATGAGAAATTTTTATCAAATGGAGCTGTTAAAAAATAAATGTAATTTTCATTTTAAAAGTATTATAATGATTAGAAAAAGATGGTCTAAGTATTAAGATTATAGAATTTTTATTATAATATTTAATTTGATTGAGTATTTTGGATATCAAAAAAAATTAATATATTATAATTTTAATATAATAATGAGTAATTGATCAGTGAATAGAGTTAAGAGATAACGCATTTAGTTGATGTTTATCTTCAAAACAAAAGTTGGAAGACTTTGTCATAAACTACCACTTTTGAAAGGTAAAAATATTAAAATATTGTAGAAATGAAGCTAGATAATTGGTTGTTTTACTTAAAATAAGAATATGATTAAAAATATTACTTAAAAAAATAATTAGTTTGTGTTTAGTTAGTTAGTATTTAAATGTATTAATGATAATATTGGACATAAGGAGGATAAAGAAATTGAACCAATTCTGATTAATTAAAGTCAAAAGAATTCATTGACTTTATTTAAGAAAAGTATTTGAATAATAATTATTTGATTGATGAATTTCTTAGAATAAATCGAAATAACCATTAAGACTTATTGTTATGCAATAATGAAAGAGACAATGTCTTAATTCATCTGTTCTGGACTAGTCTATAAATTATTTGTCTTTGTTGAATTGATGCAAAATGTATATAGCATTAAATATGAGTAGATATATTTTGTTATGCATCCAATCTTATAGTTTGAATTAGATATTGTGTTTGTTGAATATTTCAGACAAGTAATCCAATATTCTTAATTAACATACATATTAGATGCAATGGATTAAAATCAATCAATAATTTTACTCTATACAGCTTTTGGATTATAAATTACATTGCTGTTTCTTATAGGGTTAGGTGTAAACTTTGTAAAACAGAAAGTATTGATAGTATTTATAAAAATAGAAAAAAATAACGACAATCACGTCATATTCATTCAAAGCAATAAGTTTTTATGCATTAATTCTTAATTCATTTTTGCATGTTTGTTTTATCAACATTTTCTTTGTGTTTCTTATTTGTTATCCAGATTCATAGTATAGTTATGGTGTGGAATGTTATTCAGGTGTTTATATACTTCATACAGTAATGGCAGCAATTGGATTATTATTATACTTTTTAATTCAGTATTACTTTTCAACTTTTTACATAGATTTAAAGTAAGAGATTATATATTACATAATAGACCATTTTCTGATGTTCCTTTTGCATAACCTTAAAATAGATATGATTATGTGAAAATCTTATTTAAATGTGCAATTCTGTTATTCATTATAATTGATTATAAGGCTGAAAATCCTTACACTTATATAATCTTTATCCTATTTCTATATTTTATTTTGCTTATGTTTAGAATTTATGAACCTTAACATTTTCAACTTGATATATACAATTACTTAATAGCTTGTGATGTTATATAGTTTAGTTTGGCCTTTTGTTATACGCTCCATAAATTTTTGGATGATGGTGCACCTGATACAGTTGGATTTTACTTTATATTGGCAGCAATTCCTTTTATTTATTATTGTGCAATTTAAGTAGGTCATAAGAAGAATCATTATTTTTAAGTAAAAGGAATAAAGAAATTAAGTGATCCAAATTAACATGAATAACTATTTAATTAACTTATATACATCATTGATCGCAGAGATAATCTATAAAACTATTTATTATTAGAAGGAATATTAGTATAACATATGGAGACATGTTAAAATACAAATTGTTAATGTTAGTATTTAAGTGAATCAAAATCAAAGGAATTAGATGATTTAATATGGTACAAATTTATTATTTAAATGATTGATTTATCAATTGCAAAATTTCCAAAAAGTTGTAAATTACATTTATTATAATCATATATTTAGAATAAAAAATTAAACAATAAATTCAAATGTTATTATTCTCTATAACATATAAAATCATTAGAAACTACATTAAAAGAAGAATTTCAATCTTATAGAGATTTGCATACACTTGAAGAGATAATGTAAGAAGAAGATTAGAAGGCTGAAATTATTATTGATGTTCTTCAGGTTGTTAAATTTCAAAAATATTATGGATAATTCTAAAATCTTTTAGAAGAATCTGTTAAAAGACATTATGAATTTTGGTGTGAATTATAAGAGAATAATCCAGATATATAAAAGTTATTTACTTTAGGCAGTCAAATCACTTAATCAGTTGAAGATGTAAAGGAATTATATGATAAATTAATGGAGATTAATCCTAATCATATTAATACTTTAAGAATCTTTGGTTAATTTTAAAATGAAGTAATTAATGCAGATAATTTGGGTTTAAGAATATTAGAGAAAGCAACTCAGATAGAGAATGCTTAATTAGCATATTCAAATGAAACACAAACAGAGAAGTATGGAGAAAATAGTAATACTTGTATTATGACATGTTCAGCTGAAACTAAATCTTTGGGATTGATATAGAGTTGTAATAAAGAAATTGAAAAATTAGGATATCATAAATATGAATTAATCAATTAATTTATTACTCGTCTGATGCCTAAATGTTATGCTGATAATCATGATAAATTTATGTCTAAATATTTGGAAACAAATGAAAGTAAAATAGTAGGAAGGGAAAGAACAGTATATTGTTAACATAAAAATGGATCAATTGTTCCTTGTTTATTAATGTTCAAGATTTTACCATAATTGAAAAAAGGGTTAAGAATGGTTAATTTCTTTAAAATTTTAGAAAATTATGATTCCCATTATTATATCTTATTTAATCCAACTACTTTTTTGATATATGGTTTGAGTTAGAATTGTTAAGATTCATTTGGTATACCTGTCAATTTTGCATATGGTAACAATGCTCATTCAAATGATTTTAATATGGAAATTTTGATTCTTGATTTTAATCATTTAGTAGAGAAATTAAAAATTTCATAAGAAAATATTTAAACAGCATTTCCACTTTAATTGGATACAACTAAATTATAAAAATAATTTATAATGGAAGATTCAGTTGATCGATTATCTTTGATGGATGAAGGTGAAATCAATAATAATAATTTATTGAATCAGAATGGAACAACAGAAAATCTAAAATCTTCTGTGAAAAAGGAATCATTATTCAAAGTCTATAAGATTAGTTGTACAGTTGAGAAATAAATATACACTGATTTAGAAGTAGCCATTTTAAAATTTACAGAAGCAACAGCATTTTAAGAAGCATCAAAGAGTGGTAATTATTATTAAAGTGAGATAAAATTGAAATCAAAATAAAGTAAATATTCTTCTTCTGCTACTAAAAAGAAAGCTGATTAATAAATTAATGAAGATTATTTAAATGAGGATAGATCATCAGTTAATTCAGTTTAATCTAGTTTGAATGATGATATGCGTAGATTAAAAGATTTTAAAGCTTTGATGAGTGAAAAGAAAGTGCCTAGAAATATTAGAACAATCTAAATTACTATGTTATCATTAACATTAATATTATTGACTGTTTCAATTGTAGATTTAGTTTTAAAAGGAATATAAAATACTTCTTTTAAATATTCTTCTTAGATTTTATCAGACTCTTATTCAATTACAAATCAAATGTCAACAATAACTTTGCATTCGAGAATATTGGAAATGATAGGAACAGGTGAATATAATAATAGTAATGGATTTGCACCATAATTTTTGAGAGAAGATGTAAATATTATAATATAATATTAGTTAATAACCAGATTGAAAATTGTTTAATAATTACAATTTAATACTTTAAAAGTAAATAATGACTTATAAAAATCTGATGTAGATGTACCTACTTAATATTAATACAATTTTACATCTCTTTTGATTGATAATTCATTTAAAGATACTTAATTAGCATTAATAGATTCAATAAGAGAAGCACTTAGTCATTTAGTAATTATGATTGGAACTGATTTAAAGAATTTTAAGATCAATGATTATATTACTCCTGCTTAGCAATCATTCTTTTATATTAATTATAATGGATTAAGAAATATTAGATTAGGATTAGTTGAAAGATTAGATTAAATTTATACATTTTTTTAAGATCTTATTTCTAGTAAGTTTGGTACATTTTTAGCTTTGATGATTATTAGTATTATAATTCTGATTATTACTCATGCTATTGTTATACCAATTTTATTAAAAGTGGATAGAGCAAATAATAAAGTATTGAGTATGTTTGGATTAGTAATTTATTTATTATCAATATTATTAGATACCACCTATAGAGATCAAGGAGTTATCAGATAAATGTGAAAAGTTCTTAAAAGATTATATTGAAGATTTTAATGAGAAAAAGGAACTTGAGAATAGAATTAATAATAAAAATTAGGAGGATAATAAAAAATAGTAGCAATAATAAGATAAACATTATATAGAGATGAATAATGAAGAACATATAGATGAGAAATAAAAGGAATAGATAGAAAAATAAAAGGAATTATAGAGAATAGAGGATGAAGAGAAGGAAAGATTAAGATTGGAGAAGTAGGAAGAAGATAAAAGAAAGAAATAAGAAGAGGAAAATAAATAGAAAAGATATTTGAGACATAAAAAGAAAAAGAAACACAAATATAATATTTAAGAAATAGAATTAACTGAAGATGAAAGAACACGTATAGAAAAATTAGAGAGATCTAATGAAAAGAATGATTCTTCAGCTCTTATCAAATTTATGTTGTTCTTTTTATTATTTACTGGTTTTTTTGTAACCTAATTAGTACTTGAAGTGATCTATTTAAATAATGTAAATTTCTTATTTGAACATTTGAAATTATCTCATTAAAGATATTATATAATGATGTATAGAGTAGTTTATGGAGTAGAAGATATAATATAATAAAAATCAATTAATATTGATAATGTTTGGATGTAATAAACATATCATACTTTAATTTATGATGCAGAGAGAGATGTATTTGAATCTTATAAATCTGTAATAATTATATAATTATATAGTTTCCATTAACTGGCTTTGATTCATATAAATAATATTATGATTGGTTCAATTTTAATGATATGTGTTCTAATATTACTTTAATGTCTCCTATGGATATCACTGTAACTGAATCAGGATGTCGTTAAGTTCAAAATGGAATATTAGAAAAAGGATTGAGAACTTCAGTAATAAATTTAGCACTATATTCAAATGATTCATTAAAGATATCAGGTAACAATACTAAATAAACAATAATAAATGGAAATACATTTTAAATTATAAATGATATTGTAAAATACATTAGACCTGCTTTTAATACTTTAAATGAAGTTTATATTACAGATTCACATGATTATATTAATTATTCTCAAAGCATTGAAGTTGTAAAATTTATTGTATTGATAATTGCATGGATCATCTTATTTTTTATTATATGGATGCCATATTTGACAAAATTAAGTATATAGATTTGGCAGACAAAAGGTATGTTGAATATGATACCTATGTCTATTATTTAAAAGAATGAGAAACTTAAATACAGATTCTTATAAGATAATATAATGACTATGGTACAATGATTAATAATATATCATTATATGGATTAATTTATTTTTATTTTTGTTTTAATCTTCAAATTAATTTTTTAACAATTTTAATTAAGAATAATTAAAAATTGTTAAATATATATACATATAAAACATACAAATTCATTCAATAGTAAATTCAGTTGAATTTTTATGATATTATTCTCTTACTGATTGATATTTTGCTTTTAGTTTGTAAAAGAATACACAAAATATAATCATTGTCATAAAAGTCATTGCTAATCCAATTGTTAAACCCACATATAGTCCAACATTACCATTTTCAAATATTTCAAAATAAACATTAATTTCTACTAATTAATTATGATATGCTTTAGTCTCATTAACAAAATATCCAGTCCTTAATTCCATCATATATGTTCCGGTCGAATAATTTTAATTTGGTTCACATACCAATTAAGCTGATTATTATTTAATTTCATATTGAACTATTTCATTTTATTATTAAACTATTAATTATCCTTAATCATATCTTAAAATCTTATTAGTATTTTCTAAGATATTCTTACTAAACAATTATTATGTCTCTATTTTAGCAAATGCCAATTGAATTAAATTCTCTTATAATATAATAATGTACTAAATATAAAATATATTATACATTTTATGTTGAAAATATCTAATGTACTTTAGTAGTAAGAGTTAGATTCTATTTTAAAATATCTCCTTCATATTCTAATACATATTATAAATTAAGTTTATTATTTAATTTTTAAATAACATAAGTTAAATCTTCATAGATTTCTACATCTATTATTTTACCTTCAAAACGTAAAAAAGAGTTATATTTAATTGGCTAAAATTATGCATCTAATTAAATAGAACCCAAACTTGATTCTGTAATCCATATAAAATGATTTGCACTTTTTAATTTTACTCCCATAATATTCGTATTCTAATTTTCAAATTTAGCTATATTTATTGATTATATCAAATCCACTTGCTTATCTTGAATTATAAATATTTCTAAAGTGTTATTACCAAATACATATATTAAATTATCATAATAAATTATTTATGTAACTATCTCAATTTATGTTTATAATTTAATAGGTTTATTAATTTCATCATTTTGGTCAATATTTATAATGAATAAGTTTACTCCATCCAGAATTATTAATTTATTATCTTATTATATATTAGTTGTAATCAATATCTCTGATAGATTTTATGATATTTAGAATAGTGTTTCACTAAAGAATGTAAATCCTTATTCATCATTCATCTCTAACACTTTTAAATAACCAGGTAATAAACTATAAATCTATTTTTTAACATTATATTTACTTTATTATTTTGAATAATTATTTCACATTAATCTGCACATACATTAATTGATTGAATATGTTCTAAATAAATTTATGGATTCTTTGCTTAACAGAAATCAGCAAATAATACTGATGGTTCTTCACCTTCTTTTGTATTATTTAAAGTTTTATTTAAATGATGTATTTCAACATTGAATACATTTTAAATTGGAACTTAAATTGTTGATATTCTTCCATGAATTATTGAAAATCTCTTAACTTCTTGTTATTCAATTTATTCTGTAACTATTCCATTTAGTAAAAGGAATTATATAAAAAACATTTAATATTATAATGTTATTAAAATTAATATACTATTCAATTAATATTATCAATTTTATATATGATTATTTGATTTTCTATTATCATAATAAATATAAACTAATGAATTATATAATTAATTAAGAGATAAAATAACTAGAAAAGAAAGACAATAATAAGTAGCAAATAATAGAAGATAAAAGAATTACACTGAAAATTCATTTTCAATTATAAGTGATTGATGTTTTAGCTGAAAAAGATTCAACATTACAAGAAATAATGATAGAAGTAATAAATCTATTTAGCTTATATAAACCAATTAACAATTATGGATGCTTTTCTTTATAGAAAAAATAGATTTTAAGACTTGATGATACCTTTGACTATACTAAATCTGATACATTATTCATATTCGAAAAAAGATTAGAGTTGATGGTTTAATTAGATATTGAGGGTGTTCAAGAAAATATAACATTTAGTTTGTTGGAAAGTGACACAATAAAGGATATTAAAACATAACTTAATGATTATTTAAAATAAAAAAAAAGACCTGAATTAAAATATATTGAAATTTATAAAGATTCAATACTACAAAATGATGAAACAATAACCATATTTCAATTATTTAAACAGCCATATATTGAAGTCAAATCAACTTCTAAAAATCATGAGAATAAGAATCCAAATTAAATTTCTGAAAAACAATAGATTGAAATGTAGTAAAATGATTTCAATATATAGTCTGAAATATAATTACTAAAAGAGTTATTCGATACAAAATTAAAAAATTTACAATTGCTCTTTATGAAAATGTTAAACGATTCGCGAAATATTATTTTTAAAGAATTAGAATTTTTAGAGAGAGATATTACATAGATTTAATAATTATTTAAGTAACCTTTTAATCAATAATAATTATCTTAATTGATTAAATCTAAATAAACTTTATACAACTAATAGAAATAAATTAGCTAGGAACATATATAAAAGTTATAATCAGAATTTGAGAATTTTAAATAAAATCTATAAAAGGAATAATAAAAATTGTAAGAAAAATAACGGAACTGTTTTGAAATGGTAAAAATAGAAATGCAAACATCAATTTAATCTTTTTAAGTGGATGAACAAAAAGTTCTGAGATAGACTAAAATATTGACAGATGAGGAGGTAACTTTTGAAGAATTAATCAAATATTTGGAATAAACTTTTCCTGTTGAAATTAAAAAATACACTTAAACCCTTGGTCCATTAAGATAATGGGTAGGATTATCAGAAAACAAAGAAAAAGAAGTGAAACTTAAGGAAATTGTATATAATCATTAAAATGAATTAATCAAATTTGGTCCGATTCACATAGATATAAAAAGTAAATAATAACAATCAAGCGCTATAGATATAAATATTACATTATATGAATTGAAAAATGAATGAGAAGTTTGATAATTAATAAACTTTTCTATTAAAATGATTATTAAAGATATTATTAATAATATTTGAATAAATATTAATAGACTAATATATAAAATAAGTAATAATTTCAAATAGGTTTAACTTTTTTTTTATTATTTCCTAAGTATAGTAAAGCTAGAGATATAAATATGAAAATAATATTATCTAATATGACAAGAATAATAAAAATATGTTATATTTAATGTTCTGTGAAATCCAAAATAACAATTCTTTCTACATCTCTTACATTAAATACAGTAATGAAATAGAGAAATGCTGGCATAAAGAAAAATAATTCAATACTTTTCATAATAAAGTTTTACACTTAAAAAAATCCATTACTTTATTTTCTAAAATATAAAAATGACAATTCAGGTGGTATAAATATTTAATAAGTCTTTAAAAATAATAACTATTTTTATAATCTATAGATTTCTTTTGTTTACTTAAAAAATTAATCTTCATCAGATTAATTCCTTCTAATAAGAGAATTAGTTTCTCTTTCCAATTATCTAATCTTTATTTAAGTATCTTCAAACCATTTTAAATAAGTTTCATAAACAATCTTTATAGATTTATCTTTTGTAAATTCTCCAATATTTAATAACTTATAAATTGATAAACCAAATAAAATTCTTGTTAAACAAAAACCACCCAATGATCCCCAACAAGACCATCTGTTATCCAAACTATATACTATACTTTATAAAAATGTGATTACTAAACACATTATTCTAAATATTATGTTCAAAAATATATAGAAATTAAATACCAATCTATATAGTCTTTTAGAATTTAACAACTTAATAAGAATAGCTGATGTATCCAAACTAAATCTTTATTTTTCCTATTTCCTTTTAGGTCTAGTTCGCTATAGAATTAATTCCAAACGATTGTGGAATTGTCTACTTTATTCTTTCTTTATTAATATGGGTTATTCTATAATAAATGATTGATCAGATTCTACTGATTACTCACTTCCTCTAACCAAAGAAGAACTATCTTAAACTACACTTCTTTGTAATTAATTGTTAATTTGGATTGTACATTAATTTCTACTCAAATAATCTGAATCATCATCTATAAGAGACTTAAAAATGTCACTTCCATCATCATCTAAGTCTTTGAAACTAGAACATGACTCTTCTAATTCCATTTTAATAATATTTATTATACATTCTTTTATGATATATTTAACTATTCTATACAAATTTATTTATTCTAATTTTTATCAAATGGATACTATAGATACATTGAAAATTGCCTTCCTTCAATTCATTAACAAACTCAATCCACTTTTACCAGATTAATTACTCTCTATAGTTTCTGAATTTAAAGAATAATTGTAATCAAAAACTCCTTCTGATCTTTATGAATTTGTTTAGCAAATCCCTGAACTTAAAAAAAGTGACTCCTCTTGTAATACATCTCCTGAATTAAACAAGGTGGCATCACATGGTTATAATCCACTTTCTGTATGTTCATAAAAGGATTCTGATGACAAAAGTTAAAGTTCTTATTCAGCTGAAAAATATTAACAATTGAAAATAGGTAAAATGCTATTAAATCTATTATAGAAATAAATAAAAATTTCTTTCTTAAACCTACTACAAAGTTCAATACAAATACATAATATAAAATTTCTAAAAATGTAGATATAGAAGTTAAAGTACAAAGAGAAAATATTAAATGTAAAAAAATATTAATATTATTTTTTTAGTGGTTGATACTCTAAAAGAAATGCCAAAATTAAAGAGAATCTGCTTTGCTGAAAGAACAGGTCTATTAAATTAAGTTTCAGAAGCATTGCATTAATTTTAAAAAGATGGCATTACAATTAATACAGTATATGAGAAAAGCACTGAGATTAGTACTCCTTAAACTCCAATAGAAATGAGATAAGGCTAATAATAATTTTATTATGTAAGAATAATAAAATTTATATTTTTAGTATTAACCATTTCAATAATAACCTGTTTGTTAATTCAAAGGATATAGTGTATATTCAAAGAGAGGATTTATATAACCAATTTAATTTGATATGCAATTCTAATTGATGCAGCAGCAATTTTAAAATTAATTAATTTATAAGAAATTATACTTTTGATTAATTAATTTATAAGGAATTTTATATATGTCACATCTATCTCTATTTCTTGGTTTATCTAGCCAAAATAATTAAAGTTAAGTTATATATGATCAATTCTACTAATTTTAATGGCAAACTGTTTAATAATGCAATCTATTCTTCAATCATTTGATTAGTGTTGAGAATAGATTATTTATAATTCAGTATCCGCCATGAATCTAAAAGTAGATTAGAGATGGATGAAATAATCAATGCACTTATTATTTTATGTCTATTTTAATTAAGTTTATTAAAAAATAATGTAGCAATTCCTATTATTTAGCATCCAAAACTACCAATAAAAACAGAAAATAAGGATGGTCCAATATCAAATTCTTAAGTGAGTATGATCATAGAATTCATATTAACTTATTAATGACCTTTAAAAACTTAATGATCTATTTTAATGGGATTTATTGCATTATATATAATTTTAGAAATGAGTACATTCTATCCTACATCAATAAATTGCAATAGCATAAATTATAGAATAAATTATATAAAATTCTTAGAGTAATTTAATTAGAATATTATTGTAACATCAGACAAAATAAAAAGTATTGTCACATATAAAGCCTTAACTTTTCCTTAATTAAAATACCTTGGATCTATAACACAAAGAAATATTATAACAATTATCATACTAATTAAGAAAGACCTCTTTAATTCAAATTCACTTTAACCCAATAGGAAAAACACATAAACTGTAAATGATGACATAGTTACTAATGCAAATAATAATGATATTTTCCATTTAGTAAAAGTTTATCCTGAACGTATATATGTATGATATTTAATTACTAAAATGAGTAGGAATTGTATTTCAATTGATAATAGAATCTCAGGAATATAACCCATATAATTAAGTTAAATGAACAACAAGAAAGCTAATATTTTGAGAATCCATTTTAAATTATATTCTTTCTTAATGATTACTAATATCAATAATCCTATAATCATAATTTAAGGATTAAAGAATCCAGTTGATACAATGATTAAGATTTCTTAAAATCCCCAAAGACTTCTCATTGAGTAGATACTAAATAATAATAACATTATTCCAATTATAAAGGATTCTTTTCTTGGTACACCAATTTATAAGTTTCTTTAAATATGACTTACAACTTGATCTGCAGGTACTTATTTTAGTTCTTCAATAAATGTGGATTATATTTTAAATCCTTATGTTTATAAATATTTAAGCACTTATTATTTGATCATCTCTTAATCATTTTAGATTTCTGAACTATTTAAATTTTTAGGATAGAATTAAGGTATTATTTTTCCTAGATTTTAGCTTGTTGGTTAATATCCTAATAATGAACTGATAGTTGCTGATAAATCAGTAGGTTCATAATATTCATAGATTTAATCATCTGTTGTAAGTTCATTGAATGAGAATGCAAATATAAAACCTTCACATTCAAATGATTCTTAAGAACATTAATAATGTTTTCCTCTTTTACTTTGATCATGATCACCTATCACAATTAAAAGTTGATTTTCTTTTAAACTATTAACCACTCCTTCTAAAATAGAATTATACATTCTTAATAATTATATTCCTTAATCATAATCTTAATATTATAAGGCATGTCCTAATGCATCAAATCCCATCATATGAACTATATATAATTGGTAGTCTGGTTTAGCTTATTAGAATGATTATTTAAAGAATTAATATGATGAAAGATCTGCTAATTAAATGTTATCTAAATTAAAAAATTAAGGGTTTTCAATATAAGTGAATTCTCCTGAAGTCATTCTTAGCCAGTCTTATTTTTTACTTGAATAAAGAGCTGTTTTAAATTGTTTTCTGAGTAGAGAATCTTCATAAGGTGCTGGATAAGACTTGAATATCACATCCAAATTGTTTTACATCTGTTTGATTCCATTAATTATACTTAATATAGTAAAGTCTGTAGAAGGTGGGACAGCCTTAGTTTTTTGAAGGAATGTATGAAGTGGATAAGTCTCCCTTAATCCCCTCAATAAAGTGATAGTTTAGAATATCTAATGATCCTTACTTTCATTCATTATATATCGATAACCTGTGGCATCCAAAAATAGCAATACTACTTAATCATAAATAGGTTTTCTAAATGCAATAATTTCATTGATATCTCTAATTGGAGTCCTGAACCAAAACGTTGAGAAGATAATTAAGAAGCATCCTATCACACTTAAAATAAATTACGAATACATATTGATTAAAATCTGCATTCAATTAGTTTTATAAATCATCTCACAATCCTGATCTCATTATTATATTCTCAACTAAATTCTCTTAATATTACATCTTGTAGTATATCTTCAATTCTTACTCTTCACTTTTTTTCAATTCTAATATCTAATAAAGTATTCAATCATAAATGTTTGTCTTATCAAAATATTTCTATTTATCAATCTATTCCTAATCTCATCTATTATTCTTTATCTTCACAAATTCTTTAAACAATATATTTCTATTAATCCTCTCCTTTTTATATTAAACATCATTTAAGTAAATCCACACTCTATAGCTACTTTAATCAAACAACTTATCTATCCTGTATTAAACTAAAAGAGCCATCTTTTAACATAACAACCACACATTCCATTATGACAATAAGTTATCAATATGGTCTAGGTAATATGGAATTATTTAATTCTTGAATTAATTCCACTAATTCTATAGTGAATTGAATTCTTTTATTAAGATAATATATATCTAATATCAATAATTTGATATCATATTGTTATTAATCATTATATTTGTAATTTTGCTCTAAAATGAATCCATTTTATATTTTTGTTTATTCAATTACACATATTATTCAAACAGAATGTAATAGAATATATTTGAATTCATTTTTATACTATCAAACAAAATTAAAAATGAAATGCAATTATAAATATAGATTTTAAGTATAATATTAATATTTATATATTTTTTTATTAGCTTATAGAGAATTAAGATTATTGAATTAAATTATCAAATAAAAAATTTAAATTAGCTCTACAGTGATATTATAATAAATTCAGTTTTCTGGAGAACTGTTTTCTGTTTAACTTAATTCACATTACTACAAATTATCAGTAAATAACACACCACTTTAATTTCTTCTAATCCATGGAGCTTCAGGTCTACATTCAATTGATTATGCCTTAATTATATTATTACAATAGATTACATTTAAGGATTAGATTATTTTGAAATCAAATTAGGGAGTCATATCTTTTAATTAAGGAATAGGTAATGAGAAATATGGATATATTGTATACTATGTTGACACAAATGGTTATAATTTAATTGTATCTGATAACATAATTTCTATTCCTTATGGATTATCCGACAATATAAATTCTGTTTAATCAATTAAGAGATTTCTAATAGTTAGTAAGACATGCTTCTATTCTGAAATTTTAATTAATTATTCTAATTGAGTATGAGAATATTTAAATTTCTTTAACATCATCCAACAAAACATAATATTATAATTTGTTATATAAATAAGAGTATCTGATTTAGTCTATTAAATACATCTTTCAAATTCTTGAATTGCCTCTTAATATTTCTGTAAATATAAATAACAAATGCCTTTATATTAATGTAGATATTATTTATTAAAGAAAAAGGATGTTTAAGGATCAATCTTTTTTTATAAGGTTAAGATAGCTAAATCATATTCATATTTTAGTATTTGTTAATAAGCATGAATCATATTTTGATCAAATTATTTATCTTTTATAAATTCTTGAATTTCCTCTCCATCAAATTATTCTAATTAAAATAAACAAATTGCCATCTATTATTTATGTTCAAATGTTGAATTTGGTTCTTATTTATATGTTTTATATGCTTCTTCATACATCTTACTATTATATAACAGATTGCCAGCACTCAAAAAGTCATCTACATATTAAATATAACTGTTCATATCATCAAAAGCTGATTACATTTCTCCCAAATATGAATAGCATTTTGATCTTTATAAATAGGCTTTTTAATATTAATCATCAATTCCTAAACAGACTGAAAAATCTTAGACTGCATTTAAGATATCTCCATTTAATGCCAAGATTAATCCCTTCAAATAATAATGATCAGCTAAATTTTCATCTGCCTTTTCAATAGTTGTTAATATTTCTTTGTATGCATCTTCAATATTGTCCATTAACATATATGCTAATGATTTTAAATACATCAATTAAGAATTGTTCTAATTATATTATTATGCTCTAATTAAACATTACAATGAATTATTAACATAATCAGAATTCTCTTCCTTTAATCCTTCCTTTATTAATAATATTGCTTTATACATATTTGGATCAATCTAATTGTAATTTAATGCTTAATCAAATTTAGAATAAGCAATTTAAAATGAATTAAAATTAATAATTCCTTCACATATTATTTAATTATATGGTAAAGATTTATTCTTTTTAAAATCTTTTAATGCCTCTTCAAAATTATTAAGCATCATATTTAAATATCCTAAATATGAATGATAGATCTCTTATATAAGAATTGGAATTTCTAATTATTCTAATATTTTAAATGCTTCATCTGCTTATGTATAATTCTTTTTCATTAAACAAACAACAGCTTCAGAAAATTAGATATAAGGTTATAATTATTATTTATCAACATCTAAATATTCAGTTCTTAAAAGTGTATGATATAAAGAATAATAATCTTTAGATTCTATTTTAAATTTACTAATTTCTATCATAGCTTTAGAGACAGCATTTCTAGAATTATTGTTTTAAATTGCTTATTCATAATATAATTAACTTTCTGACTTTTCTCCAAGTTTATATAATATTTATCCCTTCAATTTGTTTGCTTCAGATGATTATTCATCTAAGCTTAAATACTAATTAACAAAATATAATACCTAATCAATCATCTATAAAGCTTACTGATAATTTGCCATTTCATAAAGACATATAGATATTTTTAAAATGTTTAATTTAGATTTATCACTTGTATCAAATTGTAATGCTATTTAATAATTCTTAATTGCTAAATCCAAATTATTTTACAATCTTTAACAATCTCCAAAATAATGATATCCTGTTGATCTTTTTGAATTTATTCTAATAGCTTATTTCAATGTTGATTCACAATCTTAGAATCTCCTTAATTTAAGTTCCAATTTGCCTTTGAATATCAATGCGTCATAACATTGTGGATAAAACTATAAACATTCATCTAACTATTATGATAATAAATTTATTACTGTTCTGATTGACCAATCTAATTACATTAACTTTTTATAACCAAGTGCAAGTATTATATATACATTTTTATTGTAATTTGGTTATTGTTCTTTAACAAATTTAAGTTCTTTAATACATTTTTCATATTAATTTTAAGAGAAATAACATACTCCCAACATATATCTACTAGGTACATGTAAAGAATCTATTAATATACATTCATTATAGTATTTAATAGCTTCAATTAAATTCTTTTCTCTAAATGCATTTTAACCCTATAATTTATTATAGAGAATATTTATACATATTAAAAATGTGCTATGAGATTTCCCATAAAATCATTAGCTTTAGAACCTCTTAAAACACTGCCAGAATTTTTGAACTTTAAGTTGGAATTCCTTCTCTTTTAAAATTCATAATCAAAGCTTGTGTTACGAGATGTTCTTATATTGATTGAATCATTAAAGATGCTATATTTTTTGTAATTCTTTGGACTTAATCTAGGTTATACACTCATTTCTTATATAAATAATTTATAACTAAAAATTAATAATTATCTAATTAGATAATGGTTATTTTTCATAATTCATTTTCTTTATATAAATCATTTCTTCATATCCTAATATAATTTAGTTATTAAACAGTCTCATAATTTGTTGAAATAAATATTCATAGAATACTTCAAGGTTATTTTTATATTAAATAGAGAATATAAAATATTAATCTTCATGATATTTCTTAATAATCAATTTATATTCAAATAACTTTAATTATCTTGTATCTTTATTTTTATATAATAATTAGAATTATATATATGAGTTTCTTCTGTCTAATCTTGTCTCTTTCATTTATTATATGTTTTTATCTGTTTCATAGATGCAAGAGTTCATTGATAAATCTCTTAATGAATAACTAATTAGAAATAATCGATATGAGATTGATTTACTCTAAATATAATTATATAATTTGTTATTCAAATGTGAGAATCCATCTTACAAAAATGTGTTGAATTCAAATTCTATGATACAGACGATTTTATTTCCATAAACAATTTCTTAATCTTATTACAACCATTTAATATTTTATATGAACAACGTTTGACTAATGGATTTTCTTTTTTCTAATTTGATTCTTCTTTATTATTATTCTTCTTCTATTTCTTTCTTCTGAATTCTGCCCATATAGCTTTGGCTGAAGAGTAATTAATACCTATAGAATTGGCAGCCTAATATATTATATAAATAGTACCGCTTTAATAGATTACTTCTCAGAAACCACTGCTTTTAGAAACAAATCCTTTATAGATTCTGTCATCTTTAGATATTTCTTTTAAGCTAGACGTGGATCAAACTTTTACATTTCCTTCTCCACTTATTATTTGATATCATCCAAGATTTTCATTGTTTCTATTTTTAATATATAAATATAATTGGAGAATAACTCTATATAAGTATATATAATATTTATAGAAGTTCTAAATTAGATTTAGAATTTAAATAATTGATTCTTTCTTTTTTCTTACTTTTAAATGAGAGTATGTCTAAAGAATTGAAAATTCAATATGAATTATTTATAATTATAATGTGTGATTCCTAATGGGGATAGTTAAATGGGCAATTTATAATAGTAGTAAGAAATCAATAACACGTAGAAGCCTTAATGAAAAGTGAATCATAGTTACTTACAAGTCTAGTTAAAAATGTACAATATTTATATTTTCAATTTTAGCATATTCCTGTTGTATTTAAAGATGATGTACATATGTTTTAGTAGCCAATTGAATTAATATTGGATTACTTCAATTAACCAATAGAAATTATTGAAACTAATATTCTAAGCTTTTAGACATTAATCTAGAAATTTGTTTATTAAAGACCTATTCCAAAATTAAGGGAGTTAAAAAAAATTAGAAAAACAAGTTCAACTGAGAGAATAAAGAAACCTAATGGATATGATAGAATATATGATATATTAAATATTGAAAGGAAATTAGAATAGATTAAGAGAGATGATATTTATATATTTAAAGATTTATCTAAATCTGTTGATCCTTAGATAATTAAGGGATTCAATAATGATTATGATTTTGGAGTGTTAATTGTGATATATGAAAAATTGGGATTTAGTCATATTGATCTTTTAAATGAAGTTGTTAAATTCTATGTTTAAGAAAAGAATTAAAAAATATTATCATATTTAAATTTATGGTTGGATTATCGATAAGTAGATTTGATTAATGATAATAGTGTATTTTGCACAATATTTTTGTAATTTTTAAATTTAGTTGAATTGATTGATAATGCTAAATAGAATGAATTAGAATAGAAAATAAAAGTTATTTTAAATGGAAAAAAGAATATACTTACAACAACATTGAATTCACCATCTCCAACTCTTTTATAAAGAAAATAAAGTCTTGATCATCCATAAAAGAATAAGAAATTTAGAAATTTATCAATGCAAATATTGAATTAATCAATAATTTAGAATCTATCTACTTAATTTGATGGCAATTGTTTCTACCTAAATTGTAATGTTGAAATTCTATAAAAATAATTTTGGATTATTGATATTGAACAATTCTCTAAGATAAGTATAACAGCTATGCTTAACTAAAACCATTTAATCAAGTATTGTCAGTAATAATTTACAGGAATGATGAAATTAGCGATTATTTTGATTATCTTTTATTCCATATGATATTTAGTACAATCATTAGCACAAAGGACGAGAAATTTATACTCATAACAAAATTTATTAACTTATATCAACTCTCAAAAGAAGCAAAACATTATCAAATGTTACATATTCTATTTACTTATTTTAATCATTACATTATTCAATCAATTTTAAAGTCTATTTATGCATTAAATCCACTTTAAAAGATAATCCTCTAAGAAATCTTAGAAAAAGAACATTATAGAACTTTGATTTAAATAGATATTAATGATAGATAAGGTATTATTCCATGTTTCAGTCTCATATAACTTTATGTTTATAAATTTTAGGATATCAAAGATCAATAATCAAATAAATTAATCTTACTTGCACAATAACTATTTTAAATTGTACATTTATAAGTACTTATTAATAAATTGAATGGATCATAAGCTAATTATAAAGATCATTATATTTGTAAATACTTGAAAACAGGTTTAAAACAATAATTATTAGGACATTTTGGTTGTAAGAAATCAAATATTGAGATATAAATATTAAAATATTTTAATACACTATGAAAAAAATTAATACAATGATATAATGATAAGATTAACAATAATATATTTAATTATTGTTATCTATAGATGGATTATATCAAAATCAAAATTATGTACTTTCCAGATTATTGATTAGTTAATTGACGCTGTTATTAACTTCATTAGCAATAATATATTAATCTTAATTTTCATAGAATCTATATAAAGAATATGAGTTCTCTTTTTAATTATCATCATCAAATAAAGATAAATTGAATTATACTATGCTTACAGTATGTAAAAATGCTATTTCATCTCTTAGTTATAGGTTTCTAATCGAATCTTATCTATTTTATTATTAGTTGTTTGATTATTGTATTGCATTGTCTTCTGATTTATTTTCAATTGAATCTTAGTTATTTAATTATTAGTTATCACATTTTCTTTGTTCTTTTTCTTAAGAAATTTAATTGTCTTCTGATTGATTTTATTCATTTGATATTTATTGTTCCATATTAGTAATATCTGCCCTTTTTTTCAGTTGCTATTAGTCTTAATTTTCATTTTATGATTCTTTAGATTATATCATAATAATAATAATTATAATATATATAAATGAAGTAAATATTAATTATCACTAACCTCATCATCATATATTGTTAATAAATAAAAATAGGAGAGAAGTGTCAATGTGCTCAATTATTAATTTAAAACGATTGCCAAAAGATTCCATAATGCTACTGGGATAATTAATTATTATAATGTAAAACATCAATAGATGTTTACTCCTAGAAATATTTACTTGAGAATATTAATGAAATAAAAGAGAACAAAGCATTTTCCTTTTTTTGTAATCAAATGACTCAAGAATAATGTAGAAAAGAGACTTCATGCATATTTTTTAAAGAATAATGCAGTCATTTTACTGGATGCACAGCATATTTGAGAGAAACTCACGAAGATTGTTAGAGACTATCAAGTTTATGTATATCAGATTCTGAAATGTGTGTTAATATTGACAATTGTACTACATATAAAAATTCATATTCATGTTATTTTGATAAATAAGGGAAGTTTTGTAATTGGAATAAAGAAAAACGTCTTTGTGAAAACGTTCAATAATGTGATCAATTACCATTGAAATTAAAATCACATTAAGAATGCTAAAATCAATTAGATAAATGTATAATTTTAGAATATTTATAATAGGTACTACGAAAAAAGGAGGTGGATGCATAGAATTAACTTATTAATGCAATGATTTAAAGGAGGAAGAGTCATGTTATATAAACAGTGGTAAAAATAAGGATTGTTTTTGGAATGATAATTAGTGTTTAGAAAGAACTTGCGATAATGCATCTATAACTTTAAGGAGTGATGAAGAATGTAAGTAATTCTTATAAGAATGTACAACAAAGAAAGGAGGAGGTTGTGTTTAAAGATCTAATTGTTAGGATGCATAAGTGTAGGAGGCATGTGTGGTTAATTAATATGGCGAAGGATGTTTTTGGGATGGAGTAAAATGTATGAATATACTATGTGAAAATGCACCTTCATCATACACAACTTATGAATAGTGTTAAAGTATACATAAAATATGTATTACTAATGGTAATGGGTGTATATCTAATTATGGTTGTGAATTTGCAACTACTGAATAATATTGTTATAAAGATGGTGAAGACAATGAGTGTATATGGAGAAATAATCATTGCACTAGAAAATAATGTTAACATGCTGGAGATAATTATTTTGGATATGAATAATGTTAATAGTTTATGTTTTAATGTACTGGAAATAATGATAAAAGTGGATGTGTTGAGAAGAGTTGTTAGAATGCTCCAATATAATTCAGTACAAATTAGGAATGTGAATCTTATTTACCAAATAATTAATGTATTACTAAAAAAGGAGGAGGATGTAGAAAGAATGTAATATGTGTTTATATTGATACTGAAGAAGCTTGTAAGATTGATACTTTAGGCAGTACTTGTTTTTGGAATTATTAAGAAAATAAATGTTAAAAGATAACAACATGTTCAAGTATTTTGAATTAGAAAGATTGCATTAAAGATAATAATAATCAACTATGTGATTGGATATAATCTAATAAATGTGTTTAAAAGACTTGTGATACAGCTCCTTTATAACTATTAACTGAAAAATAATGTTAAGAATATTTTAATGATGTGAATGGAACAATATGTACATCTAAATTAAATGGAGGATGCAAAATGAAAAGTAGTTGTCAAAATTAATAAACATAAGAATCTTGTAATATGGATATCAAAGGAAATTAATGTTTTTGGAATGATACACTTAAATAATGTAAGTTAAAAGAATGCAATGATATACATAGTAATTCATTTTAAGAATGTTATTCATTTAATAATAATTGTACAATAGGATTGAATGGTTATTGTGTATAATTGAGAATGTGTAATTAAATTAATAGTAAATATGAATGTATTTTTGGATAAGATGGACCATGTTTATGGATTGATAATTATACTAGTAATGGAGGTAAATGTTTTCAATACAATTCTTGTTAAAGTATGAAATGGAAAACAGATAGAGAATGTAAATTAATATCTAATTATTGTACTACTAATGGTTATGAATGTGTTCCTATAACTAGATGTTAAGAGACAAATATTAATGGTGGATGTGTTACAGGTATTGAAGGAATGTGTATTTAATCTGTTACTGCTTTAGGAATATTAGAATAACCAAAATGTTAAATATTCTTACATTGTAGTTAAGCATTTTATTTAACTCATTTAGAATGTTAAAAAGCAAATCCATAATGTACAACAAATGGTATTACAGGTTGTAGATCATTAACTTCTTGTGATTATTATATTGAAGAAGCTTGTCATTTTAATAATGTTGGTATTGAAAGAAATGAGAGAAATTAAGTTATTTCAACAGGTAATTGTGTATGGGATGGTCAATATAATATATGTAGAAATGAAGATTGTAAAGATATGAAATTTAATACAAAAGATGAATGTTAAAATGCATTATAATCTTGTACTTCTGATGGATAAAAATGTATAAGTAAAATGATGTGTGCTGATTATCATAATAAAGATTTATGCAATTATGCTTTAGGAATGGAAGGTTCTTGTATTTGGAAATAATAACATTGTTAATAGAAAACATGTTCAGATATAATTTCATAATGTGAAGAAGTTGATAATTGTATTTCAGATGGTATTAAGTGTATTCCTAAAAGAAATTGTTCTGAATATAAAAATTAAGTTTCATGCAATTCTATTGGATTAGATGGTCTATGTTATTGGGATTCTACTATTAATTAATGTCATTTAATGAATGGATGTAGTTCTGCCAATTATGATTAAATTGCATGTTAATAAGCAAATGATAGATGTTACTGGTAACCTTAAAATTAAAATCAACCAAGTTAATGTAAAGAACATACTTGTTCTTCATATGAAAATTAAAGTGGAGAATGTTCACATTATCTAACATGGGATTGGTAATCTTATAACATTTGTAGATTTGTTTCATTTTAATGCATGAATTTTGATGTCAAATCTTTAACTGAACATACATGTTTATTGTATTCTTTGGAACTCTACAAATGGAATCCTATAAGTTCTGCCTGTACTGAATGTGATACTGGTGAAACTAATTAGGATGCTAATAGATCACCTATACCATAAGGATAAGGTATTGCAGAAATTTTGATTTCCAAAATTTTAAGTGCAATAGTCATAATAATATAAATGATTGTCTGATATAATCAACAATTATTAAATAATTATTATAAAATTTTTTAATTATTATAAAAATTTTAATATTTAAATTAATTCATTAATCCTTTATCAAAATAATTTAAGTTTTCAACATTCTTTTACGTTAGATCACATGTTCCTACTTATTACCTATTTACTCAAAATTACTTACCAACAAACTCTTTTTTATTCTGCATTCACTGACACTACTTTAACAAATGCTGAAAGTATCATATTTATTAATATAAGATTGGTCATTTATTGGAATTAATCCTCTTGATGTCATCTAATTATGTGGTCCTTATAGTATTGTAGGTGGATATGAAAAATTTGCACTTGGAATTGCTGCTACTAAATTCTTATTATTACCTCCTCATTATAAAATCTAAATTTCATTCACTCTTTTTATGTAATTTTTGATATTTAATAACAGAATTGATACATGGGATCAAAATGAATACTTCCACTTGTATGTAGATGAAAGCTTAGTTTATAATAAAGCATACTCCTATGAACAAGCCTTTAATAATATTTGTGGGTAAACAGGAAATCACAGATCAGACTCCTTTTATGAAATTTAATTTGAATTTCCACATACAGGAACAACAACATTCATTCAATTGACAAGTACTTTGGATTAAATACCTTTTGATGTATAATTATTTCTAAAAATAGGAATCATGGGGTTTTAGGAATTTCAGAATTTTCCTTTATTTATGTCCATCTGGATGTCTCACTTGTTCTTAATCTGATACATAAACAGAATGCAAAACCTGGATCATTACTAATACATTCTTTACTGAAACTTAATACGATTCATTTTCAACTGATGGTTGGAATATTCTCAATGGTGATTATACAAAATAATAATGTTCAAGTAATAAAACTTTAATTAAAATAGTGATACCAAGTACTTGTGGCTATGGTGTTTGTGGGAAAGATACAATATTGACTTTGAACTTGGTTTCTCTACCATTCCATACAAGAATGAAAATTAAATTCAAATATCTCAAAATAGATAGTTGGGAATATAATGATTATGCTATTTTATAAGTAAATCAAAATCTTAGATGGAAGTAAAGACTATCAGAATTAAACTAATACTTATATTAAATATGTGGAGGATCTGCTTAAGACACTTTTATTAATGTTGAGCTTACTTTTCCGCATTACTTAACATCTTCAACAATCACAATATCAAATACATTAGATCAAATATATAGTGATGAATCATTTGGAATAAGAGATATAGAAATTTTTGTGTGTAAATAATTCATACCATAAATAGAATAATCAATATGTGGAGATACAATTATTCAAGAAAATGAAGAATGCGATGATGGGAATTTGGATCCTTTCGATGGATGTTTCAATTGCGTTTTTTCTTGTGTAGATGGATGTTCATTATGTCATAAAGGTATTTGCTTAGGCTGTTATTCTGGATGGTTATATTTAAGATATGCTTCAACTTGTGAAAAAATATCTTATATTAATTCTGCTAGTTAAATTATTGCTAAATCTGATACAATTTGTTATGATTATATTGAAGGTTGTTAAGAATGTTTAAATGGAATATGCATTTAATGTTAAAAAGGATACTAATTGAAATAAGAGAGTAATGATTGTTAATCAATTTGTGGAGATAATATAGTAACAATTGATGAGGAATGTGATGGATAAAATTGTATTTAGTGTAAATTCATTTGTCCAAACTTTTGTGATTAATGTGAATTTGGTGTTTGTTAAGTATGTTAATAAGATTATTATTTATAAAATAATTAATGCATTAAATAGACAATAAATTTATGTTAAACTTAATGTGAAGTTTGTATTGATAGTGTTTGTTATAAATGTTAATATGGACATAATCTTGTTTTAGGAGAGTGTTAAGAAATTTGTGGTAATAATAGTTTAGCATTATATTCTCTTGATGAATGTACATGTAATCCTTTTTGCTTAGATTGTAGATTTGGATATTGTTATTAATGTAGATAATCTTATTATTTAATAAATAATACATGTATAAATATATGTGGAGATATGATTGTTTCAGAAGATGAAGAATGTGATGATGGTAATGAAATAGAATTTGATGGATGTTTTGGATGTTAATTTTCATGTCCATTAAATTGTAAAGATTGTTAAGAAGGTATCTGTTTAGATTCATGTTAATATGGTTATTAATTAATTAATAATGAATGCATTACAATTTGTGGTGATTTAATAATAGCAGGAACTGAATAATGTGAGGATAATAATAAAATAAATTATGATGGATGTTATTAATGTTAATATTCATGTCCTCTATATTGTAATGATTGTATAAATGGATAATGTTTAATGTGTGATCTTGGATATATATTGTATGAAAATATGTGTACAAATATTTGTGGTGATGGAGTTTTATCTAATTTAGAATAATGTGATGATGGAAATCAAAATGATGGAGATGGTTGCTCATCTAATTGTTTTGTTGAAATTAATTGGATTTGTAAATAGGATGATGTTTGTAATTATGTTAAGTATCCTACTCTTATTTCTGAATATATAATGTAGAAAAATTAATATCAATATATCAAAATTACATTCTCTTAACCAGTATAAACATTATCAAATATCAATTATATAGATACCATCAATGCATCAATTATGGATTTAAATGAAACTCTCTTTAATATCACAATTATGGAAGTTTAACCAGCTCTATTTAATAAAACATCTGAAGTATAATATGTGATGTAAATTGAAATATTTTAGAGTCTTGATTACTATCCTATCTTAGAAATTAAGTTAACTGAACAATTATATAATGATAATTAAGCGTCTTTGATATTTATGATTGATTATTTGTAATTAAAGTAACCAAATTATATTACTGAAGAATAGATATAAATAGCTAGTACCTTTTAATAAATAAATGAAGTTTCAGTTAAATCATTATGTCTCCTTACAATTTTACTTATGTTATTAGGAAATGCACTCTCTTTTTGGGGTATCTTGGATGCTCTTTAAGAATAATCATATCTCAAATTTATTAATGTTTTATATCCCTAAACATTAATAATTTATTTTTCATCTAGTAAAGTGGTATCAGTTTAACCAGCTTTAGATACTATTACACTTTATAAAAATGAAGGAAAATTACTTTAATTTCCTTATTTGTAATCTTATGAAAAGTTTGAGTTTTATGAAATCAACGCTGATATTGCTGAAGGATTTAGAGCTGAATTATTCATCTTTGCCACTCTATTTGGTATTTACATAGGTACTTCATATGGAGTTAAGATTTTATAAAAATTGGAACTATCAGAATTCTTATCGAAATAACCTAAATTAATTAGATTAATTTAAAAAATAAAACAAAAAGTTAATGCTAAAATGAAAGATGCTAAAGGAAATGGTTTAAAAAGTACTTTACGTGCTTGTACTTGGGATCTAATATTTATGGCATTATTGGAATTAAAAGCTCCTCATTATTTTGAATCGCCAAGATCATATATTTGTATTTTGATTGCTATTTCAATTCTAATAACAGCAATAATTATCCTATTAAATTAAGTTGAAGGTTTGAAATCTTGGAAAAAGCAAAACTTTCATCAATTTTGGTAATAAAAAAGAGATATCTTTCAAGTTACTAAAAAGTTTCTGATTCTCTATATATTAGTATTCTATTAATATGAATAAGAACTTTAAACATTGATTCTAACTTTGATTAATGCATTTTACTTGGTATACATAATCAATTTCAAGTATATTGATGATAATTTAGAATATGTCAAAACTATTGTAATGGAAACTTCATTAACCATTTTTACTGCTTCAACATTTGTAAATTGGAATATTGTTTCTAATTATCTTCTATATAGTTAAAGAATTATAATTGGTTGGATATAAATGTCGATATTAGTTAGTGTTTTAATCATCTTTATTTTTATTGAGTTATTTAATACTTATTCATTAGTAAAGAAGAAAATAATAGAATCAAGAGAGAAAAAAAATAGATAAAAAATTAATCAAAAGTAAAAGTAAAATCAAGAAGATCTAGAGTAAGGAATTTAAAAATAAAAAAGTACTATAATTAAGGAGAAAACTATATTTTCTAGAGCACATTATACAAGCAAAGTTTAACCTTAAAAAATTTGAATTATCGAGTCTTTATATTTCTATTTATAATTATATAACATTCAAAAGAATTTAAAATATTTATTATTAATGTCTCTAACATCAGATGCTTTTTCGAGAAGCATAGTATTGACAACAATCCCATTAGAGGAATTAAAGTTTGTTTATTCAGTACCATAAATAGTTGATCCTGATCCCATTACCTGTATTATTGAACCAAGTATAATTTAATTTGGATTACTTATTAGCTCATGAAGAGGGAGGAATATATGTTGGAGGTTATGAAGGAGCTAAGGATTTAGAAATGCTTAAGAGATTGAAAATCAGAGCAGTATTAACTGCAAGTTAAGAGACAGCTGTTTAATATAGTGATTTGGTGGTTTAATTTCATCATGTAGTATAAGCACATGATAAGGATGATTATAATATATTGTAATTTGCAGATTAAACATTTGATTTTATTGAGAGACATAGGAAACATACTAATATATTGGTTCATTGTTTTCTAGGAATAAGCAGATCACCTACTATAGTAGTTGCTTATTTGATGAAAAAATACAATTTGAATATAGAAAAAGCTTTATGGAAATTGAAATCAAAGAGAAGATAGGTTAATCCTAATACAGGATTTTTGAAATAACTATTAAACTATGAGAAATTACTTTAATAACAGCAATAATAATAATAATAATAATAATTGTAATAATAAAAACCAAAAGGCATTTTTAAAATGGTTAGACAATAAGCCATCCCTCAAACTTAGATGCTACCCCAAAGTCGAATCTTGCCCATGGATAGTAGAGTTATAATATAGAAATCACCCTCATAATATTTAGGATAAACTTATTATAGATGATATATATATATATATATTAATATCGATAATCAAATTATTAAGCCAAGAAGAATAACTATAATCGATATGATGAATTTTGAACTACTATCAGCAGCATTTGATTAGTTCTATTAAGTAGAATTATTTTTCTAAACTGTATTACAAATCGAACATTTATTTTTTGTTGGATTCCATGAATATTAATATAAGGTAGATGTTGGACAATCATTTTAATTCAAACTTGTAGGATCAATAGATACACATTTACCTTGAGGATTGAATTAACATACAGTATATGTTTTAAGAGACCAATCATAAAATCCTGTACAAGTTGAATCACTTTGTATTTCACAAGTTTTAGTAGAACATATATATTCAGTTTAATTAGCAACTGTAATAGCTTACCAATAACATCTTTCAGATAATTTCTTACATGCCTTTTCATAGACAGTTGCTACAGTACATGTAGTTACCTCAATACATTTACCTTTATTATTAACAGATGTTACAATCCAAGCACAAATACTAGTTGGACTACCATAATCACAAGCACTTTGAGTTTTATATAATGAACAATCCTTAAGTGAAACACATGTTGATCCATCTTGAATACAAGTAGATGAATAGAGTGAACATAAACTGACAGGATAATCTTCACATTTCATAGCTATACATATATTATTATCCCAATAACATTTACCATCTATACCTGTAGCAACTATGCAGGAATCCCTTGTTATATAACTATTGCATGTACCTTACACAACACAATTCTTTCCATTATAAGTACATGTACTCAATTAACTATTACAATCATGATGATTAGATCCTAAAATATCAGAACAACCTTAAATAATACATTTCCCAGATGACCATTTGCATTTTCCTGTTGATATTATAGCTCCAGCTGAATTTATTATTTTACCAGCTTTATCAATATAGCATGAAGATTCTATAGTATAATTTGTACAATTATCCAATTAAATACAACCACTAAAACCATCACTTGTACATTAGCCAAGGGAATAGTAATAACAATCATCATGATTTAAATATAAAGCATTTCTACATTCATTAAAATCAATGCATTAATAAGGAGCTGATGTTTTCACATTAGTTGGTGTCCAAATACATTATCCAATTGAATTATTATTGATACCTATAAAACAACCAACTTTAAGTGTTTTAGAACATTTTGTAATAGCAACACAATTATATCCATTTGTAGTACATTAAGGATGGATAGTGTTGCATTCCAAATGAGTTGTATAAATGAGATCTGTACATTTTGTATATCTATAACATTTCTCTTAACTCCATCTACATGGTCCATCTGTTCCCATTATACAAGCTTATTGAATCAAAGTATTTGAACATGTTTTCATCATTGTACATTGATATCCATCTGTTGTACAATCAGATTAAGCAGTATTACATGTTTTATGATCATAACCCAATATGTCTGTGCATGATCTCAATTAACATATTCCATTTTACCATGAACATTTCTATCCATCTAATTATATGATACAAGCTTATTCAACTTATGCATCTTTACACTTGCCTTTTGTAATACAACCTCCTCCTTTTTTAGTTGTACATTTGCCTTCAGGATAATATTCATTACATCCTTTTTCTGATTAAATAGATTTATCAGCAGTATCACAACTTTTATCATAACACATTCCATTGACCCAGGCACACTCTTTTTTATTTGTATTTATTTTACAGGCTTCTTCAACATAAACATCTTAACATCTCTTGATTTCAATACAACCATTTCCATTAGTAGTACATGTAGATAGAAATGATTAACATTCATTATGAGTTTTATATGTAATAGGGGCTAAATCACAACTAATATTTTGACATTAATTAACAAGTGTACATTTTCCATTGAGTCCTTATACACAAGAAGCTGCATATTTATATTAATCACATTGTATGTAATTTATACAACCTTATCCATTAGTAGTACAATTTCCATAATCTTGACATTACTGATGAGTAGAATAGGATTTGGGTGCATGTTAACATTCTCTATTATAACAAGATCCATTTAACCAAATACATTTAGATTAATCCTTTTATTTAGTGCAAGCTGCTTCAAAAGTATAGGATGAACATGCATCATAAATATCTACACATTAACCTATTCCTGAAATCATAACCCATTAACAACCAGTATTGTTTGTTGTTAATATACAATGTTTATTAATTGTATAAGTAGAACATTTATCAAATAGAGTTTAACAACCAGCTCCAGTTGCTTTAACTGTACAATTAATTAGAAAATCTTGACACATTTAATGATTTATTAATGTAAGAGGAGCATTAATACATAATCTATCTTCACATTTTAATTTAATTGAATTCCATTGACATAATTTAGTATCATTAATTTTAATGCATTGTTTATCTACTAAAATATCAACACATTTAGATGCTTATATAACACATCCAGTTCCATCTGCTTAAACAGTACAATTTGAAAGATAGTCTCTGCATTATTAATCAGTTGTATAAGTATCAGGAGCATTGGAACATGTTCTATTTACACAACCTGTATTCCATCCACATTTAGTACCATTAGATAACACTTAACATTAATTCTATGTTTATACTAAATCACATGTTGTCTATTCAATAATACATCCTTAATTTGTTAATCCAAGAGTACAAGTCTTAAGCCAACTTCTACATCCTTCTTCTGTATTGATTGTAATAGGTGCATCAGTACAAACTCTATCTTAACATGCTGAAATAGATAGATTCCAACTGCATTTATATTCACTAGTCTCTTTATTTATTGAATTGATGGTTATTTTAGGACAATGTTCTTAATCCAAAGAAGCACAAGAAGTTGGTTATGTAATGCACCCATTAGCCTTTGCAACTGTACAATCAGCTCTATAACTTTTACATAGAGCATCACTTGTATATAAACTTTTATTTGCATCAGTACATAGAGCTACTCTGCAATTGGCAGGATTAGCATTGCCATTCCAGAAGCAAGTTATTCCTTTGGAAATGATGCATTATGATTTCGTCATTAAATTACAATCTGCAGGTTCATCAATACAACCAGCTTCATTAGATTTTACTGTGCAATTAGGTAACCATGTTCTGCAATTAGCATCAGTATGATAATTAGTAGGAGCATCAGCACAAATTCTAGAATGGCATTATAATATCTCATTAACAATAGTACTATCAAATGAACAATTTGTTCCATCAATTAATTTTACATTATTGCATTATTTTTAATTAAGACCATTACAAGTTGATGGTTTTTCAATACATCCTAAATCAGGATCACCTAAAGTGCAAGAGGATAAGTAGTTTTCACAACTAACAGCATTGCCTTTATAAGGGCTGTATTTACATGCTCTATCTTTACAAATTGGAATTGAATTTTCAATAGGGTTTGTATCCCAACTGCATTAACGATTAAAGGTTAAAATAGTTCCTTCACATTATATCATATCTTTAATTTATGAACAAGAACTTAATATATCTACACAACCCATACCACTTTCAGCAAGAGTACATTGATTACTAATATTCTAGCATTTAACATGAGTCATTAATGAAGATGTTTCATCAATACATTTGAAATCTCTACAGAAATAATTCTCAGTTGATACATCATAATAACATCTAGATCCACTTACTAAGATTGTATCTCCACATTAAAATTAACTTTTAATTTAATCACAAGATGTAAATTAATTAACACAACCAGTTTAATTAGCATTTAAAGTACATGAATTTAAATAAGAATTACATGATGAATGTGTATATAATTATGCTAGACTCAAAATAGGTGCATTAAGACAAGTTCTATCTTCACAACCATTCCAACCACATAAAATAATATTATTTTGATCAGATACTAAACTTTTACATACATCTTTAGTTCTGTATCCTTTACATGATATTGGTTCATTTACACATCCAGATCCTGTTGGACTTAGTGTACATATAGGTAAGTAATTTCTACATTCATCTTCTGTCTTTAATATTTAATTAGCATCTGAACATTAACGATCTCTACATATTGAATTATCATTATCCCAACTACAAGTTGATTGCATATCTGTTAATACTACTGCAAAACAATGTTATTTATTTAATATTAATGAACAACCCAATGGTTTTGTCATACATATACTTGGATTCTCAGCAACTGTACAAGATGGATCAAAAGTAGTACAAGTTTCATTTGTTTATGTTCCTGGTGTAATATCTGAACAATTCAAGATTCTACATACTTTATTATTCTAATTATCATCATTCCAACTACATTTTGTCACATTATCACTTAATATAGTACATTATTATTCATTCAATTTATCACATGATAATGGTCTCTCAATACAACCTTTAAGTTCTTAATTGACTGTACATTCATTTAAATATGATCTACATTCTTTATCTGTTTTATAAGTCAATGGAGCATTAAAACAAGTTCTTTATTAACATTATTATCCATAATAACATTATTTATTTTAATAATCTAATGTACAATTATCTTTTATTTAAATGTTTTTGCATTCTTATAAAATACAACCTTTATAATTAGATTTGACAATACAAGTAGATGAAAATCCTTTACATTCTTATTCATTTGTAAAGTCTTCAGAAGCATTACTACATATTCTCTCTATACATAAATCATTTTAGAATATACATAACTTACCATCCAATTATTATACACATTATTCTACTTTTGTATAGAGAGAACAAGAAGTTTTTCTCTTTTAACATCCAGTTAAATCAATTTATACAGTACATATTGGTGAATATTAAGTACACATATCATGATTAATATTTGTTGAAGGTGCATTCTCACATGATTTTAATAAACATTTAGTTTCATTCCAAAAACATTCATCTCCAATTAATGTTTTAATACATTGATTAGAAGTAGTATATTTTGTACAATCATTTAATTTAGTCTGACAACCTATTCCACTAGATTTAACAGTACAAGTATTCAACCACTATTAACATAAATCATGATTCTAATAATCATCAGTTGCATTATCACAATTTTTATCTTCACATTTTTAATTGTTTTTATTCCAATAACAATTTTAACCAACACTATTAATAATACAATTATTCTAAATCTTCAATTATGAACATAAAATTGGTCTATCTTAACATCCATTTAAAGTATCATTTACTGTACATGTAGATAAATATAATGTACATAATTCATGTGTTATATTACTTTAAGGAGAATTTAAACAAGTTTTATCTTTACATTAATTTTAATCCCATATACACTATATTTTTTAATCTAAACTTGTAATACATGCACCCTCAAATTTTTAATTTTCACATTTATCTCCACTAGCCTCACATCCACCACCTTATTTCATTGTACAATTATTAATCTAGAATCTACATAAAGCATCAGAATTCAAAGTACTTGGCAATACATCACAAGTTGTTGGCAATTAACATAATCGTTTTTCAATATTCCAATAACAAAATTTTCCATTGTCATCTTTTACACAACTCACCTAATTTGTGTAACTACTACACTTATCTAATTCTATACACTATTCTCCATCTGTTGTACAATTCATTGAGATGTTTTAACATATTTCATTTGTCGGGTATTAGTAGGCATTGCATCCTGAAAAAGAAACACATTTCTCAGAAACAATAGCACAACCTGGTGTATTCATACATACTTCAATTCCTATCAAATCGCAATAATTAGTTGGTTTTATTGTTAAAGTGGAACATGTATTATTGCTCCAATAGCATTTTCGTTCTCTACATTCATTCTCAGTTAAAAGTTATGTGCATGAACAAGCAGCATTCGAAACATTCAGAGTGGTTGACTCTGCAAAAGTGTTTTATATTAGAGTTAACCAATAAATCAAGATCATTCTTAATTTTATTTTAGTAAGTTATATGAAATAGAAAATATGTAAAGATTGAATTGTTATATAAAATAATATATATTATTCTTTATTTTAGAAATCACAATCTCTAAAGTATTTGTAGAATTTTATATAAAACTAAATTTAAGATATTTTTATAATAAACAATTTTGATCATTAATTTTTTATAATCAATATTAGAGATTAAATGTTCTATTCCAACTTAAAAAGACTTAATTATTATTATATTGTAATCATATAAGGATGAATAGCAGTTTACTATGTTAATTATCATCTAATGAAAATTTGTTTGTATAGTAATGTGATGTGTTGTAAAAATATTTATACAAATTATTTTTGTTAATTGTCTATTATTTAAAATGATTATTTGTTTAACTTTAAGAATAAAATTTAACCATTTAATAATACAATGAGAAGGAGATAAGACTCATTAAATACATCAAGGAGCTCTATTAGCAACAAACTAATAACTACTTTAAATGACTCAAGAATATTGAAACAGAGTCTCAATCCTTTATTCAATATATATCAAATAGAGATGAATTATATTTGGTGTTAATCTTGCTAGATGAATTTATTTGAGAAGGATGTCTATAATCATATTTATGAAGATTAACACATACATATTTTATAGAAGTAGTTCATGAGGAAAAATATAAAATCAGCATCTTATCATCAATAACAACATGGAATCAAATTAGAAATCAAGTAGAAGTCATTATCTTAATAATCAATATTAAAAAGAACTTAATAAGATAATTTGAATAAAAGTATAGAGATTACAATGAGACAATCTATTAAATCACTTAAATAATTTGTCAGTAAATTGATTGAAGATTTAAATCAAATTGGTTATAGTAATCTATCACTTGTATAGTAAAAATGATTTATTATCTTAAATTATTTTGAATTCCAATTCAAATTAATAAAAAATATATAGGAACATGTCTAATTGTTTTTTTGAGTGAAACTTAATGTAACATAAATATGTTTAACGAATTGACATTTTAAGAAATATTTGATAAACGTTAATTCTTTGTTATACAAAAGAATAAAGGACCTTGTTATTCAATTAATAAATAGAGAATTCCAGAATTTTTGAAATTGTATATATAGAAAAATCTTGGATCAAATAAAAGAATATTAGATTAGAATTAGAAATATATAGGACGATAATTAAATTAAATGTTAAGAAAATGTTGTCGATTAATAGCAAGTAATACAAAGGATAAGGAGTATCAATTATTTTTAAATGGATTGAAATTAAAAGAAATAAAGGGTTTGTCTATTCAATATTCAAGTGACATTAAGAATTAATTGTAGACAGAGAGGAGTGAGAAGATTTATAACATTTAATAGAATGTAAAGGAATAATGGGAGAATGTTCTATAAAGATTGGGAGACTAAAGATAAAAGAATATTAGAATTGTAATTAAATCTAAAGTCTAAAATTGATATATAATAAAATTTCATGAGCTTCTCTCATTAAATTAATATAAATATGTAATCAGGTCAATTGTTGAATCTTTAGAGATTAGAAAGGTTTTATATGCAAACACTATCTTAAAATGGATGGGAATCTCCTCTTGTAGTGAATGCAGCTGTAGATTTTGCAAATACATTGATCAAAGATGGAAGACTACTTTTGAAATAAGGAAATAATACATAAGCAGAAATGTTTTTTAATAGAGCAAAAGAGGTATTGGATTGATTAGAATCTGTAGATTACTACACCAATATCAATAACAAGTGGTATATTTTATACAAATACTTTTGTTAAATCAAGAGGACATGCAATACTATAGATTTCATAATTGTATGAATAGTAAGGGTAATTTTAAAAGGCTTGGATGAATCTAAGAGATGTATTACCTTTTATGGAGAAATTTTCATATACAAAAAGAGTGAATATATGTGAAGATGATAAGTAAGTATTAAAGTTATATGCATAATTACTATTTCATGGTAGTGAGGTTTGTAGAATGATGCATCGTAAAGATGATATGTTAGATTAATGTAATAAATTAGTTGACATTTTGTAAAGATTGGGAATTACATTTGATTCTTTGGGTACTTTGACAAAAGAGGAATTTCATTAAGAATACAAAAAATCATTTATGATGTTAGCAAGAGCATTCTATTATATAGGAAAATCATAATTTAAAGTTGGATTTGAAAGAGAATCATTGAGAAATCTTTACAAGGCTTGGTAAATATAGGAATTGATATTTGGACCTGATGCATAAACAACTATTAAGGCTAGAGATAAATATGAAAAATTAAGTTAAAAGATGGAATTTGAAATGATAATGGGATAAGAGAAAGTAGATTTTCAATAATTTAAAGCTGATCTTTAAAAAGATGTTGGATAAGAATTATTACGTAAAGTTGTAACACTTAAACCAAATAATAATTTTGATGTATTATATTTATATTCAATATTGATAGCATCATATGTAAACATAAGTTAAATCTTATTAATAAATAGTAAGATAATTATCATCACATTCAACTAAATATTAAATGCCTGAATATGTTAAAAAAGTTAGATAAGAATATGAAGTCAAATTGAAGACTATTTCTAATTAATTATAAATAGATGAATATTATGAAAATCAAGAAAAAACTTTTTAAATAAAAAACAAGAAATTATCAACAAGAGCAACATCTACTTAAATTAATTAATCCTTACTCCCTTAAGATAAATTATTTTCACCAAGAATGTCCATGTTAATGCATTCCCATAAAACCAGTTAAATTATAGGAAATCATATGGATAAATTGAAGTAAAAATTTTATTTTAAAATTATAGAGTTTAATTATAAGACACTCAACTCAAAACTGAACCTATAAATGAAATGATGCTTATGAGACCATAATTTAAGTCTGAACATATTCAATTAAAGAAATAGAGCTAATAAGGAAATCAAACTGAAAGAATTATTATAAATAAAAAGAAAATTAAATCAAATAGACTTGTATCTAGAATATTAAACAAATAAACCACATAAATATTTCATAATAAATCTGATATATAATCAAGTGAATAAAAGATACTCAAAATGTAAACAGTTTAAGATCTTATCATATAACCATAATTAGATGAAATCAGAGTGCCTACAACTGAATCAATATTGGCATAATAACATTAAATTTCTTAATAATAAGTTCAGGTTCCTCTTATATAGAATATGTAAACTGAAATTACAGAATATAGTGAGAATATTTACACAGACTTATTGAATATATATACAATTGAATAGTTGAATATGGCAGCTAAAACCATTTAATTATATTTTAGAAGATACAAATCTAATATCAGAAAAATTAGAACTATTTAAACAATTGAATTTACTCCTATTTCTACTTCAAAACCATAGAGTCTAGTTATTTGTAGTGATAAATTCGATAATATCTAAACCAATAGATCCAGTATGAAAGTATCAGTCAAAGAACTTAAGAATTCTATAAGGAAAGGAGGCAGATTTGACTAGATTGTTAAAGAACTCAAAAACAATGAAGCTGAATAGATCAGTACAAACAAAGCTAAAACAGTAAAATATTATAATAATTATATATTAGTTAGTATAAATAATTGTTGACTTTTATAATCTTCCAGAACAAGAATTATATTTTTTGTGTAAACTCTTCTTTGATAATGAAATTAAAATATGGAAATTATCTAATATCTCAATATGTGCCTTTAGCGACAATGAATTTTAAAATAATTAAACAGATGAAGATTAATAAACATCATCATCATTTACCAAATATCCTTAAATATTAAGTAATTTCATTTGTGTAATTTTAAGGACATTAATTATAACATATAATGAATATCTTTACTGATTAATAATCTATTATTGCATTATAATTAGTTGTCTACTTCTAATTGTAAAATGATTAATAGTAATATCATTTGAATTTTAAAATCAATAATTTTATTAGTTATCTTGATGAATATTAGAAATGGTTTTCCTAAGATCGTTTAGAAAATTTCAATGGTCTTCTAAGTATATATTGTAAATAGTAGAATCTCTATGAACCTTATATATGTAAAACTATAGTATTCTCAAAAAATGATTTTGCTTCAAAAATTGTAGTTAAATTAATGTATTGTCTTAAAAATCATTATTATTTAATAAGATCAGTTGTTGGCTATAAATTAATTACAATGAAGGATGCCATCAATAAAAAATTACTAGATTAAATTATTGATGGTACTAAATTAGATAAAAATAAGAAGATTCAAAAAGAAAGAAAGAGAATTATGATACTTAAGCAATTCAAAAATGAACCCATTAAATATTAACAATAAAATAAAATCACTTTTTCTAAATTAAAGAGACACTAATTATATAATGAAGATTTTATTCATGAATAAAGTATTGTCATCTAAGAATCTGAATATTCTCATGAAAATATATCTTAATAAGATTAAAAATAACTATTAATTAATTAGAAATCATTTTAGGATAGCTCTGAAATAGAATATATTAAATAATCTATTTAAAGACATTCAAAAAAATAATATACATCAATCAATAATAGAAACACTATGATTTGTCCAAGTTCTTAACTCATTATCTCTTCATAGGCATTTATTAGAAATAGTTTGGTTCCAAAAATAGGTAGCCAATCAATTTCTGAATTTGCTAGAAGATAATAAAAGGAAATATATGAACCACCTTAATCTAAGAAAAGTTTAGAAGAATTTTAGGAATATAAAGATAGGTCTTAATCTGAAATTTAATTGTTTCAAGAATATTTCCCAGAATTTTAATTAGCTAATTTAGATGATTATCAGGATTATGAACCAAAAGAAGGTCCTATTATTAAATTCAATCATGAAATGAATATGTAACCATATTTTCCACCTAAAGGTATAAACATTAAATCAGAAATTTAAGAATATATTAATGAATATCCAGATAATTATTTTGCACTTAATTTAATTCTTAAGCAAAATAACACTTTACTTACAGGATAAATAATTATATAAGAATCTAAAAGCTTTCTAATTATTAATAATAAAGATGGAAATAACATTAAGAAAGAGATTCATATTGATTTTGGTATGCGATTGCCTAATAGATAATAGAAACTAGAGATTATAAATTTATTATTAATACATAAAGAAATACTACAAAAATAATCATTAATTTAAGAATTGCTTAATTATGATTTCAGACATACATTCATATTATTGGATCGATATTTAAAAAGAATTGATCATTATGATATTTTTATACACAATGAGATATATTAACAATTATAAGCTGGAGAAATATTACCTTTGACTAATACAAATTTTTTAATTTATTCAGAGAGAATGGCCTAGTTAGCAATTGATGAAAACAATTATCAAATGAATACTGAGGAGAATCTTAAATTGTCCATTGTTGTACAAGATTAATAATAAAATTATGAAGAAAATGTTTTAGAAGGGAAATCATTCAAATATTATAGAAGTATGTTCAATATTAATAGAAATAAATTCTATTATAAAGAAAACAATTTTTATTTTAAAGTTGAAGTATGTTTCAAAGAAAAAAAAGTGTTTGATACTAAATTATTATATTTAAGTGATCAGTAAGCTAAGTAAGATTTGATAATTCTGAAAAAGAATATGCATGAATTGATTGAATAACAATAGTTACAAATTAAAATTAGGATATATAAACCTAATCAAAGACTTAAATATTATAGAACAATACATCAACTTTAAGATATGGAAAAGATATTGCACATCTTTAATAAAACTTAATTATTAGGTTATCAAATAAAATCATAATCTAAAATATAACATAGATTAATTGGAAAGGATTTAAAATTTAAAAGGTAATAAATTACTATGGAAGAGAGAAATAGAGATAAATATAGTGCATTAGATTAATTTTTGTTAATGTACATTACTGATCCTTTGTAATTTATAAGTAATGAAAATCAAAGACTATTGAAATAGACTATCCTTTTCTATTATTTTAAATAGTAATTGAAATTAACTTTAATATCATCAAGTCGTTTGAGATATTTTATGAATACTTATTTTCATAGGAAAACTTTTAATACTTAAAGTAGAGTAAGTAATATTGGAAAAGTATTTGTAGAATGTGAAGTCTATTAATTTAATCAATTTTATCTTGATCAAGAGAATGGAATACGTACATACTTTTACTTTTAGATAACTCCATAGGAAAGTAGAACTAAAATATTCAAATTAGTATTAGATCTAGCAGATATTAAAAGTATCTGTCCTAAAGTTGATCTTAATTCTTGTTTTAATGATTAAATGTTACATGATATTCTGAACATTTTGACAGCTTATTTAATATGTTACAGAACCAATACTTATCATGGAATTAAAATACCATTATCATATATTATCAATTAATCAAAATATGATCTACATAATACATTTACTGAAGTTACTTATGGAAGTAATATCTTAGAAGAATAATAAAATGTTAAATCATCCTAACCAAAATTATCAATATTATTGAATGATAGTGTATTTCGCAAGAAATCATAAACTTAAATGATGGATATTTAAATTGAAAATTTATAATTACCAGCTGAAGCTAGTAGAATTCTAAAAAATACTTCTATGTTAACACCAATATTTAGAGGATAAAAATTTATATATAAAACTACTAAAGTTATAAATTAAATGTATGTAATTATTACTGTCTCATATTTGTCTATTAATAAATTTTAAATTGGATTATATATTCCATAAACTTGTAGAAATTTCAGTTGTTATATTTAATAGAGTGATTTCTAATAAATGAATCCAGAATTTCTTGAATCTATTTTTCCATCTTGTTTAGTCACAAAAGAAACTATTGATTAATTTTATATTAATAGATGGAAATTCTCAGAAATAAGTAACATTTATTAAATGGCTCTCAATCATCCAGATGAATTTGAAGATTTTTATAGTGAAATGAAAAGTCAAGCTAGAGCAATTCCTTTTTTGGAATTATAAAAATTAACAGAAAGCAAACTATCAATTAATAATGAAGATGAATTGCTTGAAAAACCTTATGATGAGACAAATAAATTATTTGAATCTTTCAGTGATTCAAGTAGATTAAATTTAAGATCCTCTACATAACCACCAATCTTTTTGAAAAAATAAATTGCCAAACAACATAGTGTATAAAATTCAATTGGAAATCAAAATAAAATGAGATTGTTATTGCCTAATTAAAAAAATAATCCTCATATTGATAAGAGTATATTTTTTAAATAAAGTCCACGAATCTCAAATCAAGGAAGTAGGGAAAATTACTATTAAAATGATAAAAATCTATTTTTTAATCAAATACTCATAAGAAAGAATAATCTTGATATGATTTCTACATTTGAAATTAAGATTTGGGAAACTCTTATGGATAAAATAAGTATTACTAAAAACTCATAAAATCATTTCATTTTTAATCTTGATTCTTTTTAAGGAGTTTTAAGAGAAAATTTATACACTTAAGTTGTTTATTTGGGTAATGAAGTCAATGCATTATTTGAAGTATTTGTAGAAAATGTCCGTAAACCATTAGATATGTTTAAATTGTGTATTCCCATCAGATTGAATGAGAGCTAGAACTTTTAACTTTATTAAAGAATTACTTTATTCGAAGAATCTAAAGTAGTTAATTTTAAATTAATGTTACGTAAGGTTCTATATAGCTATTATTATGATGAAAGAAGAAATCTATAAAATCTTAAACTTAAAGATTATTTTGTAGATTCATATGAATTCATATAATCAGATATATAAAAGTGTTCAGTTTATATGTTGAATAAATTGAAAAAGTAATTGAAATTGAATCCAAGTACATTCATTGTTTAAGATGTTTTAGGAGATGAGAAATGTCCTTAATTAATCAAAGTAAATGCTAATTATAAATAATATGCTGCATTTAAAGTAAATCTTTATTTTTATCATAGTAATATTAATATGTGTTATTGAAAAGATTAATTTTTACAATGAAACCAACTCAAGTTTATGTTTCTATTTTTTATTAAGAAAAGAGAAATAAGTTTCATTTATATTTTTAGAGTATGAAAAATTGTAAAAATGTAATAATAAAATACTCTCTTAAAGAAATTTAGTAATGTATTCCTAGTGCTATCAGTTTATTAAATTTGGGATTGCATCAGGAATTAGGGAAAAGAATCTATCAGAGTTTCAAAAATAGATTATTAATATCTACTTATTAATAATTGTTATGAATTTTATTTATTAATTATTTATACTATGTAATAAGACGATAGTTAAACATAACAAGAGGTAACCAAACCAAAAAATAAGGTTAAGAAAAGCAAAGAGAAATTAATAATAAATGTTTCTAGTACAAATTATCTATATATCTTCTTATAGGTTCTTAATACCCTGTGATTAGATATGTTGGTAAAAAGATGTTAAATTGGAAGATTTAAAAAGAAGAGAATGCAACCAATTGGGATGTATGGTGGACTGATGGAGCAGTCTTTTCTGATCTTTTAGGCAGAATGAATGGTAATTAGTCAATCAAACTATTTAGCCCATTAAAAAGTTAATCATTTCCCTGGAATGTATACCTTAGCTCGTAAAAACCATTTGGGAAGGAACCTCATGAAGATGCATAAATAGTTTCCTTAAGCATATAATTACTTCCCTTACACTTGGTTATTGCCAGCAGAATTAAGTGATTTTAGAGCAAATATTGGCAAGAATAGAACTTTTATCATAAAACCTGAAGCTTCATGTTAAGGGAAGGGAATAATGTTAGTTAAGGATGCTGAAGGTCTTTCGATTCATGAACATTATGTTGCTTAAAGATATTTGAGCAAACCTTATTTAATTGATGGTTTAAAGTTCGATCTTAGAATTTATGTATTATTAGCTGGTTGTGATCCTTTAAGAATATATATTTTTAAAGAAGGTTTAGCTAGATTTGCAACTGAGTAATACAAGAAACCTGGTAAAGATAATTTGGATAATATTTGTATGCATTTAACAAATTATGCTGTTAATAAAGATAATGAAAATTTTGTATTTAATTAGAGTGATAAATAAATGGATGTTGGACATAAGAGAAGTATGACTAGTGTTTTTGAATTGCTAAAAAGTAGAGGTGAGAATGTTGATTAATTATGGAATACAATTAAAAAAATGATGATTAAGACATTTTGTGCTGTATAACCTATTTTAGCTCATTAATATAAATCTTGTTAACCAAATAATCATATGAATAATATGTGTTTTGAAGTTTTAGGTATGGATGTTATTTTGGATCATAAATTAAAACCTTATTTATTAGAAGTTAATCATTCACCTAGTTTTACAACTGATACTCCATTAGATGCAACCATAAAAAGATAATTGATTTCATAGTCTTTGATTTTAATGAATTGTACTCAAAAGGCTAAATAGGAAATTATAAATTAAGAAAAATAAATACTTTAATAAAGAATGTTGACAAATAAACCAACTAAATTGACTTTTGAAGAAAAATAAAAGTTAATAAAATAATGTTAAGAAATTAGAGATTAATATGAAAATTAGAATATTGGAAATTTTGAAAAAGTCTATCCTTTAGAATAATATGAGGAAGAGTATGATAAATTTATAGAGTATGCAGGAATATTATATTAAGAATCTACAGGAGCAAGTAAAATTATCAAATATAATTAGATATAAAAAAGATATAATAATAATAATAATAATAATAATAATAATAATAATCATTTAAAAGAATTGAAAAACCAGAAATAAAATCAGAATATACATTAAGAACTTTAGAATAAAAATCAGATACTAAAATTTTAGAACAAAAAACAGAACTTATTAGATTAAAAAGTGAAAAATCTTCAGGTATGAAAAGAATTTTAAAAAAAGAGCATTCAACAACTCTTTTAACTGATGATACTATCAGAAACATGAAATTTACTGGTTTAAAACCTTAATAAAAAGCTATTTTAAAATAAGATATTATAAGGAAGAACTTCAAACTTCCTGTCAGTTAAGGTACTTTTATAACACCTAAATTATTTATGATTAATGAAAATAATAAAAATAGCAATAATCCTTTTTGATGAAATACATTTAATTAATTCTTATATATATATATTATTATAAAATTTAAATGAGATATAATTTAAATATAAAATAATATATCAAATTCTTAATTCAGTAATTACTTCAGTAATGAGATGATTGAATATTAATTCACTCAACTCCAATGCTACTTCAGTATGTTCTTCATCAAATTCCTACCATCTATCATCTGTTTCGAATATCTATAAATATTGAATAGCTAATTTACTTCCTACTTTAACATCTTATCTAATCTTTCTTCTCTAACTTATGGTAAAATATCATTATCCACTTAACTACCTTATGGTAATAGTATACCACTTAAAGTTTCAGCCCATTGTACAACCCTTAATGCAGATTTCTCAAGTGTATCTTCAACAGAACTTACTTGCCTAAATATCACATTCTTTCTCCAAGGTAATGGTCTACCCTTTATACCAAAAGGTCTATGATAATCTAATGCTTCATTAAATGCATCAAAAATAGCTTTATTATGTATTCTTTCCATTTCATTGACTAAAACATCTTCTGCTCCAACCTTCTCTTTTATTGAAAATATCTCCAAATTCAAAACTGCTTAATGAATAAATCCACCATCCAAAGATTATTCTAGCATTTCTTCAGTTAACCTAAAAAATCTCAAGATTTCAAATGGAGATGGACCAATACTCAGATTTATAATTTATAAAAATTGATTCTGATATTGATTTTTAACTATTAATTTGATATCCTCTAAATATTGTTTAACATAGCCAACATGAGTCTACACATACTGCAAATTCTCAACTTATCCCTATTCTTCCATATCTAATGGAACATCCCTTACTTAGGTAATATATTACTTCTAGACCTTGGATATATGATGATAGAGTCTTATTTGATTAATTTGAATTGTATGATACTAATTGCTATTCTTAAATATCTAATTATTCTGAATGTTAAAGTGGTTTCTTCTTTTAATCAATAAGATTCTCTTCAGAATAACTAACCCTTAATAACTATAAATTATATATAATAATTACATTAATTTTAAGATCATTAAGTTAATTTTTCAATAGATTACTTTAACTAACACTTACAGGCATCATTTTACTAAAATGATCATCTCCTAATTTCTAAACAAATCTTAAATCCTTTTGAGTCTTTTAAATTGTTTCATAAGCTTTAAACCAACCAGCTTTAATTGCTTATTTACTGCTTTCTAATGCTTCCATTTCTTTTTCCCCCCATTTTTATATTTCTTACTCTTTCAAACCAAAAGAACGAGGAGATATACGTTCTTAAACAAGGAGATCCTTCAAGATTTATTTTTCTTTCTTTTCTCTCTCTTTAATTAATTCACCTCTTAGATATAGAATTTATCCAATTTAAGGGGGAAACACTTCAGTTTTTTCAATAATCAATTTTTATGGTTTTAATTTGATTTGAGGTTATTCAATATTATTTGATAATACATTTTCTTTATTGAAATCTGCATATTTAATTAAACTTTCAATAAAATCTGCCATGACAACCATATCTTACTTAATTTATAGATTTTATAGAAATGATTTTAAATTATCCCATCTTGCCATTTCAGTATCTTTTAATTATTACAATTACTATAATTTTAATAATTTCTTCTATTTCTTCTTTTACCAAAGTTTTCTAGCTTTATATCCTTTAAACCATCTTTAAATACATTTGGCTGCATATTCTTTCATTTCGTGTTCATAATTTCTAGATTCTCTCAATGATATAACATCACTATTACTCTTTAAAGTTTTATATCGAGCCTCCAATTATTTAAATTGTTCTTTCAAAGATTTTGGAACTCCTGATTTACGTGAAGTACTTTTACGATTAGCCACATAACTTAACATAAGTGGTTTTGCACTTATTTTATTTGTACTATCTCTAGGTGGTGATCTGCTATTTGAAAGAGAATTTCTTTTTGCAATTTCTGCCAATGAACGTAGATTTTCATCAATATGTTTTTTCTTTTCTAACATTGATTATTATTTTATTGATTCTAATTATGAATAGAACTTCTTTTTTTCTTTCATATAATGTTTTAATTATTGAGGAAAGCGATGTTTTTCAGGAGTAAGAGGAGGATGATGTGATTGTTCTATTGATGACATCCTATTACCTAACTCTATAGAATCACTTAAATACGCTCTAAAATTTAATCAATTCGCTTAGTGCCAATTTTATTTAAGAAACTAAGTCCTAAACGTTCACGATGATCTTATAGAGTATTAGGTTTTTCATTAAAAAAAGTGGCTGCTTTCTTACGACGCACACATTCTGGAGATGAAAACTCTAATGTTTAACTCTTAACTCTTTCTGCACTAACACTTTTCTTTATTTTTGTAGATTTCTTTTTTTTCTTATATAACTGCTGACTCTTCTTGATGGCAGCATGACGATCAAGTGACTTTTTTTTTTTAATCTTTTCTGTACTCTTTGCAACTTTTAGTTCACTTTGGCATTGTTACATATGGGATTTCAGATTCTCATACTAAATTATTTAAATTTTAGCAACCACACTAGTATCCATATCTCTTCCAGAAGGACCTACAATCTCTATTTCTGATGCTGTCTTCTTTTTTAGAACTTTCCCTGTCAACTTAATCTGGTTTGAAATACGTCGACCTTTGATTGGTGAATTGTTTTACATTAAATTTAATTAACAGTCAAGTTTTCAATATATTTTATTAATGACTCAATTCTACAAAATAATACATTCCAAATTCTTTTGATATAAGAAAACTATTTTATTATATAAAATTTATAAGAATCCACTAATTAGTTATTCTATCAATATTTTATTATTTCATAATTTCTATTTCTATTATATTACAGATTCCCTACTTTTTTTCTCATTTTGAATTCTTCTATGTAAAGTTCTCTGTATTATAGGATTTTATTAGTAATTCTTTGAATTTAAAAAAAAGACATATTCATAAATTATTACATCTAATATACTCATTTAATTATAATATAAATATGTTATGGATTTTAGCATTAATGCAGAGTATTTATGGAATACCATGCGGATACACATTAGATTAAAATAACTAACCCATAGAAACAGATAAGGAACCCTGGATTAATGAAAAATTGAGTGCTTGTAAATTCTATGAGAAATCTCCTGTATGTTGCACTCAATCATAAGATGAAGGAATTGGAAATGATTTTGTCTCATTAGATGCAACCTTTGGAAGTGATGGTGATGGATGTGATATGTATACATAAAAAATATATATAATATAGTTGTGCTGCTAATATGAAAAGATTTTGGTGTGCTTATTCATGTGATCCAAGATAAGGAGAATTTCTTAAAATTACTGGCAGAGCAAATGTCACTGATCCAAGGAATCCCAATAGAACCATTGATGTATAGACTGTAACTTTACGTATACATCCTTAAGTAGCATGTGTAAAATATATATTATTTATATTAGGATGTATTTTCTTCTTGTAAAAGAACAAATTTTGCTTCTCAAGTCAGTGCAATGTAGACTCCTGGTGGATTCTTTACCTTTTAGGCTGAATAAGGAGTGTATGATATGATGTAATTATTTAGATCTTCATCTCTATAATTAATTGCTATTGAGTTTTCAGAATAAAATTCTTTATTAATGCCTAACACTGATAATTGTAATCAAACATTTGAAAAGGCTGCCGATGGTAAATTTTATGATCCATATCAATTTGAAATCAAAAAGCCTTGTGGTTGTAATACTTGTGAAGATTCTTGTGATTCCTAAAAAGTCTTATATTAAGAACCAGGTTCTATTTAAATATTTATGAGTAGGAGTCTTTTATGGATTTGATTGGCAATATGTATTGTTTGCATGGGGTTGGGCAATTTTATTTGCAATTGGTTTCACTCTTTATAGATAATGCAAGAGAAAGAATGCCATCTTATAAGAAGAAGGAGACTCTATTTATAATTGATTATAATTTTATATCAATATTTTTAAAGAGTAATTTATTTTATAGAATAATTAGATTAATTTAATTCTTATTAAAAAGATATTAATTAAATTACAATAAGTAAAAAAATTAGGATTTTCATATCAATTTTTATGATTATATTATATGAAAGTAATTATTCAAAATACTCTATGTTAATTAAAAAAAGACATATATATATATATATAATACATTACTAAACTATTATTAATATTATCATATAGTGTTAATATTGTTATATAATAAAATTACATAATATTAATGAAAAGAGCATCTTAAATACAAATATAGAAGGAAGCTATTGTATTCTCTTCTGATGATTCAATGAATAGTGATAATTCCTTCAATTCAAGTATTGAAGAGGAAGAAGCTGAAACTGATACAAACACTATTTTCCATCTTAAAGAGCAAATGGCATAATTTTTTACAGAAAATCCAGGATTACAAGAAGCCATAAAATTTGAATAAGAAGAGAAAGATGAAGGTAATACTGAAAAAAATGAATAAAATAAACATAAGTAAACTTAATGGATTTATTTATAGACAAACTTTAATTTCTAAATCAGAGTAACAGTAATTTGTACATGGTTGGAAATTACTTGGAAAGGATGTTATAAGAAACAGTTAAGGAGGGCAAACTTTACCAACATTAGAAACCATTAATCATAGACTTAATATATTCAAATAGAAGGTTGATAAAGTAGATTATTTGGAAATTTTGTAAAGAGAAACATAATAACAATAATAGAAGTAAGAGGAATAAGTATAAGTTAAACAAGATACTAAATAATAACCAAGATCATAATCAGAGAATCCTAATAAGAATGATAATGAGGAATAGAAATTAGAGGAAGAATAAGATATAACTTATTTCAGTTTTAAAAAAAAAATGCAATTGGCTTTACATAAAAGATAATAATTATAAAGAGAGGAAGAAGAAAGGAAATAAAAATAATAAAAGGAGAAATAGAGGAAAGTAAATGAGGCTGATTAACTTGCAAATGATGCACCTAATTAATAAACATAAAATATTTTGGTTGGATCTAAAATGGAATTTTAAACTCATGTTGGTTAAATGCTTTATTAAACATATCTCTAAACTGGAGGAGATAAAGAGAGTTTTAAAAAAATGGCTGCCATTTTCCTTAAAAATTATCATAAAAAGCAAAAAGAAAATTTAGATAAATTAAAAGTATACTACTAATTGATAAATCCAATTAGGTATTCCCTCCTGCAATTCCAAAATTTACATCAGAAGATTGCAAACATTTAAATTTACTATTACCAGATTTCTCTACTCAATTATATGCTCCAAACAAATAAAATTTATTTTAAGGAGTTGAGAATTATAAATTTCCAGCCAATAGTCCAGAATAAGAATTCATAAATTTAGTTGATTAGATTATGTCAGGAAAAGTAATGTAATTTTGGAAAGAAATGCATTAACAATGAATTATATAAATCAATTTTTTCATATTGTTATAATTTTCTTCATCTTTATATTTCAGAATTGATTCATAGATATGTATTTAAAATAATGAAATTTCATAAATGAATTGTTTAAAATAACAATTGAACATCAATAATGAACAGCTTTGTATTATAAATTTAAATACATTATGTCAAATACGTTAGTTTATTTTAAATATTAATAATCTCTATCATATTCTTATAAATCTCCTTTCTTTCTTTTAACCTCAACTATAAATGAATAATAGAAAGAAATATTGGAAAAAGATGATGTAAAAGGGATTTAAAGGTTGAAGGATAGAAGAATTTAGGATAAAGAAAGAATTATCACCAGCAATATTAGATTAATCTTAGTCCTTTTTTGGTTTGATTTCTAAGGTTTCAATAAGATTTTTAAATAATTCAGTTTTTATTTGTCTCTATTTTATTTACTTTTTGATAGAGTGCTTCTTTATTCAATATTTATGTTATTAATAATTCTACTGTCTGTAGCTACTTTTGCATACGTGCATAAAGAAGAATAATATGCGATGGATGTTTATAACAAAATGAATTCTATAAAGGAATTCCTATCGTAATTGGAGTATTATACAGCTTTGGAGAAATTAGAGATAAGGTCAAAAGAAAAGTTGGAATTTGAGGAAGAAAGTTTTACAATCTACAGTGAGCATTACTAAGAAGTAAGGGTCTTTGTAATTGTTAGCTCCTTAAATCATTGAAAGCAGAATAGGTATGCCATAAAAGATAAAAGGAAGACATGTAGATGTTTTTAAGGGAAACCTTTCCAGAAGCAATTGATAAGATAAAACGTATAATTGCAGATAAAGTATATAAGTAAATAAAATAAGGAAAAACTCATAGAAGGAGACATAAAAGAACTAGCAAAGATAAAACATTCTTAACCTGAAGATATCAGCAAACGTTTTGAGGAATTTAATTATTTGCATCAAAAAATATAAGAAGGTATTATATATATTAGATAATAATGTTTATAGTTTTAGAATCAAATGATTAATAGGATATTTATAAAGCTTTAGAATTATTAGAATCTAAAATAATGATAGGTTCATTTAAATAGATGTAAAATTAAGAAGTGGATTTTTTTATGAAGAGCGTTGATAGATTATTTCAAGAAAAATAAAATCCTCATAAAAAAGAAGAATCTATATAATTGTTAAGTTTAATGAGGAGTGTTATATCTGAATATCTAATAACAATGATGAATGATTAATTAGAATAATCATTTGATTTATTGGATAAAGAACTTTTTTTCACTCAATCTAAACATACTCATATAAATGCTAAAGAACAATATGTAAATCTGTTACAGAGAGTAGAATGTAAGTTTATATTTAATATTAAAATTTTAGAGAATCATTATAATATTTGGAAGAGTATCTTAGATAAATAATTTGATAATACAATGTTGGAAATAGCAGAAAAGTAATAGGATACTGCAAATAAAATTGGGAATCGTGCTATGCAATATCATACATAGATGTAAGAAATGTTTAAGGCAATGCTAGAACGTTTTTTATAAAGATGAAATTAGTCTATATATATATATCATTAAATGATTTTCATCATCATTTCACAGAATTCTTCATAACTGATTTATCCATCTCCATTTTTATCTATTTCTTTAATCATATCTAACCAATATTTCTCATCAATTCCTGTTAATGATGGACCCAAAACTTCTTTAATTTCTTATTCTGAAATAAATCCATTTCCATCTTTATCAAATATTTGAAATGCCTTTAAAATTTTATATTTTTAATTACTTCTTTCAATTTCTCTTTTTACACTGCTTTTTTTCTATCCATTGAAGCAATAATAAATTCAGTATAATCTATTGTACCTGATCCATCCATGTCCACTAAATCCATAATCTTTTAAACTTCCTATAAAGCAGTTTCATCATCCATATATTTTTTATATGTTTCTAGGATCTCTTCTTTTGTAAGGATCCCATCTCCATTCTAATCCATCTCTTTAAAAGCTTACATCTTATAGATAATTAAATAATTACTAACTAATTTTTCTCTTCTTTCGAAATCATAGTTGTACCTATAAACATCAATGTAGCTTATTATAATTTTTATTCTGCTCTGAAATTGATTAGATTCTTTAATCTACATTAGACTATTTATTTATCAACTTTATCTTAATGTTATTATAAAATCCATGGATGTTCCAAAACTTATTTTGCACTTAATCTCTTTTATACATCATATTAAAGCATTTAAGTAACAAGATCTTTTGCATGAACACTGACAGAATTCCAAACATCACCCTTAATAAAAATCATCATATTCTTTTTACTTCTAATGAATATTTTCCATGTGATATACTCTTTTGTATTTCAATATCTGTTCTTCCATTAAATGGAGGTACTCCAGATAATAAAATATATAAAATAACACCACAAGACCAAATATCACATTTTTCATTATAATTACGTTTCAATACTTCAGGTGCCATATAAAATAAAGTTCCAAATTTTTCATTAATTTGTTGATTAGGTGAAAATATTTTTGCTGTTCCCCAATCTACAACCTTCACATTATAATTGCCTTAACTGGTTATATCAAGTAAAACATTTTCTGGTTTTAAATCTCTATGCACTATATTTTGATTGTGAGCATACAAAATTGCAGACATTATCTACTTCATAACATAAGATGCTTCTTTTTCTGAAAAACTACCTTTTTCAATTATTTTATCAAACAATTCTCCACTAAATTCCATTTCAATATATACCCTGTGCATAATTCTATAATAATGTAGAAATTCTTTTCATCTTAATAGAACTCATATAATTTAAGTATGTGAGGATGATCTAATTATTTATAAACATTTATTTCATTTATAAACTTTTATTGTAACTCAGTAGTAGAAAGTCTTGATTTACTAATGACCTATTATAAATGATAAACATTTCTCAAACTTTCATTGCTCTTATAACTCTAGTTTTTCTATGTGTCACTTTTCTAACTTATGAAAATGCACCAACACCCAATACTCCCTAAATAATATATATAATATATACTCCAAGTTTATAGTCATCTGTATATGAGTTTTATTTCTCAACAATGAATTGACTAAAATTTAATTTCAGATGATTTTGATCCATAAGTCTTATTTTTATGTATAATTATCAAATTGATTAATAATCAAAATCCTCTTTATAAACATCCTTAATTACACCAATTTTACATAGTTTACCTCTCCATTAAAATTAAAATATTTATTTTGAAAAGTTATACTCTTAAAAGTAATAAAGAATAAATTACTCATGTTAGTTATTTTTATAATATTTTAATAATAATTAAATAAAGAAATAAACTAATAATCCATAGTAATTTTTATTTGAATATTTAATTATTATTAAAATATCTATAATAAATAGATTATCTAATCTTAAAATAAATTATGACAAGTAGAATGAAATTTGAAATAATAAGTAGTAAATCATTTTTATTTTCTTGTTGAACTCTATCCTCTTTAACTTATAGATGATTTTAAATGAGTTGATGAACTAGATCCTCTTTTTACTTAAGGTGGTCTCCATGACAATTCATTATGTTAAGGACTTTATGGTTTCTTTTTACTTGTTAAAGTTTATAACATCTTCTATATCTAAAATTATTTAAAATGATATATTTACATAATTTCGATCAATTATAGGACGATCTGATAATACAGTACTTAAAGTGGGATGATTGTCTTAACTCTTTCTAGGTTTCTCTTTCATCATTTATTAAAATGATTTACGTAATAAAGACAATGGCATAATACTTTATGGTGTAAGTGATTATTTTTGAGTTTTAGAAAATTATTTCTCTATATCATTCAAATTTAATTAAAGATTTTTCTTTTTTGTAGATGATTAACTTATTTATAATAGCTTTTTATCAATAAGATGATCACTTTGAACTCTCATCTTTTATTTCAATTAAAATATGTCTTTATATGTTTCATTAACATAATTAAAGAAATCAAAAAGATCTTCTGAACTACTTAATTCACCATGTTCATTTTTCTAATTTAGATCACTAACATCAATCTTCAAAAATTCTTAATGAATATGTGTTTCATATATATCTATAAATATAGGCATCTAATTAGATTTCTTTTATTTAACAGCTTGCCAATCAACATTACTAAACCAAGAATTCTTCTTTAAAGTATTAAAATCATGTATTCTTTCTGTAATATTCTTATTTAAAAGACTTTACAATAATGACATTACATCAATACTCAAATCTTCAGGGAATGATATATCCTCATTCTAAATTTTATGAAATATTTCCTCAGTATTTTGTGAATAATGAGGTGGTAAACCTAACAACAATTCATATAATAAACATCCTAAGGTATAAAAGTCAGCAGGATATGAATAACCTTATCGATTAACAATTTCTGGAGGCATATATTCAGGAGAACCACAGAAACTATTTGTTAATTGTTCTTCACTCAAATCCAATTTAGACAAACCAAAATCTGTTAATTAAATATGACCTCTTAGATCTATGAGTATATTTTCTGGCTATTTATATATATAATATATTAGATAATACTTTTAAGTCTCTATATAAAACTCTATGTTAATGAAGTTCTTCTAAAGCACAAATGACTTCACAAATATAAGCTCTTGCTTCATCATCTGTAAAACGGTAATTTTAAAGATGATAAAACATTTCACCTCCAGCAGAGTATTCCATTAAAAAACATAGATGATCTTTAGTTGCAAATGTAGCATACAATGGTATTATAAATTTAGAATGATTCAGAACCTGAGATAGTATTTTCTTTTCTCTAAGAATTTGTTCCAGTCTTCTGCAATCAGTAATATATTATTTTTTGATCATTTTCAGAGCAAACAATCGTCCAGATACATGATGACGTACCAAATAGACCTCTGAAGTACCTCCTTTGCCTATGCATCTTTCAAATGTGAAATCTAGAAGACTGAGAATTGATTTATGAGCATTTTATCTATAGACTCCAATCAAAGCTTCTTATTTTAACTTGTGTATGGGCAGTTAAGCTGATTTAAAATGAATTTAAAAGCTTACCTCTCTCTTCTGGTACAGACAGCATGTAATCCATAGTGATTGAATTGGAGACAGTTTTCAGAGCAACTAACTATTATGAATTTGGTGTTGCTGGATGTTCACGAAGCTAACATTAATAACTCTTAAATATTTATACCTTGTTTAGGAGATCAGCTACACTCTTGTCCATTGCTATATCAATTGCCACTTATTTATCATTACATCTTATCAATATAGTTCTAATTTTCTATGAGTGATTTCTCTTGTGTTCTAACATTATTTATGTTATAAAGAATTAAAATTGTTAGATCCCTCAATTAGACATTGAGATATCGCTATGAATAGCTATCTGCTGAGCTCTACTTTCTCAATCAAAGAGATTCCTATGGTGCAAAAACACCCAAATCTGTCAGTCTCAAACCATTAAAAGCAGCCAATCAAGGATATCTGGCAAATAATCATGAAAGTTCTGATACTTGTTATGTGACTGGGGTACCCTATGGTTAAACCAAAGACAAATTTTAGAATTACGATATCTTTAATAGTCTTAATACATAGTATATCAAATTCCTATACTTAGAATGCATCCAGATCTTATTGTATTATAATTAGACCCTTCACCTTATATTGCAAGACAAAGATTCTTGGCTCATAAATGTGCACTTTAAAATGTAGAAGGTTATGAATAGTATGACACTCCTTTGATTGATCCCCTAAAACCTCATGCTTGGGAAGAAGCTATTGTTAATTTAGTTGTCTTGGATATGCTTAATGCCAATAAAAATATGGAAGAAATTGATTGGTCTAAAGGTCTTAGTACTTATTCATATGCTAATATTTAATCCAAAGAAATATAAGAAGCCAATAAAAATCTATTCATACAAACTATTGATGAACATATTATCAACCATAGATATTCAGAATATTATCTCATTAATCGTGTACTTTACACAGCCCTTATGGGTAAACACAAAGTTTTATTGGCTGACATGCCTGATCATTTACATAAATTAAATATAGGTGGCACTCTTGAAATCTAAGAAGCTAGAGATCTATTTAAATATACTCTACAAAAAACTAAATAAATGAATGATATTCCTATAACCTTAAGAAAAGCTGCTTATGATTTCTTACCCCATGTTTTTTAAACACCCAAAGATTTATATATGACTGGAATGTTAAAGAGTGCTTTTGAAGGATGTGAAACAATTAATGCCTATGTTGGAATCCCTCACTTAGTTCCCATCAACAATTATTGGGTTGAAGCTCCTCATGGTATCAATTATACTGAAGCAACTCGAATTCCACCTAGAAGAACTGGAGAAACTGATGAAAATTAAATTGAAAAAATGGCACTTTTAGATGTACTTCTTGAAACTCATACTTGGGCAGAACCATATTTGAGTAATCCATTCCCTTATATTGTTGAAGATCTTACACAAGTATAATAGATTCAAATTATTCAAAGGCTACAGCTGGAGATTTGAAGGCCATGAAAGAATGCTTCTTACAATATTACTAAAAATATAGTGCATATAAAAATGAATTACAAAAGGAATTACCTAATTTGAGAAATCATGATATTAAATTTATTGAATAATCTAGATAAGCCATACCTGATATGAAATATGAAAAATCAATTGAGATCAAAGCATTAACAAATAAATAATTATAATAAAGAAATGTAGAAATAGTATAATGATTAGTTTAATTAAAAATTATTCATTAATTCATTAAATTTTTATATTTTATTTATTTATAACTATTTATTATAACTATTTATTAATATTTACTTAAAAAAATACTGATAGGTATTAGTATTAAATATATTTTTAATAAAAACTCATATTAATTTTCACAATGATTCATTAAATTTATAAATAATATTCATTTTTTTTTAACAATTTGTCTTTATTTATTATTTAAAAAAATGATAATTCTTGTCCTTCTCTATTCTCACTTAAATCTAATAAAACTCTATAAACTTGTATCTATTATTTAATTGCATTTACGAATCTCTCTTAATATAATAATCCTATAAAATTAGATATTCACTTTTATTAGAGTGATTATTCATAATTAAAACATTACATATGATAATAGTTATATTATATTATTAAATTTGTTGTGCTACTTATCTATAATATCATCATTTTAATTTAGATCGAATATAAATTCTATATTTAGTAGAATAGATATCTATGAATTTGGATATTGAATTCTAAAATTAATAATATTTGTTTTATCAAATAGTTATTTTAGTTAGTCTTATTTCTATAGTAGTATTATGAAATTAGGTTAAAAGAATGAATAAGTTTTTTCAAGTACATTATTATTTAATATATATATATATAAAAACGTATTAAATGCAATATTTTTTGGCTTTGTGTTTTGTTTTAGTAGCTTTTGGATAATAGATTAAAGGAAATGGAAAACATCATAAACACAAGAACAAAGAGATAGGGTTTGTGTAGGTTTCAGCAGATTTGAATGATTAACGTATCATCTTAGAAGGGATTATACAATAGGTGAATCAATTAGCTCTTTTAGTATAAAGATAAAATGTATTTGATGATAGTTTGAGACAAAGACCTTTTGATTTGATGGGTTAATTGGATCGTCTTGATAAATTAGAATTGTACCCAGAAGAATCTAAGATTATTGAAAGCCTAAAATAGTAATTAAATATAATTTCTAATGCAATGGATGTTGATGATTATATTTAAGAATGTGATGATGAAGATGTTTGTTAAATTTGTTAAGCCTCCATGTATTATTAATTGGATGATGATAATTGGTATATGATTGGATTTGAGCATGGATTTAAGTAATTATGCATTGAAATGAAGAAAGGAGTTCCAATTCCTCTTAGATTCTGCAAAATAAGCACTAGGATCTGATGGGGATCTTTTGTTGGCCTTTTCAAGTGATAATCACATATGTTTACAATTTGTCAATCTAAAACATCCAATAGACATCAATGGTGTACTAAAATTATATTTGGGAACTACATTAAATGATTACCAAAATAAATTGATTCACTTACCAACTCATGGAATACCTTTAGAGTTCCTAGTTAGAGCAGAATATTAGAATAGAAATTTCATTTACAAAGACCTAAAATTTATTGTAAATGATAATTCTTAGAGAGACATTCTAGGTGGTCGATTGAATAAGTTGCAATTCTCCATTTTCGATTAAAATGTTTATATATTAGAATATCATGTAAGGTATTCATTGAATATGATGGCCAATTTTATATTCAATCCCAAATCTTCCCATTTTAGATTAAAACTATTTAAGGAAACACTAAATCAGAATAAGTAAATCCATTTATATTATAATAATCCATAGATCAATATTAAATATTCAAAGAATATAGCTGAGAAATATTTGTCTAATTCTATTTTGAAGGATACATTCAAATTTAGCTAGATGCAAGCTTCTACTTATACAAATAGTACTGACATTGTAATATCTGTTGAATTAGATTGATTTTTATTTTTAATTCTAATAATATTAAATTGCATGAAAAGGATATATAATAATAATCAGCCAATCAACAGACCCCTTTATTAATAAGGATACAAAGTTCAAGATCAAGTAGTTCCATAAGGAATTGCATTTTTTTCTACATCTGGTAAAAGACATTATCCAGATTTCCAGAGAGGAGAACTCGAAACTTACTAAGGAATGCAACATCTCTTCGACCCACCCAAAAGGTAAAATATTCTTGAGATTTTCTTAGATTAGCTCAAGATTATGATAGATCATTAAATACAAAAGACATTGATGGAGCAGTTACAAATACTCTACGTAGTAAAGTTGTAAAAAACATGGAATTAGCATAAGTTTATAAACAAGAAAAGCAAAAATCTTTATGGGAATAAGGTAGTAAACCTAGTGATGTTGATTCATAAGCTTATCAACCAAGAATGAAATGGGATGAGAATGATCCATATAAAAATAGAAGTGCAATATATACAAATATTCAGGATTCTAAAAGAAAATTAGATGATTTAAGTGATAAACATCTAGATACCATTTAATATCCTGATTCTACTAATTACAAGCATAATCAACAATTTCTAGAATCTCAACATTAAAAATAATTATATCCATAATCATATGATGATCCTAATTTAATTGCATAACGTTAACAAACATAAAACTAGTAACAATTTATTTAATTATAAAATTCACAATCTTAACCAAATCTAGTTGTTTTACCTTAAAATAATTAAATATTGAACTAATCTGAGTAACTATATTAGTAACCTCAATAATATCAATATTCAATTGATGATGAGAGATAAAAATAGTAATAATTACTAATGCAAAAATAATGGGAATAATAAAGAATGGAGAGTCTTTAAAAATTACAGCAATAATAAAATGATAGAATAAGAGAACAATAGAATTTGAAAATGCAATAGGATTAAGACTATCAAATTATTTAATAGTAAAGATAATAATCATTAAATTAAAAATAATAGTATGCTCAAGATTTAAGATAATAATAGGAAAGTAACAAAGAAGGAAGCCTTAGAAAAGGATTCACACCTCCACCTGCATCTAAAAGTGAACTAATTGGTGCTATTTTATCACCTCCAAAATTATAAAAATCATAAGGATTTGATGGAGATAAGAATTAAAATATGAGAGATTCTTTAACTAAAGAAATAGAAGAAAATGAAAGAAAATTAGTAATTAATCGTTTTAGACCACATGAATTACAGTAATATATTTATGACATGAAAAATGGAAGAATAGGTGGTAGTAAAACAAGAAATAATCCAACCTTTATGTCCTATGCAGGACAATAATTAGTAAATCAATAATAATGATAACATATTATAATAATTATAATATTATATTTATTATCATAATCTTAATTATAATATATTTCAAGTATAAATTAACATTCTATTTTCAAAATCAATATTTTACAATACATAATATATATATAATTAAAAACGTAAATTATAATTTAACAAAATAGATATCATTGTCAATTATATATTATAACAATAGATATTTAGATATAATTATATTTTAGAATATTTAATCTTATCAAATTTCATATTCTTCCCATGAGTTCTCTTCTTCAAGAATTTCCTCTACTGGTCTTGGATCTTCATAAAATAATTCCTCCCATGTCATTGCATATCTATATTTATCTAAAATATTTCATTTATCTAATACCTTTAAGTGCATCTTATAATAATTTCTTTCTGCTTCTTTCAAGGGTTGGTTTGTACCAAACACCATAACCCCAATTCCTAATGTATTTAAGTATGAACACAACCTTTTATTAACTTCTGCTTAAGCAACTAATTCAGCCTCTGTGAATTATCTTTATTTATAATAAGCCCATTTCCCGAAAAAGTAATATCTACCTCCATAGAATGCTGTGAATGCAAAAGCTCCCAATACAACAAACTTAATAATAGAATTGTTTAAAATACAGGTCTGATTCTTCTCAACCACCAGGCATTGGTTTCCCAGACAAAGTTTGTCCACTGATAAACCATTTTATATTAAATTTAATATTATCATTTATTTTCTTTTAAATTCATTGAATCAATATAAATAATATCATCATAATTTGATTTATGTCAATAAACAAGAATCTTAATAATATTAGTTAACTTATTATTCATATTATTTTTTAATAAAACTTCAATTTAAATAAATACTAAAATTTTAATATTTTTTAGAAATGCTCTAGAAATGCTATATCTCTATTTAATTATCAATAAAATTTCGATTTTACCCTTAGCAATAATAATATAAATTTAATATAATAAAATACAATTAATTTTTTTGATTTATTCTAGAAAGTAAGTAATTAGATTTTCTTAATATATTTCAATTAATTTTAAATAATGAAAAATTACCTTATGGCAATTATGAAATAAATAATTTGATTAAGGATTTAATTCTTTCTATTATAAAAAATTTAGAAATTTGATTATAAGTTAGGAATAAAATTAAAGAAAATATTTGAATGCCAATTTAAAATTTGGTATATAAAAATACATTAAAAGTATAAAATATTAAAGAGTTCCACAACTTTAATTAGAACCAATTAATGATTAAATATTTTCCTTTAAATATGAAATTTTATTCAAATGATGTAATTTTAAACTCTAGAAATTTTAGTGAAAAGGTAAATATTATAAAAAAAAATATAAAAATTCTTCCTATATATTTAAATAAATTCATTCAGTATTTATCTTGATTCATTTTTTTAAATAAAATTTTGAAAATAATATAATATCAATATAAAATGTTGATTGGAAAATAGCATCTTTTATTCAGTGATGTTTGTCAACTAGTTTACCTAATATATATTAATCAAGGTTTATATATTATCAATTATTAGCCATTTCAATTATTTTATTATCTTTGATAACTGTACTTTATGCTAGCAGTATAATTTTTGAAGTTTTGCCTGTAATACTCAAAAATGAACAGAGAAATTAAATTTTTCATATAATTGGATTCACAATTAAAATAATCTCCTTTTGGTTTGCATATTAAATAAAATAAGAATACATTCTTTGCACTTTATTATTAACCCAAATATTATTTAATAATATTGACTTAAAAAAGAAGCCTTAACCTATACTAATTTTAGGTTAAATGAGTCTATTCATTTTTAATTTTGAATAGATTGTGCTTGATTATGAATAGATGTTTATAATTATTGTATAATTAGCTATTTTTAGTTTATGGTTATTTAGAGAAAGATGTATATAACAACGACATAGTATTGAAGCTGATCAATAAAAGAGTTAATAAGAATGTTCAATAAATATATAAGTTGATGTACTTAAACAAGAATAGAATTTTATTCATACAAATTCAACGAAGAGATTAAATATACCACAAAATTCATTATTATTTAATGATTAATTTGAACTCTTAGAAACACAAATTAATTTTGCAGATTTGATAACTCATCAAAATTAATATAATTAAGCATTTGAAATACTTTTAAATTTAAATTGTAATTATATTTAATACACTACGTTAAAATAATGTGAACTTAGAATAATAGTATTATAAATGTAAATTGATGAGCAACTACTCTTAACAATAGAAAAAAATGAGTATTTCAAATATGAAAATAATGTTATGTTAATAAATTGTATTGTAGTAGATGGAATTAAATACTTTTAATTACAATTTTTTGTTTTACCTCTAAAAATTAATGATAAAGAAGAAATAGATGAATCAATGGAAATAGATATGTGTAGATCATTATCACATGAATTGGGAACAAATTTAAATAGCATAATAACTTTTACTAAAATGGCATTAAATGATGACAATGTCAATTCATTTTTTAAATGTAAATATTTAGAACCAATAAGAATTAATAGTGAATAACTTAATTTAATTGTTGGGACAATTAGAGATTATAATTTAATAAATTTAAAGTAATTCAGTTTGAAATTAGAAGAGTTAGATTTAGAATCTGAAATTCGATTTATTGTATCATTACTTAATGAGAGTATTGAAAATAAAAACATTAAAATAGAATATCATTTTGATTTATAATCGAATGTATTGGTTAATGATAAAATAAGATTTAGATAAGTATTATTTCAATTAATGTAAAATGCAGTCAAATATACATTTGAATCTTCAATAAATATAACAATCTTGAATGATATTTTAGAATGTTTTATCTCAATTACAGACAATGGAATTGGAATGGTATTATGTAATACTATATTGTATAGACTGAATAGGAAGCAGAAAATATGAATTCATTGTTGCAATCTAATAAATTTGTAAAAGTTTCAGAATAATCAGTTGGAGTTGGATTGGGACTTGGAATATCAAATTAACTTGTAAAATAAATGAGTGGAAAGAATAATTCCATTTAACTTAGTAGAAATGATAATAAAGGATGTTAATTTAGCTTTTATATAAAGAATCATTAATTGGAAATGTCAAAGGAATTTATGAGAAAATAATCATCAGGATTCATTAAGAAGAGCACATAGACAATTCGTTTTATATCTGCTAATACATATTTTGAAGATTAAGTAAAAGGATAATCTATTTAAAAAATACAATTATAAAAGAGTTTAATATAAACTCAGAATAATTCATAATAATAATTTAAACTACCATCTACAAATAGAATAAATGCATATCAAGAAAACAAAAATTAGAGTGAAGAAGATAGTTTTTCATCTATTCATCCTCCTATCTTAAGTCCAAAATTTTAGTAATCTATTGTACAATGCAGTCTCAACAGTGACTGTTGTTCAAGAGTATTAATTGTAGATGATGAATACTTTAATATACAATGTCTGAAATTATTGATGACTAAATATTAATCAAAATGTGATTCAGCCTATAATGGAAAGGAAGCAATATAAATTGTAAATCATAAGAAACATCATCCTTGCAAGAAATGTGGAAATCGATATTACAGTTTGATATTCTTGGATATTAATATGCCAATTTAAGATGGTTATAAAACAGTTAAAGAATTGAAACATTTAATGAAATAATAAATAATAAATAAGGCTTGGTGTATTGCTAATACAGGATTTTGTGATCTAGATACAAAACTTAAAAGTTATGAAGCAGGCATGGATTATTACTTAACTAAACCTTTAGATTAGAATGAACTTAGAAGTATTTTGAATGTATTATTTCCTATTAATGATTACTGATTATAATATATTATAAATTATAATATCATTTCTAATTTTATCTAACTATATATACTCATTATGTAAAAATATTTAAAAATCCGATTAATTTCTTTTTATCCATACGTTGATCTATAACAATATAGTTATTATTTTTGAGTAACTTTGGTTTTGAGAAAAGATATTTTAAATTAAAATTATATATATATATATTGTTCTGGAGTTAAAATTCTTATGTATGAAGAATAAATAAACATTATTGAATAGAAAATTGTCAAAAAAATGTAAGTCTTTTCAATTATATATAAGCTTTTAGCTAAGCAATTCTTTTTTTAATTGGATCATTATATTTCAAACTTATATATGTATTGTAGTTTAAGTGATTATTTTAATCATTCAATTATTCTATTTGGCCTAAACATAAATCATTATAATTTTATAATGCTTGCATTAATATATATTTACTCTTTGAAATTCACATAGATATTATTGGATTCATATTTTATAGATATTACAAATAAAATATACATTAATTGTATAAAGTTTATTTATTGATCTAAAAGCAATTTAATTGAATATTTAGGAAATAGATGATTTTGTAAATAAAAAGTAACAAATTTGTTTTTTTATTTTAAATAATTTAATGTTTAATTATAATATTGATGACTATTCAGCATACATGATATCTCATGATCAAATCAGTCTAACATATAGAGGATAAATGTAACACTCTCGAAAATATTAGTACAAAGGAGATATATCAATTCAAATTTTTATAATTTGACATTTTAGAGGAGATATTATTTTTAAAATAAGAAGAAACTGCTGTCTCTTTACCTTGGGCTAAAACAATAATTGTTAATTTTTGGAATATTCCAAAAGAGAATTATACATTGTTTAATTTATATGGAGGTATGAAAATACTATTTGATATGGACATAATTAAAGATCTTTAAGAAGTTCAATTCAAGTTCTTTTCTAATGAAGATATATAAGCATTATTTAAATTAAAATGGTTATAATCTGATAATAGCAATTATTTTTATTTTGAAATACAAGAAGTGGTATAATTATATTATGAATCAATTTAGAATCAATATGAATTAACACTTTAATGGAGAGACCCAATTTAAAATGCTGAATGTAGTAGTTTAGAATTAGAGAGATAATTATTAAAGAGAAATTTAACTTAATTGTTAAATAAAATGGGTGATTATAAGTATAATTAATAATATTTTAGTAATATATATGATTAATAAGAGTTATTTGAAATGATTTTGGAAAATCAATATGATACTATTTATATATACTTTCCTTCAATAATAAAATTAAAAATACATACTAAAATATTTGAAGAGAGTGAAGAATAATTTAGATCAGTAGAATTGTTTATTCATAATGAATGGTTTAAGGAAAGATAGGATAATTTGATTGCTTAATTTGAAATATTGCATTCATAAATTTAAAGATCTATGAATGATTATCCTGATGAAATAATTTTAGATTATGCCTTGATTTATGATGAAGAATAAATAAATTGTTCTTAATTAATGAGTAAGATTAATTCATTAATTATTAAAATATTGTTAACAAATAATAAGAAAATTCAAACCATCTTATTATCTTTAATGCCTTTAGAAATTCATTTTGAATTAGATATAAAAAGATAAGAACTTAATTTAGATATAAATTTACATCATGAAGATCCATAAGATATATATTAAGAAGGATTGATAATTTTATTATAAACAATTACAACTTGTAAATTGTTTTAATCTTTGAAAGTAGATATTTAATAAGAAGATGATTCAAATAATGTAAAATTTCTATTATTCTCTTTCATTATGATGATTCATGAATTCTAATAAACTCTTATAAAAAAAGGCACTTTTACTTATAATAATTACTCTTTGATTCCAAGATATAATTCAGTCTGTTCAAAAGGAGCTATGAATTATTTAATTTCAGAAAAAAAGTAATTGAAATATTATTATTATAGATCAATTTATTAAATTTCAGAGAAAGATTATCTTGATATTCAAAGAGAAATAGGATGTTTTATTTAATATCTCAATTGGTATGCTAAAGATAGTAATTCAATAATAATTTCTTGTGATATGTGTGAATTAAGTAATTCTAGTAAATAATTCTATGATCAATTAATTGAATAATTAATAAAATAGAATACAATATTTGAATTTGGAATATTAGATAATGTAAATAGAGATTAAAAATATTATGAAAGAGTTACTAAATAATTATTATTACCACTTATAAAATATTTTAGATAAAAGAAGAGAATATTGACAACAATGTTTGTGATAGATAGAAAATATTAGAGTAGAATGAGATGGGAGACTATAAAAGAAATGATTAATTATTTGCCAAATGAATATTAATGCTTGTTACATTTGTAAAATTGAATAAAATGAAAAAAAAATTAAATCCTTTTAAATAAATTATTAAAAAAAGAAATAATTCCTAAGTAAATGCCATCAAAGAGAAGAAATAATGGTCGTTCAAAGAAAAATAGAGGTCATGTCAAGCCAGTCACATGCTCAAATTGTTGTAGATTAGTTGGCAAAGATAAGGCCATCAAAAGATTCACAGTGAGAGATATTGTTGATGCATCATCAAAGAAAGACATTTTGGAAGCTTCTGCTTATGAATCCAAATAATAATAGTCAATTCCAAAATTATTTGATAAACTTCAAGTAGTGTTAATAAATTAAAGTAGTATTGCATTTCTTGTGCTATCCATGCACGTATCGTTAGAGTGAGATCAGCTGAAGATAGAAAAATTCGTGTCATTGAAAGAAAACGACCTGTTTAATAATCAACATAAAAAAAAGATGCACCAAAACCATAAGCTCCAGTTGCAGCTTAATGATATATCTAATACAAACATACATTATAAAATATTCATTTATTTCATTTATTAAGCATCTTGAATCCATTTTTTTAGTATTTCTATAAATAATTTAAAAAAAAATTAATATCTTCAATCAATGACACATAGTTATGGTTTAAAAAAGGGAACAAGAAGCAAGTTTGCAAAACCATTTAGAGGACATGGCAACATAAGTATACGTAAAACACTCTAAACATTCAAAAGAGGTATAAATTTTATAGTATTTCTTATAATAGGTGATTTCGTTGATATTTTGGTTGATGGAGCATAACATAAAGGAGTACCATTTTAATATTATCATGGAAGAACAGCTAGAGTATTCAATGTTAATCCAAGAGGAATTGGTGTCTCATTATAAAGAAGAGTAAGAGGAAGATATGTTGAGAAAAGATTTCATGTTAGAGCTGATCATTTGAGACCATCAAAATGCAGAGAAGAATTTGTTAAAAGAGTTTAAGAAAATGATAAAAAAAAGACTGAAGCTAATAAATTGAAATAACATATCTCAACTAAAAGACAACCTGTTTTACCAAGAACTGCTGAAATTGTCAAACCTACAGCTACAGTCTTTTAACATCCAAAAGCATTTGTAGAAATTATTTGAAATATAATATCATAAGTATAATAATACAATAATTTAACATTAAATCTATTTAATATTATTCTTAAAATTATTATAGATTGATTTTTTGTCTCAAATAAGCTAATAAATAGGAAGAATATATATCTGCTTTCAAAATATTTAATATTTATATTATCCTCTTAAAAATTTAATGATTAGAGAAAAACTCTCTGATAAAGATTTTTTTATATCTTTAGTACTAATCCTTTATTTTATACTTAAATTAAATTAAAATATTTACAATGAACTCTACAGAATTAAAATTCCATTTCAATTTTTACTTTTGATTAAACTAAGTCTCAAAACATGAGAAATTAAGATACTAAAACAAAAATTGATGATCTATGTGAATTCTAAAAATAAAACCTAGTTTTACACAAAGGAATTTTTTAAACTCACCTAATGAAAGCAAAAATAAAAATTTTAGAACTTAAACTCTTTTTAAAAAGATATAATGTATGAATAAAATTATTAAAATAATATTCAAAGAATGGAAGAAGAAAAATAATTCCTATTATTCATTTAAAAATTATGAAGACTACATTTCTAAACATATATATAAACATTTAAATGGGCTTGTTATAATAATTTTTATAAAAATCTTTTCTATATTTAAAGCTAAAATATATTGTTGCTATATCATCTTGATCTTTAAAGGGACTTAATTTATTCCTGTAATCTCATTTTCTCTTTTTCAAATTCATCTTTTAATTAAAGATTTTTTTATTATTCTTATTCAAATTTCTTGGTAATTTCATTAAAAGAAGCCTATTAATTTTATAATTCTTTTTCTTGTTTATCAAAATTTTCTTTCATTTTGTAAAGTTATTATTAATACTTTTATGACATTTCCTTGGCCTTATATTCTAATTCAGATATGTCTTTGAGTTATATTTACAATTATTTAATTTATTCTTAACATTCTTTTAATCTCTTTTAAAGCTTTTCCAAAGTTTCTTTAACGACATTGGGATTTTATAAATCTTTAATGCAATCTTTACATTCTGATAATGATTATGTTGATTATTTTAAATATATTTTTTCAATTTCTGCATTTGTCAATTATTCTTATAATGCTGATTTTTCTTTCATAAGTTTTTCAATATTCCTTTCAAATGACCTCTTAAACTATTCCATTTCAACATCATGTTATTATTTTTGATCTTTAAATCTCTATGTATTTTCATTTTACATTTATGTTATTCTATTCTTTAATTCTTATTGGCTATTTATTCTTTCTTTACTGAGTTATTATTCATAACTACTCTATAGATCAACAAGGTCTTTCTTTAATTTTGTAATTTCTTGATTGTTTTGTTCAAGTTAAGCTCGTTATTATTTATTTAACTTCTCTAATTCTTCTAACTTTTGCTGCATAAGAANATATTTATATTATCCTCTTAAAAATTTAATGATTAGAGAAAAACTCTCTGATAAAGATTTTTTTATATCTTTAGTACTAATCCTTTATTTTATACTTAAATTAAATTAAAATATTTACAATGAACTCTACAGAATTAAAATTCCATTTCAATTTTTACTTTTGATTAAACTAAGTCTCAAAACATGAGAAATTAAGATACTAAAACAAAAATTGATGATCTATGTGAATTCTAAAAATAAAACCTAGTTTTACACAAAGGAATTTTTTAAACTCACCTAATGAAAGCAAAAATAAAAATTTTAGAACTTAAACTCTTTTTAAAAAGATATAATGTATGAATAAAATTATTAAAATAATATTCAAAGAATGGAAGAAGAAAAATAATTCCTATTATTCATTTAAAAATTATGAAGACTACATTTCTAAACATATATATAAACATTTAAATGGGCTTGTTATAATAATTTTTATAAAAATCTTTTCTATATTTAAAGCTAAAATATATTGTTGCTATATCATCTTGATCTTTAAAGGGACTTAATTTATTCCTGTAATCTCATTTTCTCTTTTTCAAATTCATCTTTTAATTAAAGATTTTTTTATTATTCTTATTCAAATTTCTTGGTAATTTCATTAAAAGAAGCCTATTAATTTTATAATTCTTTTTCTTGTTTATCAAAATTTTCTTTCATTTTGTAAAGTTATTATTAATACTTTTATGACATTTCCTTGGCCTTATATTCTAATTCAGATATGTCTTTGAGTTATATTTACAATTATTTAATTTATTCTTAACATTCTTTTAATCTCTTTTAAAGCTTTTCCAAAGTTTCTTTAACGACATTGGGATTTTATAAATCTTTAATGCAATCTTTACATTCTGATAATGATTATGTTGATTATTTTAAATATATTTTTTCAATTTCTGCATTTGTCAATTATTCTTATAATGCTGATTTTTCTTTCATAAGTTTTTCAATATTCCTTTCAAATGACCTCTTAAACTATTCCATTTCAACATCATGTTATTATTTTTGATCTTTAAATCTCTATGTATTTTCATTTTACATTTATGTTATTCTATTCTTTAATTCTTATTGGCTATTTATTCTTTCTTTACTGAGTTATTATTCATAACTACTCTATAGATCAACAAGGTCTTTCTTTAATTTTGTAATTTCTTGATTGTTTTGTTCAAGTTAAGCTCGTTATTATTTATTTAACTTCTCTAATTCTTCTAACTTTTGCTGCATAAGAATTATATATTATTTAATAATAATATTAAGAAAGTCTAATGTTATTATTGATTGTCTATTTGTATTTCTATTAAATATAAATCTTTTTTATTATTAATTATATATTTATAAGTATAATAGATAAATACTTTAAATTCTTAATTTTTTAATGTCTTTTGTTTTGTTTTGTTTATTTTTAATTCATTTTGAAATCAAAATTGGTGAAATAATAAAGATTGATAGAGAGATACTTAAGAATTAGAAATTCCTTAAAAAGAATATTTGCTGATGGAATATTGATTAATACATTTAGAAAAGTATTAAACTTCTTTAAATATAGTATATAAATATTGTATATAATTAATAATAAAAAATAGACTTATTATTTAATAGAAATAGAGATTAAATAATTATTTATTTATTTTTAATATCTTTAATGAAAAAAAAGGCTAGAAATAATAAACCATAACCCAAATTTGAAGATATAGTAAAAGAAACAAGATAAAGGTATTAATAATAACATAAAATGTTGTATTAATAATTTGAAAAAGCAAAATCTGAATTAGAAATAAAAGTCAAAGAAGATTTAGAAAAGCTAGCCAAAGGAAATATTATTAAAAATTAAGAATAAGATGAAAAAGAAATAAATTAAAACTATAAGAAATAGTTTTAAAAATTGATAAAAAATTTTAATCAAGAATTAGATTAATTATCATTTAATATTATTGGTTTGAAAAAAATGACTAAGATTTTTGAAGAAGAATAATAAAAGAATAAATAATTATTAGAAGAAATAGAAAAGTTAAAGAATGATTCAAATGATCCAAATATTAATTTTGATAAAAAAGTTTAGATAGCAGTACAAGAAGAATTAAATAAAAATATAATATAAATCTAAAATGAGAATTAATTGATGTTTGAAAGTTTAAAAAAATAATATGATGAAGAAATGAAGTAATACATCAAAATTTCTGAAAGGACTATTCATAAACTTAAATAAGAAAACATAAAATAATAAGATAATATTGCCAAAATGAAAAAATTATTAGAAGCATAAGACAAAGATTTTCAAATTTTAACAAATGAGTTTATAAAGTTTTATTAAGGTTATTTTGAAATAATTAATTAATTGAAAGAATAAGATTATAAATAATTATAAAATAAGATTAAATAAGATTAAGAATAAATGTAAAAAGTCAAAGATGCATTAGAATAGGAAAAAATTGCTAAAGAAAATTATGAAAAATATTAAAAAGAAATTTAACTATTGTAATAAAGATTTGATCAAGAACGTCTTCAATAAAAAAAACAAATCAAAGAAGCTGAATAATAGATGCAATAAGCCAAAGAATGTTAAAAAAAGTATTAGAGTAAGATTGACAATTAGAAAAATTAATTAAAGGATATAGAATAAGAGCTACAAAAAGCTTAAGATAAGGAAAGAAATTCTGAATATGCAACCAAATAAATTTAATAAGAATTGGATTAAACCAAAGAAGATTTAGAATAGTATAAGNCCAAAGGAAATATTATTAAAAATTAAGAATAAGATGAAAAAGAAATAAATTAAAACTATAAGAAATAGTTTTAAAAATTGATAAAAAATTTTAATCAAGAATTAGATTAATTATCATTTAATATTATTGGTTTGAAAAAAATGACTAAGATTTTTGAAGAAGAATAATAAAAGAATAAATAATTATTAGAAGAAATAGAAAAGTTAAAGAATGATTCAAATGATCCAAATATTAATTTTGATAAAAAAGTTTAGATAGCAGTACAAGAAGAATTAAATAAAAATATAATATAAATCTAAAATGAGAATTAATTGATGTTTGAAAGTTTAAAAAAATAATATGATGAAGAAATGAAGTAATACATCAAAATTTCTGAAAGGACTATTCATAAACTTAAATAAGAAAACATAAAATAATAAGATAATATTGCCAAAATGAAAAAATTATTAGAAGCATAAGACAAAGATTTTCAAATTTTAACAAATGAGTTTATAAAGTTTTATTAAGGTTATTTTGAAATAATTAATTAATTGAAAGAATAAGATTATAAATAATTATAAAATAAGATTAAATAAGATTAAGAATAAATGTAAAAAGTCAAAGATGCATTAGAATAGGAAAAAATTGCTAAAGAAAATTATGAAAAATATTAAAAAGAAATTTAACTATTGTAATAAAGATTTGATCAAGAACGTCTTCAATAAAAAAAACAAATCAAAGAAGCTGAATAATAGATGCAATAAGCCAAAGAATGTTAAAAAAAGTATTAGAGTAAGATTGACAATTAGAAAAATTAATTAAAGGATATAGAATAAGAGCTACAAAAAGCTTAAGATAAGGAAAGAAATTCTGAATATGCAACCAAATAAATTTAATAAGAATTGGATTAAACCAAAGAAGATTTAGAATAGTATAAGAGTAAGATTAACAATTAGAAAGATAGTTTTAAGTATAAGCTTTAGGAAGAAGAATTAAAATAAATATAATTAAAGCTACAAAAAGCTTAAGAGGAGGAAAAGAAATCCAAAGATGCCACCAAGGAAATTTAGTAAGAGTTGGAGAAAGCTAAATAAAGTTAAGAATCGTATAAGGATAAGATTAATAATTAGAAAGATAGATTAGTGTAAATAGAATAAGAGCTACAAAAAGCTTAAGATAAGGAAAGAAATTCTGAATATGCAACCAAATAAATTTAATAAGAATTGGATTAAACCAAAGAAGATTTAGAATAGTATAAGAGTAAGATTAACAATTAGAAAGATAGTTTTAAGTATAAGCTTTAGGAAGAAGAATTAAAATAAATATAATTAAAGCTACAAAAAGCTTAAGAGGAGGAAAAGAAATCCAAAGATGCCACCAAGGAAATTTAGTAAGAGTTGGAGAAAGCTAAATAAAGTTAAGAATCGTATAAGGATAAGATTAATAATTAGAAAGATAGATTAGTGTAAATAGAATTAGAGCTACAAAAAGCTTAAGATAAGGAAAGAAATTCTGAATATGCAACCAAATAAATTTAATAAGAATTGGATTAAACCAAAGAAAATTTAGAAAAGTATAAAGGTTTGAAAGAAAAGTTAAAGCAAATGGAATAAAAATTAGAAGAAGCTAAAGAGGAGGAAAAGTAATCCAAAAAAGCAGCCTAATAACTTTAAAAGCAATTGGATGAGAGCAAAAAAATATTTGAATAAGAAAAATCTAAATTAGAATTGTAACTGAAAGAAGCCTCAGAGTAATAAAAGAGAGCCGATATAATATTATAAAAATATAAGGAGTAACTTGAAAACTAAATTAATAAATCAAAAGAAGAAATACTTAAAGTAGAACAAAAAGCCCAATAAGAAAAATAAAAACTAGCTTTTGAACATAGAAGAATATGTGAAGAATAGGAAATGAAAGCTCAAGTAGAAAAAAATAAGTAATAAGAAAAATTGAAATAAATGAAAGCCTAAAAACAAACTTAAATAGAGACAGAAAACTCTATTAAAAATGAATAGACACAATAGTTTGTATAATTTAATAATCAAAGAGTAGAAGAATAATAAGATTAATATTCCTCTGAAGAAGAAACTTATTAAGAATAAAATGCTATTGACAAAATATTAGAAGAACATAAATAAAATATAAAGAAAATAAATGGAAACAAGTAAAAAACTAATTATGTTCCTTAAGGAACAATTATTAGGTATAATATTAACTCATATTAAGATAATAAAAAGATCAAATTTAAGAAAAAACATTAAATGAAAGAGAAAAAAGAATAGAAATATAAGAATAGTATAATTAAGAACCCAAAAATATTATAAAAAATGATTACATTAATATTATACCAACATTAGACAAAATTAAAAATTAAATGATGATGTCTACATAGTCATTTATTAATTCAAATTAAGGATCAAACTGTAAAAAATTAATTATAATTAGAAACATTGCCAATTAAGTATAGTAATATGTTAAATCAATAAAAGTTGAAATCCTAATGAAATATAATTAATATACATATTATTTGATTACATATTAAATAAATATTGATCCTCTTTATTTTAAATATTTTTCTCGATTGTTTTTATGTTTATTTTTTTTGCTTATAAGACATAGTGTTAAACTTCTATAATTATAAATATATAATTGATAATTAATAATAAAAAAGATTTATATTTAATAGAAATACAAATAGACAATCAATAATAACATTAGACTTTCTTAATATTATTATTAAATAATATATAAATGTTTGATTATGACTAGAAGGAATTCTAAGAAACTATTAAAATGAAATGTAAGGAGAGAGAAGATCAAATCATAAATCAATATAATTAAGTATTATTTAGATACTAAGCAGAATGTCAAGAATATATTAAAAATCTAAAATAATAATATGAAAAAGACTAAGAAAATTTTAATTAATAATTAATAAAGAAGTTAAACAAACTTTAGTAAATTGTGGATGACGAAAACATAAGTGTTTATAAAAATATATAAAATTCTCAAGAAAAACTTTTAAAGTCACAACAGATGTAATTTGATAATACCAATAAATTAAATGATAAGAAAAAAATTGAATTACTTGAATTTGAAATGGAATAATTTAAGAGGTCATGTCAAAGGACTATTGATAAACTTATGAAAGAAAACTCAACATTATAAGAATAATTGATAAATGCAGAAATTGAAAAAATATAAATGAAATAATCAACATAATCATTATCAGAATGTAAAGATTGCATGAAAGATTTATAAAATGCCAATGTTGATAAAGAAACTTTGGTAAAGCTTTAAAATGCTGTTAAAAATTATGAACAAGCAGTCTAAGATATGGAATGTGAACAAAAAATATTTTTGACTACTAAATCTTAACTTTCTGAAACACAATAATCAAATCAAATATTGGAATCTAAATTAGAATAAAAGGAATATGGATTAAAAAAAATAAAAGAAAAAAGTGATATTATTGAAAAGAGATTAAAAGAATGTTAAGAATAAATTAAATAATTTTAGATATAACTCAAAGTAACATCTTAATCTGAAGATAAAGCTAAAGAAAAGATCTAAAAGTATTAGCAATAACTTTAAAAAATGAAAGAAAATTTTGATAAACAAGAAAAAGAATTATAAAATTATAAGGCTTCTTTAAATGAAATTACCAAGAAATTCGAAGAAGAATAATAAAAAAATCTTTAATTAAAAGATGATTTTGAAAAAGAGAAAATGAGATTAGACGAAGAAAATGGAAGAAAATTTAAATAATTGAGTCATTTAAATAAAAAAATAAAGAGATTTTTTTCTTTGACTGTGCTAATAGTACTGGCATTACTTTTTTAATTTATGATCTACAAACCATTATCTGTTTGAAATAATTAAAAAGTATTTTATTTACATAAATATAAGTTATAAATAATTAAAGTCAATTAATCAATTAAACCGTAATGATTAATTGAACCTCTATTTATTATTCATAAATTTTCATAATTTTTATATGTCTATTTTATCAAAAAATAAAACTTTTATATTTCCTCTTTAAACTCCTTTAATACTTAATTCTAGTTTAAATAGTCAAATTCTTAATAAAACTTTATTAATCCTTTCTGATTTTATCTGGATTTTTAACTTCAACAACTTTAAGCAAATTCTAAAAAAAATTTGCATTGAGATTAGTAACTGTATTTTTTGTTCCTATTCCATTTTGGTATTTATTAACAGAAAAAGCTATATCTTTTAATATTAAAATAAATTATTGAAACACATTATATATTTAGGGATCAATCAGAAATAAAAGAGTTATTGTGCCAATATTTATCATCCATCAATAGTCAAGAAAAATACATTTTACACAAACAATGATTCAAATTATTATAAATGCAATTTATTTATTTTGATTCTTATGAATTTAAAGAAGGATAAATAATTAGGCTATAGGGTTTCAATTTTAATTAATTTCTCTAAATTTAAATATTTAATAAATTTGAAAGATTGTGCAATTTTAATCCAATTTTACTAAGTTTATCTTCTTCCTGACTTATTAAAAAAATCATCTTACTCACACTTAATTGATATATTAATATTTTTCACAGATCTCATTTTCCTCTCCTAAATCTTCTGTGAGACATCAGAGAATAATGGAAAAGGTATTATGTTGTATTGTATATCGTGTATGAATATAATTGCAACTNAAAGTGATATTATTGAAAAGAGATTAAAAGAATGTTAAGAATAAATTAAATAATTTTAGATATAACTCAAAGTAACATCTTAATCTGAAGATAAAGCTAAAGAAAAGATCTAAAAGTATTAGCAATAACTTTAAAAAATGAAAGAAAATTTTGATAAACAAGAAAAAGAATTATAAAATTATAAGGCTTCTTTAAATGAAATTACCAAGAAATTCGAAGAAGAATAATAAAAAAATCTTTAATTAAAAGATGATTTTGAAAAAGAGAAAATGAGATTAGACGAAGAAAATGGAAGAAAATTTAAATAATTGAGTCATTTAAATAAAAAAATAAAGAGATTTTTTTCTTTGACTGTGCTAATAGTACTGGCATTACTTTTTTAATTTATGATCTACAAACCATTATCTGTTTGAAATAATTAAAAAGTATTTTATTTACATAAATATAAGTTATAAATAATTAAAGTCAATTAATCAATTAAACCGTAATGATTAATTGAACCTCTATTTATTATTCATAAATTTTCATAATTTTTATATGTCTATTTTATCAAAAAATAAAACTTTTATATTTCCTCTTTAAACTCCTTTAATACTTAATTCTAGTTTAAATAGTCAAATTCTTAATAAAACTTTATTAATCCTTTCTGATTTTATCTGGATTTTTAACTTCAACAACTTTAAGCAAATTCTAAAAAAAATTTGCATTGAGATTAGTAACTGTATTTTTTGTTCCTATTCCATTTTGGTATTTATTAACAGAAAAAGCTATATCTTTTAATATTAAAATAAATTATTGAAACACATTATATATTTAGGGATCAATCAGAAATAAAAGAGTTATTGTGCCAATATTTATCATCCATCAATAGTCAAGAAAAATACATTTTACACAAACAATGATTCAAATTATTATAAATGCAATTTATTTATTTTGATTCTTATGAATTTAAAGAAGGATAAATAATTAGGCTATAGGGTTTCAATTTTAATTAATTTCTCTAAATTTAAATATTTAATAAATTTGAAAGATTGTGCAATTTTAATCCAATTTTACTAAGTTTATCTTCTTCCTGACTTATTAAAAAAATCATCTTACTCACACTTAATTGATATATTAATATTTTTCACAGATCTCATTTTCCTCTCCTAAATCTTCTGTGAGACATCAGAGAATAATGGAAAAGGTATTATGTTGTATTGTATATCGTGTATGAATATAATTGCAACTGTATGAGATTTTTATTAATAGAGCTCATACTTATGCTCATTTACTTCAGTTAAAACTTTCTTATATTTTTTAATTAACGACTAAGCTTTTCTCAATGCTTGATCTAAAACTTTTTCTAATTGCTCCCTTTTTTTAATGCTCCAAGTTGTAAATAATAATAAGTTTATTCTGTTTTCCTCCTTCTCTTGCCAAAGTAAATTTTATTTTTCACTTAAATGATAATGAGAATTTTTAATTTCACTTAATTTTAAGCAAATCTCATCTTATTCATATTCCATATCAATTTTAAATTACTTTAAATTCATTTATCCGATACATTAGGTTTAAAACCAAATTATTTACATCTTATATAAATTTCATCACAAGGTAAGAACTCAGGTAATTTCAAAGTTTTTAATAGAAGTTCTATATAGATTTACCAATTTTTAACATGAAATCTAGAATACTATCTTATTAAAGGATCAAAATAATAAAATGAGGTTTGACAAATGAATTCCATAGCTAGGTCATATGACATATCGGGAGGAAACGATTTAAACTAACAAGTAAATTACATAAATAAGAAATTCTTTTTTTAATCAATTTTCTATAGTGCTTAATACTTTTCTTAGCTGAGATCAATGCTTCTAAGTATTTTTAACAACTAGCTCTTGCAATACACTTTTAGTCATACTTTTCTTTCACTTTTTTTGATTAGTCAAATAATTCGATTTAGAAATATTAACTTTTAAACTATATTTTTAAGCGAGTTCAATGAAATTATCAATTATGCAACTATTTTAAGGACCAAATTTTGAAATAGCTACATCATCAGCATAAACATATTTTTTTCCGTCACAATTATTTAAAAGCTGAGCCATTTTCCACTTATTTCTTTCTTAACTTTCTAGTGAGCATCTTTTACCTAACCAAGATTAAAGAAAATATAAAAAAGAAAAGGAGCCAAGATTGATCCTTATTGAAAACTATTTTAGAAATAAATTTTTATTTTTCAACAGGCTTACATATATATCATTGATCATAAATTACATTCTAGAACATTAAGTTCATTTTCACTAAAATATCCCTTAAATTTTTCTTATTCTCTCAATATTTAAACACTTAATCTATTTTAATAGTTTTATATGAATTAGATAGATCTAAGAAAATATATATCCTACCTTTTTACTTCTTTTTATTTAAGATTAAAGTTCTCATATACCAAAGTTAAGTATTAATGCAATTTAGGAGGTATTAATCTTAGGAGAGTAAATTACTTTTATCTAGCAAGATAGTGATTCACAATTAATTTAATGAAATGACTAAAGTCCTTATCAAAAAAGCTTTTTAGATGTCTTAATTCTGCCATATCATAAGAAATAGATTTCTTATTACTTTTTAACTTCTTCCATTATTATTCATAAACATAAATAGATAATCTTAACGTTATAGATTTCATTGTTTAATATTTTCAATTTATAGTATATTTTTCTTTAATTAATTAAAATCTTGCATTATCTAAATATTTGGTTTTCTTTTTTATTACAATTAATCATTCCAAAAATAACTATAAATTTATCGATAGTATTTTTAGAGATTAAGATGAAATAGGAGTTACTTCATTTCATCATCAGATTTTTTTTGCTTTTCAAGCATCAATAACGCCTCTTTATATATTTAAGTCTTATTTTTATTTTATTCTTCTTGCTACTCTTTCTTATCTATATTTTTTATTAATTTAATCTATATATCATTTAGATCATTCTTTACTTTTCATTTTGTCTTGTAATTTCTATTTCTCTTTCTCAAATTCTTCTAATTAAATATTTTTTTATTATTCTTATTTAAATTTCTTGGTAATTTCATTTAAAGAAGCCTATTAATTTTATAATTCTTTTTCTTGTTTATCAAAATTTTCTTTCATTTTTTAAAGTTATTCCTAAAACCTTTACGAAATTTCTTTGGCTTTATCTTCTGATTGAGTTTTCTTTGGGTTATCCTACAATTATATAATTTATTCTTAACATTCTTTTTATCTTTTTTGACAAATTTCTATTTAAATCCTTATTTTTTTCTTTCTAAATTAGATTCCGATTATTTCTTTTTGAATTCAATTTGAGAAATTTAGGATTTAGTAGTGATTATGTTGATTATTTCATTTATATTTTTTCAATTTCTGCATTTATCAATTATTCTTATAATGTTGAGTTTTCTTTCATAAGTTTATCAATAGTCCTTTCAAATGACCTCTTAAACAATTCCAATTCAAATTCTTGTTATTATCAATGAAAAAAAATTTTCAAAGTTTTTTTCAATAGCTTTGCAGCCAAATAATTGAGATGGACAGAAGAATTGATTGTTTGTAATTATAATATTTAGCTTTTATAAATCAAAATCCAACTTAGTTTAATGATTTACTAAAATAGGGTAGTATTGAATAGATATATCGAACTATGTTGAATTTTCTTGCTCTTATAGACAGGACTATTATCAAGTATGATAATAAAGTTATGATTTTAATAATAAGCTTTTTCAACATTTTAAATAATTCTAATAGATGATGTGTATAGAGACTTGAGTTGATATTCCCTCTTACAACTTGATAAACTAAACAATCTTCTTGCCCTATTACTCCTAAAATTCCTATGTTTCCCATTCGCTTTTTGATAGTTATAAATTTTTATTTTCTCCTCTATTACCAGCATTTTATCAACTTACATTAATGACCTAAAGAAGTTTCATCAATAAAAACAAATTTGATTCGCCCCAGAACTAGCGGTTAATAAATTTTTATGAATATAGATATCTTTCGTAGAAACTCTATTAATTATAACTTCTTTTGTCTTTTCTGTATGGTAACTTAAACGATGCATTACGTGAGAAAAATTTTGTAAATTCCTTCAGCTTTTTTTAATTCCCTTAAATCATATGTATCAATATAATTCTTAATCCAGCGTATATGAAGCTTGTTTAGATTAAAGTAATTTTAAGAGTTTTGTATTTCACAACTATAGTTTTCGATAGGTCTTATTTAATCAGGGGTCAACCCTGTTGAGGCAGCAATGAATTGGTTTTATAATCTTGATTTCTTAGCTTTTTAACTGCATCTTTAGACTTTAAATCAAATTAAAATTGCATTCATTTTTTAAAACCAAATTTTTTTTCTTTTCCTTCAAAAATTCTTCGTTTGCATTTAAGAATATCGCTTTTGTTAAAGAATTCCAATTTCTTTTTAGCATTCTAAATAATTAAGATCTGTTAAGGCTTCTTATTCTTGGTACAATATTCTGATTGGCCTATTCTAAAAGATTTTCATAAGCTAACACCATATATTGCATTAATCACTTCTAATATTTAATTATTAGATATATTATTCTTTTTTTCTCTTAACCTAATTCATTAATAAAATAAAAAATTAATAATCTCTAACTAATTAAATATTTTATGTACAACATCCATTAAAACAACATGGAATTATTTATTAATTTTCAATCAAACTTATTTTTGTTTGGAAATTTAATATAAATATTGAAAAAAAAATCAATATGAATTTGACTCATTAATTGATATTAAAATATTTATTTAATATTTATTCGAACAATATGTACATTAATTATGTTACAATAGGATTTCTACTGGTATTGATTTACAATATAATTTACAAATTATTCCAATTATAATATAATATAGTAATTTTTTACAGTTTCTTTATAAATTAATATTTGTTTCTTAATTTCAATTTAGATATGACTAAGTAAACATCATCATTTTACATTGAATATTATTTATAATATTAATGCAATTATTGTTAATAACATTGTTTGGTACTTCGGTAGGCTATTCTTATATTTCTATTCTTTTTTCTCTTTCATTTAATGTTTTTTCTTAAATTTGATCTTTTTATTATCTTAATATGAGTTAATATTATACCTAATAATTGTTCCTTAAGGAACATAATTAGTTTTTTACTTGTTTCCATTTATTTTCTTTATATTTTATTTATGTTCTTCTAATATTTTGTCAATAGCATTTTATTCTTAATAAGTTTCTTCTTCAGAGGAATATTAATCTTATTTTTCTTCTACTCTTTGATTATTAAATTATACAAACTATTGTGTCTATTCATTTTTAATAGAGTTTTCTAACTCTATTTAAGTTTGTTTTTAGGCTTTCATTTATTTCAATTTTTCTTATTACTTATTTTTTTCTTCTTGAGCTTTCATTTCCTATTCTTCACATATTCTTCTATGTTCAAAAGCTAGTTTTTATTTTTCTTATTGGGCTTTTTGTTCTACTTTAAGTATTTCTTCTTTTGATTTTTGTTTCTATAATTATAGTTACTCCTTATATTTTTGTACTTATATATTGGTTCTAGCTACTTATTGAGAGGCTTCTTTCAGCTACGATTCTAATTTTGATTTTTCTTATTCAAATATTTTTTTGCTCTCCTCCAATGACGTTTAAAGTTATCTGGCCGCATTTTTGAATTTATCTTCCTCTTCTTTAGCTTCTTCTAATTTTTATTCCATTCGCTTTAACTTTTCTTTCAAACCTTTATAATATTCTAAATTTTTTTTGGTTTTATCCAATTCTTATTAAATTTATTTGGTTGCATTTTCGGATTTCCTTTCCTCCTCTTAAGCTTTTTGTAGCTCTTATTCTATTTCCTTTAATCTATCTTTCTAATTGTTAATCTTACCCTTATACTATTCTTAACTTTCTTTAGCTTTCTCAAATTCTTATTAAATTTCTTTGGTGGCATCTTTGGATTTCTTTTCCTCCTCTTAAGCTTTTTGTAGCTTTAATTCTATTTATTTTAATTCTTCTTCCTAAAGCTTATACTTAAAACTATCTTTCTAATTGTTAATCTTACTCTTATACTATTCTAAATCTTCTTTGGTTTAATCCAATTCTTATTAAATTTATTTGGTTGCATATTCAGAATTTCTTTCCTTATCTTAAGCTTTTTGTAGCTCTTATTCTATATCCTTTAATTAATTTTTCTAATTGTCAATCTTACTCTAATACTTTTTTTAACATTCTTTGGCTTATTGCATCTATTATTCAGCTTCTTTGATTTGTTTTTTTTATTGAAGACGTTCTTGATCAAATCTTTATTACAATAGTTAAATTTCTTTTTAATATTTTTCATAATTTTCTTTAGCAATTTTTTCCTATTCTAATGCATCTTTGACTTTTTACATTTATTCTTAATCTTATTTAATCTTATTTTATAATTATTTATAATCTTATTCTTTCAATTAATTAATTATTTCAAAATAACCTTAATAAAACTTTATAAACTCATTTGTTAAAATTTGAAAATCTTTGTCTTATGCTTCTAATAATTTTTTCATTTTGGCAATATTATCTTATTATTTTATGTTTTCTTATTTAAGTTTATGAATAGTCCTTTCAGAAATTTTGATGTATTACTTCATTTCTTCATCATATTATTTTTTTAAACTTTCAAACATCAATTAATTCTCATTTTAGATTTATATTATATTTTTATTTAATTCTTCTTGTACTGCTATCTAAACTTTTTTATCAAAATTAATATTTGGATCATTTGAATCATTCTTTAACTTTTCTATTTCTTCTAATAATTATTTATTCTTTTATTATTCTTCTTCAAAAATCTTAGTCATTTTTTTCAAACCAATAATATTAAATGATAATTAATCTAATTCTTGATTAAAATTTTTTATCAATTTTTAAAACTATTTCTTATAGTTTTAATTTATTTCTTTTTCATCTTATTCTTAATTTTTAATAATATTTCCTTTGGCTAGCTTTTCTAAATCTTCTTTGACTTTTATTTCTAATTCAGATTTTGCTTTTTCAAATTATTAATACAACATTTTATGTTATTATTAATACCTTTATCTTGTTTCTTTTACTATATCTTCAAATTTGGGTTATGGTTTATTATTTCTAGCCTTTTTTTTCATTAAAGATATTAAAAATAAATAAATAATTATTTAATCTCTATTTCTATTAAATAATAAGTCTATTTTTTATTATTAATTATATACAATATTTATATACTATATTTAAAGAAGTTTAATACTTTTCTAAATGTATTAATCAATATTCCATCAGCAAATATTCTTTTTAAGGAATTTCTAATTCTTAAGTATCTCTCTATCAATCTTTATTATTTCACCAATTTTGATTTCAAAATGAATTAAAAATAAACAAAACAAAACAAAAGACATTAAAAAATTAAGAATTTAAAGTATTTATCTATTATACTTATAAATATATAATTAATAATAAAAAAGATTTATATTTAATAGAAATACAAATAGACAATCAATAATAACATTAGACTTTCTTAATATTATTATTAAATAATATATAAATGTTTGATTATGACTAGAAGGAATTCTAAGAAACTATTAAAATGAAATGTAAGGAGAGAGAAGATCAAATCATAAATCAATATAATTAAGTATTATTTAGATACTAAGCAGAATGTCAAGAATATATTAAAAATCTAAAATAATAATATGAAAAAGACTAAGAAAATTTTAATTAATAATTAATAAAGAAGTTAATCGAACTTAAGTTAATTGTGGATAATGAAAAAAAAAATCTATAATTAAAAGAAGATTTTGAAAAAGAGTAATAAAAAAATCAATTATCTGAGAAATTCATTTAGGAAAATAACAAATTAAAGATGGAATTAAATGATCTAAAAAATAATTTTAATAAAAAAGTTTCGATAAAGGTGTAAGAAGAATTGAATAAAAATAAATAATATAAGGATGAAATTGAGGCGCTCACTTAAAAGTTTGAAAATACTTTCAATCAACTTAGATAAAAAATCTTAAAATAATAAAACATTAATTCCGAAATGAATGAAGCTTTACAAAATTTAAAAAATGAGTAGAATAACTAGAATAACTCTAATGAAGAGATTAAAAAATCAAAAGCTTAAATTTAAGAATTATATCTATAAGGGCAAGAAGATATTAAATAATTGAAACAAAAATATAAAACTGATAAATCTGATTTAGAATAAAAAAATAAGAAACTTGAGGAGTAAAACCAAAGGCTTTAAGAAAAGCACAAATATTTTGTTAACTAAAGTATTTAACAACAAAAAAAGCTCAATGAAACTGAAGATAATTTGGCTAAAGCCAAGAGTAATTTTTAAGATTAAGAGATTTAACAAAAAAAAAAACTCAAAGAAATTGAAGATAGTTTGGCTAAAGCCAAGAGTGATTTTTAAGATAAAGAGTAAGAGCTTTTAAAATAAAAACGAATATTTGAAGATGAAAAATCTAAATTAGCTGAAGATTTATAAAAGCAAAATATTGAGAATAATAAGAAGATTGAAGAAGAGATTAGAAAAACCGAAGAAAATTATGAGAAATAGCTTTAGAGCTAAACAAAATAATTTGAAAAAAAAAGATCAGAATTAGAAATAAATCTCAAGAAAGCTGAAGAAGAGGGAAGAATAGCCAAAGAAAAAATGAAAGAAGCCCAAGAATTAGAAAGCAAGGCAAAAGAAAATTTAGAAAAAAAATAGGAATAGAAAGAAAAATTAGAAAAAGCTAAATAAGAATTAGAAAAGCAAGTTCTTGAACATACTAAAGATGCATAAGAATAGAAGAATTAAACCAAAATTATTAAAGAAGAGAATTAACAATAGCTAGAAAAACAGTAAAAAGTAATATCAGAATTAGAAATAAATCTCAAGAAAGCTGAAGAAGAGGAAAGAATAGCCATATATAAAATGAAAGAAGCCCAAGAATTAGAAAGCAAGGCAAAAGAAAATTTAGAAAAAAAATAGGAATAGCTATAAAAATAGAAAAAAAAATTCCAAATAGCAAAATAAAAATAAGAAGAAAATGCTTATTAAATATAACAATAGCGAGATAATGAAAATAAAAAAATATAAGAATAATTAGAGTAGAAAAACAAAGAAGATTAAGAATAATATTAGGAAAAGATTTAAAATTTAACAGAACAATACTAAGGAAAAGAGAAGGAATTATAAAAAGTTCAAGAAAATTTGGATATTCAAGCCAAAGAGTTTAAATAATAGAAGATCGAAGCCTAAAAAATTTTTGAAGAAAAGGAAAAATAGATTTAGCAAATGTAACAAGAAATTTCTGAGTAACAATAATTAGTAGGATAAGCATAAGAAGAGGTGAAAAAAGTAAAAATATAGAGTGAAAAATATTAAAAGGAGCTTTAACTATTATAATAAAGATTTGATAAAGAAATTTCGGAATAAGAATAAAAGATCAAGGAAGCTGAATAATAGATGAAGAAAGCCAAAGAAAGTTAAGATAAGTATAAGGAGAAGCTTAAAATTAAGGAAAAAGAAAAATCTGATATAGAAAAATAACTTGAAATATCCAAACAGGAGGAAGAGAAAGCCATAGAAAAAACCTTAAGTGTTTAGTAAGAGATGGAAAAATATAAAGAAATTCAAGAAAAGTATTAGGAAAGACTTAAAATTTAGAATGAAGAATTCCAAAAAGAAAAATCTGATTTAGAAAAATAACTTGAAATATCCAAACAGGAGGAAAAGAAGGCTTAAGAAGAATATTAAAAGTATAAGGAATAACTTGAAATATAAAAAGAATAAAAATAAGAAGAAATACTTAAATTAGAAGAAAAACACCTATATGAAATCTCAAATGAAGATATTGAAAATTAATTAATATATGAAGAATAGGAAAAGAAAGACAAAGAATAACAATTAAAATAGAGAAAAAATTCAGATTTTATATACATAAATGACAATATTAAAACATAATTAGAAGATATTAAAAAGAAAGTGATGATGACTAATTAGTAATTGGTTAATTCAAATGAAGAATTAATCTTAACTTTAAAAATAAATTGTAATAAATTAAAATATTAAATTTAGAACTATTGCCAAGTGGGAACAGTAATTTTTTAAAAGAATACCAATAGAAATATTAATGAAACATATTTAATGAGCATATTTTTTATAAAAATTATATAAATTATAATTTGAATGAAGGATAAAAGATTCTTTAAGTAAATATTTACAATTCATTATTAATGTATTTTACTTATCTAATGCATTAATTAATTTAATCTACTTTAATTTAAATATTTTTAATATCAAGTTTTAGATTATACTTATTTTCTCGATTGTTTTTAGGTTAACTTTCTTTGTATATAATTAATGTATTTAACTTAAATAATAATAATAATAATATATGAATATATAATTATTAATAAAAAAGATTTATTTTTATAGAAATACTAATAAAAAATGCAATACAATTTCTCTTCAAATAATAATTAGATAATTATTAATCTCTGTAATGAGTAAAGAGGATTTAAATCAAAATCTTGTACATACATAATAAGAAGAATAAAATATATTATATGAATTAAAAGAAAAGGCTGTGTACAAATGATGGTATTATTAGTTTTAAAATTAAAAGGACGAAATGAAATTAAATGACTGTAAAGAGGAAAATTTTACAATTGTAGAAATAACTTGTAGAAAAATAAGCAAATTAGAAGATTAAGTTGAAGAAGCACCTAATTAATAACTTTGTATATTGAATATCATAAAATATCTTAATTCAATAAATTCAATAGACTAGAGAAGTAAGCAAGAAAAGTAAAACATTATAAATGTTCTAAATCTTAGAATGAAACTTTAAAAAAAAGAATACCTGAATAAAACTAATCAGTCTAATTCTATACTGATAGGGAGAAAACAAAGTATTAATATCAATAATTATTTATATTCACAAATCTAAAACATAATTATAACTTTTGAAAAATAATGAATAAATTGATTCACTAAATAAAAATAAGAATCAATCAGGAATCTTAATTGACTGATTGTCTAGTCGTTAAATATGAGTAATTAAGTAATAATAATTGATAATAAAATAATAAATTAAAGATAAGCAAATGATTTTCTATAATAAAGTTTGTATATAAAATCTATAAATTTTGTAGAAGATTGATTATATTAATGTAATTTTATAAAATAGATCTAAATGTTAAATAATTAAGGTTTAGATTAAGGGTTTGAGATCTATAACTTAAAAATTTAATATTTTTTGTATAATTAATTGTAAAAAGATTTATTATTTAATAATAGAATTAGATGATTTAAAGGGATTGTGACTTTATTAAAAATTCATTAATTAAATTAAAAATTATTTCTTTAAATGCAACAAGGTGAAGAAATAGATATGAAGGAATTAGAAGAACTGATCACAAAAAAGTGTAAGGCTAGAGAGGAAGAAATATAAAAGCAGGTCACCTAAGATATGACTAAGTATAAAGAAGAATGTGAAAAAATTTTACAAAACATACAAAAAGAGCATGAAAAAATCCAAAAGCAATATGGATAAGATTAAGAAAATTTCAATAAAACATTAAAGGACAAAATCAACTAAGTTAAGTCTCTTGTAAACACCGAAAAGAATAAAGCTAAAGAAGAGCTTGCAAAGACTCAAAAAAACATTATATAATTAACACAAGAGTAATTTGATGCTCTTAGTAAATCGAAAGATGGGCAAATATAAGAATTATAAAAACAACTAAAAGAATTAGAGGCACTTAAATAATAAGAATTAGAGGCACTAAAATAATAACAATTAGAACAACACAATCAAGAAATTACAAAATTAAAGAAAGACCTTGTTGATCTATAGAGTAGTACTGAATAATAACTCAGTAAAGAAAGAATAAATAGCCAATAAGAATTAAAGAATAGAATAACATAAATGTAAAATGAAAGTACATAGAGATTTAAAGATCAAAAATAATAACATGATGTTGAAATGGAATAGTTTAGGAGGTCATTTGAAAGGAATATTGAAAAACTTATGAAAGAAAAATCAGCATTATAAGAATAATTGACAAATGCAGAAATTGAAAAAATATAAATGAAATAATCAACATAATCATTATCAGAATGTAAAGATTGCATTAAAGATTTATAAAATGCCAATGTCGACAAAGAAACTTTGGAAAAGCTTTAAAATACTGTTAAAAATTATGAACAAGCAGTATCAGATATGGAAAGTGAACAAAAAATATTTTTGACTACTAAATCTTAACTTTCTGAAACACAATAATCAAATCAATAATTGGAATCTAAATTAGAATAAAAGGAATATGGATTAAATAAATTAAAAGAAAAAAGCGAAATTTGTCAAAAGAGATTAAAAGAATGTTAAGAATAAATTCAATAATTGTAAATATAACTCAAAGAAAAATCTGAATTAGAAGATAAGGCCAAGGAAATGTCATTAAAGTATTAATAATAAATTTAAAAAATGAAAGAAAATTTTGAAAAACAAGAAAAAGAATTATAAAATTATAAGGCTTCTTTAAATGAAATTACCTAGAAATTTGAATAAGAATAATAAAAAAATCTTTAATTAAAAGAAGATTTTGAAAAAGAGAAAATGAGATTACAAGAAGAGAATAGAAGAAGTTAAGAGAATATTTAAAAAAAATATGAAGAAGATATGAAGTATTATTTTAAATTTTAATTAGGAAATAAAAATAAAAAATTGAATAAGATATATTAAGCTAGAAAGAGAAAATAGAAACAATAGAATTATAAAAGTCAAACATAAAAAATTCTACTCTTTAACAATAAAAAGGTACATTCTTTATATGATATAATAATTAGACCATGTTGAAAATAAGATGTAAAAAATTAGAGATTACTTAGAACATTATAGAAATGCAATGGCCAGAGGTTTATAATTCAAAGGTAATATATTAACTTAGTATAATTAGAATGTTTATTGTCTGAAATTAATGGTTTTGAAAAACAAGCATCACTTTATCCTTTAGATTAATCACTAATGTTTGAGTCAGGAATAACAACATATTGATAAATATATTTATAGAAGAAAGAGTATTAAATTTATTTTTTTCTATTAATTTCAGTCTAGCCATTAATCTAGCTTTTTAATAAGTATTATTTTTCAGTATTCTTCTCTAAATAATAAGTTCTTTACAAAACTAATATTATATTTTGAGGTAAGTTAATACTTGTTTGGAAATTAAATGGATATTTTATTAATTATTTAATTGATTTAAAAAATAGAAGTTAAAAATACATAAAACCCATTAGGATCAAGATCTAGAGAGAATGATGAAATTTTATAAAGTAATTAGAATAAATAGAGATTTATTCTATATTTTATTAAAATTATACATATAACTTAATATTAATAGAGTAATAGAATTATAATTGGTTGAGTTATTTGATTATCATTATTATTTTTAATGCTTGATTCTGAACCAAGAGGCCGACTCTCTTTCGGGGGGAAAATTGATAAGTTTAGAAATGTGAAGTTTTCACTAATTTATAAAGAGAATGATAATTCAACTATTTATTTGTTATTGATCAACAAAACATTAAATGAAGAGGTTTTTACAATTCAGGAAATGAAGAAGGATATTTAATTATATACAATAGAACTATCTCTTAAAGAAAACTGCATCTATAAATATTACTATGAAGCTCTAGATAACAGAACATAATAAAAAGATATAGAGCTATAATGCAGATATTTTTAATTTGCTGAGACTGAGAAGATGTTAATAGATTAATGGAACAAATTTTGGTGTTTATACAGAATTCGTCCAAAAACTGATGAAATATTTTAAGCATATCAAATATAAATAAAGAATTGTCAAAATGAAGAATACTTTGAATTAAAAAAGTCAGCTATTCTATTTCCAGCAAAAGATTATTATGAATTAATGGATAATGATATGACTTAATAGATTAGATAATTTTCATTAAGATCTTAAAAAGATTAAACAGAGGATCTCAGTTGTTAAATTCATTTATAGAATATCAATAAATTTAAAATGAATAGTTTTTATGTTGAATTTGATCTTTAATTATTTTAGAAGTAAAAGGCAGAAGAAATAAAAAATTATTTATAGATTTTTGAGACAAACTAAGAATGGAATTACATGGATTAAATTAAAATATTAAAACAATAAGTTGAAGAAGCAAATAAAAAAGTATCAGAATTAGAATATGAAAAAAGAGAATTAAGTAATAATCTAAAAATAAAAGAATAAGCTTTGATTGATTAATTAACCTTAAATCAACAATAAAAAAAAAGTCATAAAAAAGAGATAGAAAATATTATTAATCAAAATTTGTCAGAAAAATATAATCTTTCAAACATTCATTATAACGAGATAAAATATTTAACTGAAGATTTTGATAAAAAAATCAAATATCTATCAGATTAAGCAATTATTTAAAATCAATAATATATATCAATTTAAGAGGATTTCAATTAATTTTAGAAGAATTCTTCTAAAAAAATAAATGATTATATAGAGAAACTTTAAGAATCATAAAATACAATTTAAATTTAAGAACTTCAATTGATCTAACTTAAAAACAATAACACTAATAATGTTAGTAATGATCATTAATTTAATTAATAAGTTGTTATATCATTATGTGATATTGATTAAAAAGCATCAAATGAAGAGATTGCTTAGATGAATAGTTTAAAAGATAAACTGCAATAATATGAATAAACATAACTTGAATTGAATATAAAGAATTAAGAAATTGAATTAGAGATTGTAAAGAATGATAGATTAAAATCAGCATTTATGTCAAAGATCAATAATTATATTGAATAATAAGATATTTGTATACAAAATTTGGAAAATACAAAAAAAGAACTTCAAGAATATATTCAAAAAAATTAAATTTTAGAATAAACTACTTAATAATAAGCTGAACATAATCAAAAACTCTAAAAATTATTAGAAATAGTAAAAAAGAAATATACAGAACTTCAAACATATAAAGAATAATATTAAGAATTATTATAAAAATATGAATATCAAATGGAATAATTTAAATAATTGGAATAATAAAAAAAATTAGATGATGATGAATTTGAAAAGTTTAAAGAAGAAAAATCTTTATAAATAAATTCAATTGTTAATGATTATCATTAATCAATTAAATAATATTAGAATGAAAATTAAATATTATTGGAAAAATAAAAAGCAGAATAATTATAAAAATTATAATAATAACAATAATTATTTTTATAATGTTCTTAAGAGATTTTAGACAATATATTTACAGAAATTTTAAGTCCTTATTAAATTCATCAAGAAAGATTCTAAAGAAAGTTATCATGTAATTTAGATAGTGAAATACGTAATATTAAATATTTAATGCTTATAAATTTTGAAACTGCCATAAATTTTGCTGCAGATGGAATTAATATTATTACAAACAATTCATTTAATGATTTAAAGGAAGATTTAATTAGTATCCATACATAAATAATTGATTAAATTCACAAATATAAAGAAAATATAGACTAATCAACTATGAAAGGTTTGTTATCATTTATGAATGAATTTTAAAAAAAATTATTAGAAATCAAAGATTTTGCATATTAAGTAGAAGACATGTTAGAATAAGATCAAAATTAGATTGACTTAATTAATAATAATTGTTAAACTCTTGAAAAAATATTAGATATTGTGTTAAAATTAAACAGTGTTTTAGAAAGAAAAAATGATGAATTAACAATATTATTATAAAACTAAGATGGAATTAATTAAACTTTTGAACATTACAGACAAAGAACCTTAAGTCTTATCAATACAAATGTTATAACCATAGGCTTAGAATCCTTATGATGAATAATTTATAAGATATCAAATATTAATAAAATTTTTATTAAGGACCCTCCTAAAAAATTTATAATAAAATTGAATCTTCTGTATAAAGTTGTTTAAGTTATTATAAATAAATAATTTAAGAACTGTTTATCAGATGACTTTAATTTTTTATAACTTATATATATCTAAATAATATCATTTTAATAATTTCAAACAGATATTGGAATGTGGATCATAAATTAATAAATTAAAGTAAGTACTATCAGGACCGTTATAGAAAAAAATCTCTTTATAATTTTATTTGATAAGATCTTATTATTTTTCTTTTTTATCATTATTATCTTAACATTTTCATAAAGTTGATTTTCAAGTTATTTTAAATCTTCAATATGTTTACTTTCTTATTAACCTTTATTTATACTATAACTTAATATTACTATTAATTTACAAATTTACATTAAAAAGTTTTCATTATTTAAATCTACTAAAGCATGTTAATTAATATATTTTGTTTATAGATCTTAAATAATTTAAAGTCCTTATTCTTTAAGATTCTAAATTATATCTCCCTATTATAATGTTAAAAGATTATAGATGTTTTAAATTATTTAATTAAATTATTAATTAGAATTTTTAATTGATTATTATCTGAGATTTTTAGAATTCTATTCATTTCTTAATTTTTCATAAATTTTTTTTGATTCTTAATCTATATTGTTATTTAAATTTATTTTCTCTTCTTAATTTGCTTTATCAATCTTTAATTATTAAATGGTTTATTTTTATTACTCTAAAATAGAATTATAGTAGATTATTTATTCATTCATTTCTTTATTATATTCATCTTTTAATTTTTTAGTTTCTTTTTAAAATTCTACTTGTTATCGTATATTATTCTATTTTTCTATTTTATATTTATTTTCTAATTCCTCTAAGGCATCCATAAATTTTTTTAACTCTTCTCCCTTCTTATTCAATTTTACTTAGATTTCTTTTAATTTAGTTTAATAAATGATAGATTTTTTTTCAAATTAATCTTTTCCTATTTGATTTACTTCCTTAAGTATAAGAGAGTCCTTTTCCCACTTTTCTAATAATTATTAACATTTTTTCAATTCATTCATAGATCCCTTTAATTTAAGTTGTTTTTTTTCTAATTTTTCTTAACAATTATCATTTTCTTGTTTAATTTCCTAAATTTTAAACTCATAGATTTTCAAATTTTCTTGAAGTTATTTAAGATTATCTTATTCATTTTTTGATAATTAATTGAAATCTTCAACTTGAATTTTAATTTCTTCAGATTAGAAATTCACTTTTGATAATTCTAAATCTAAAATTTTTTAATTTGCTCTTTCATTTTAATTTATATATTTTTGAATAACCTTTTCTGAATAATTTTTAAAATCATCAAACTCTTTTTGTAAACTAATATTTTATTTAAGATGATTTTCTCTAAGTTATTCCATTTAATCTTTTTATTTTTATTCTAAATTAATAATGGCCTATTTATTATCTTAATCCTTTCTCATTAAATCTAATAAATGTTTCTAATTTATTTCTGCGATTTTTATATCATAATGATTTATTATTTCTTGAATATTTTATTTTAAGTCTTTTGATTAATTAGAATCTTTTAATTATTATTTCATAATAACCATTTCATTATAAATTCCTGAATATGTTTCAATTCTTTATTTTGTTTTTGAGTCTATTTCTTTAAATTCTATTAAAGCTAGATTGGAAATAAATTTCTGCTATTCATTCACTTTACTAACATCAATAATTTATATTTATTCAGATGAATCTAGTCTTTTTCCATCTTAATTTATTTAATTAAAGCACAATTATCTATTATTTTTTTTTATATTCATATCAATTATTTCTTTGCAATGCATATAATTATGATTTTTCTCAAATAATATTTCTCTATAATGGGGGGAATCATAATCTCTTATAACAGCCTAATAACCATTAAAAATATTTTGATTATAACCACCATATGTAAAAATGTATTGATACCATTATTTATTCCATTAATCTATTAATAAAGGATCAACTGAGCTATATTAAAATCCTCTAAAACCAACTTCATATATAAAGTTATCATTAATCTTTTTAGCATATTGATATTGATATCTGATTTTAGTTTAAACTTTAATAGTTGTTTAATAAATTTAGTTTTTATTATCATACTACATTTATTACTTGATTTCAATTTCATCTGAGTTTTGATGTAATTGTGGATCCTTTATTTTTAGAATTATGTAATAATTTTCAATCAAATGTGAATTAGACATAAGTTTGAAAGTAACATTTTAAATCACATTTATTTATTATTTCATAATTTTTAATAATTAATTTAGATGTATAATAATTCGCCATTTCTATTTAAACTCTTATGAAATAATTATGATTTATAAAATTAATTATAATTTATTTAATATGGGAAATTCTTAAAATGGAAAAGAAGATATGGATTATGATTAAGTGATGAAGAATTTTAGTTTTTATTAAGAGATTAATCATTTCCAATTAGGTAATATTAAGATTTTTGATGCAATTGAAAATAAAAATCATAAAGTATTTCAATTTAAGCGATTATGTTAATCAGATTAATAATTGCAACAATTAAAAAATCATTTCTAATAACGAAAGACATTAATGAATGAACATCTTATAAGAATATTTTATGTAATGGGAAAAGAATCAGTAATGTGTTCAGATGCTAGTCATGTTGTAATATTAGGTGAATATTTTCAAAATACATTATAAACAGAACATGAATACAAGTATTATTTATATGATATTAATAGTTTAAATTAAAAATTGATTTTCAATGAATCTAGACTCTGGTTAATAATTTATTAAATAATTTAATGTTGTGCTTATTTAGAAGAATAAGGTAAATATCATGGAGATTTAAATATTTAACATATTTATTTAGATCTTGATGGATCTGTTAAATTAATAGTATTAAATTAATATTTACAATAAGGAACATGATCTAATACCAGGAGCAATGAATCCATTTTAAAAATCATTATATAATAATGAATTTCATGCTTTTTCACCTGAATTATTGAATTTATTATAATAAGGAGATAAAGAGAATTCTTATATGAAATTAGATATTGGAATATTAAATAAGACAGATGTATTTAGTTTGGGATTGATTATATTGGAATTAGCTTCATAATTTCGTATGTTTATATGATTTATATGAATATTAGCAACTTAATAATATTATGATTGGTAAACAAAGACTTTGAATTATTAACAAATAATTAGTGCCATTTAATTTTTACCAAATAGAGGATATTCTACAATATTACAGAATTTATTGTTATAAATGTGTTAATAAGATATAGAAGTACGACCAGGATTTCAAGAGATGAGAACTGGATTGAAATCATTAGAGAATGACATATTATCGCATACAGCTTTTTATAGAAGTCACATTAAATGATTATTATAATTATATTATGAATTAAGTTTAACCTTTTGACATTAGAGTAATACCAATTAAATGGGTTTTAAAATTTGATCCACCTATTATAGGACTAGTTTATAAATAACATTAAAAAGAGAAGAAAAAACATCTTTATCAGATTTCATTGAATAATTTAATATTTTTGACTAATCCAGAAGACATTGTAAATTAAATAATTTATGAACATCCTGTTTATTTAAATAGGTAATTCATAAAATACGAGCAAGTAATTTATATCTATTATTATTAACTTATTTAGCTTATTGGATTAGTACGTAAATTGCTTGATTATAAAAATCAGAAGTTATAAGAAATGGTAGAGTTTATGGAAGATCATTTAGTTGAATATGATGATGCAGATTCAGATTAAGAAGAAAAATACACATCTAATAAGAACTACTCTTTTTGATTTTTAATTTTATATAATTAGCTGATATATGTAATCTAAATATGTATTAAACTAATACAAAATATATATTCTTAAATCAAAAGACAATGCAACATTATTATTTCTCTGTTATCTTTACTTAATTATATCGAAGATCTCTTTACTATTAAATAATAAGATATCTCCATTTGTTCCTTGTCAAATTCTACAAATCCCTTTCACTACTTATATTACTATGAGTCCTTATCTTCTTTTAACTTCTAGATTCTTAGACTTCAATAGAAAAGCTCACATTTGGCTTTCTTGGACTTGCTGAATTTCTGAGACAAGATTTATTCATTAAATTTGAAAATACTGGAATATAATATTTATATGAATGTAAACTCATTTAACTGGGACATCTTTATAATCAATAAATTCTCTCTCTATTTTATCTTTAGTTACATTAAGTAATCTAATTATTCCACCAGATGATCCATCTCTATACATAGCATGTGCTACTGCATGTAAAACAAATGCTCTTGCTTCTTAAAGTGTCATATTTTCCTTAACACATAATTTGATTCAATATACTTTGTAATTAGAATCACAGAATCCCCAAATAAATGTACTACCAGATCCACCTATACTCCATTTCTATTCAATGACTGATCCTCCTAAAGGTAATGTGAATATCTATGGACCTTTATATGGATCCCATCCAGCTACTATTATTGCAGCTGATAATGAACTTAACATATTCATAAATTATATATACTCTTTGTATTCATATAAGAAATTTCTGAAGAGATTTGCAGCAGTCGCAACAGCAGGTAATCTACCTAATTCTTATGCATGTGCATCTATATAATATCTAACATATTTAGCAATTATTTATGTGTCTGCAGCAGACCCACTTCTTAAACAAAATATTCTATCATGAACATAATCAATTTTATCAGCACATCTATCTGCAACAAATTGACTTTGAATTATTTATTGATGAATACCCAGATGATGTACGACTATCTGCTCCTATGATTAACCCACCATCATAAATAACAGCCATGATAGTTGTACCTGTTGTTTCTGGTTCAAATTTAGATGATAAAATGTCTGTGTAATTCATTATTTTAAATATTTTTAAGATTAGTATTAAATGAAACTTTATTATATATATATATTGTAGTTATGAATAAATAAATTATGAGATCTAATTAAATATATGTATTCTAATAATGAATATACTCATAAAGATAAGCTAATCATTTAAGTAGATATGGGTTAAAATTTATATTAAGAAAGAGGACTTAAATAATTAGTCAGACATATCCTAAAAATTTAATATGAATAATACTTTTAAGAAGGTTAATCGTATTCACCTGTAAAGAAAGGATGGGCCATACAATCCTCAGCACTGTATCTTAATTTTGGATCCTAATTTAACATAGACAATAATAGATCTTTGGCATTCTTATCTTTTATATGAGAGCTAATTCTCATTCTACCACCCATATTTTCATCAAGATTATTATATATTCCCTTTCCAGTTAATAACTTGTGAAATATGACACCAATGCTGAAGATGTCACTTTTAGAAGTTATTGTTTAATTTTGAAAAACTTCAGGAGCAATGTACCCTGCAGTTCCAGATCGAATATTTGTAGCATCACCTATTTATGATAAACCGAAATCGATGATCTTCACTGTTCTATTTTGAGTCAATAAGACATTATCATATTTTAAATCCTTATGGATTATTTTATGAGAATGCAAATGATTTACTCCTAAAATATATATATATATTATTTTTTTACCTTCTAATAATTATAATAGGATAGGTCTAATAACATTTATAGGTACTTTTTTTTTACTGTACTCATTTTATAGATCACTTAATGATTACTCATGAAAATCCATCAATAAATAGACTTAAACCTCATCCTTGTAGAACTCATCTGAATGAAGTAGATTGATATGGGGTCTTTGATTTAACATTTGATTCACTTATAACTCTACATTAGACTAATGTTAGAATATGTATTCGTTTTACATTATTGTCTTAAAGAACTTTGATCACTTTTAAATTTTCACCCCGTAACACTTGAAAAATCTATTCAGTTTATTTAATATTATTACTTCACAATGCTCTGTCTTCTTTATCCATTTTTTAAACGAAAACTCTTTTTCCCAATTAAAAAAACCTATTTTCCCTTTTAATACACTCCTCAGTCCAGTAAGTTTTTATACTTCACCTTCAAATTAATATAGTCTTTATCCATATTGACATAGTGTGAAGCCCTTTATTTAATTATTTTGTCTTCTAAATTATGATCAATAATTCATACATGTCATAATCCCACTCGATACAATAATTGGTCTCATTATACTCAAAGACTTTTTATTGTCGACCTGAGAATCCTTCGAATCCCTCTATTATCATTTTATCTGAGAATACGTTCACAATGACATTTGATTCAGTCCTTGTGATCTATAAGAAAGAAGATTGAAATATTGGCAAAAACATATTTAAGATTTAATTACATCTTTAATTGCTAAAAAAAATATGTATTTAAACATAAAATTTTAGATCATTCTAAATCTAAATTAACTCCTTAATTAATCACCTTTTCAAAATTTTTTTAATTTTCCACATAATCTTCATAAATATTTATGTCTTAATAATCTGAATTCTTTTTCACTACTCTTTTCATGTAATTAAAATAACAAGTAATGTATTATTTTCATCTTACTTACATTAGTTGAAATAAGGAATCTAAAAAATTAATCCATTGATTTTTCTGAGTCCTATCATTACATGATAACATACTGTGAATGTAGAATATATTGTAATTCAGCTTATCCAGTATTAGAGCTGTATTATTTAAATATGGCTAAGAATTCATTGCTAAAACCCAGTAAATTGATATTAACATAATTTAAATCAAAATCAATCTGTTTCTCATAAATATGTCATACACACTTCTATAATTTATTTACTATAAATCATTTTTTTATTAATAGAAGCATTGTGATTTTAATAGAAGGTTAAAAATTTTGATTATTAAAATTCTTTGAAATTCTTAAGAAAAGGACTGACCTCCATTTTCTATTATTTTCTTATTCTAACTATTCTTTTTTGATAACTTAAATCATTTATTTTTTCATAATTTAGAATACCTTTATTAACTATAAAATAAATTAATACAAATACAAATACAATAACATTATAATAATCCTCTCCTTATTATATATTAGTCAATGTTTTTGAATTTATTGTCTAATTTTTCTAATTTATTATACACTTTCTAGAATAATTAGCATTTAATCTAAAATTACCTTAAATATAAAATTTTTTATATAAAATAATTGTTCATAATGAAGGATACAAATATATTTTTATTAGGTTGATTAAACATTAATTTAATGGTAATAATATAAGTTTATATATTACATGATGATAATCTAATTTTAATTGATTTAATTAGATTTTATGTATTCATATCCTTTGAATATCAATAATTAAAAAAATTAGTGAATTTAATCATTTTTTGATTATTCATATGAATAAAAACAACTTTTTTGAGTTTTTTTTTTCCCAAGACGATTTAATTTTCTTTATTAATTTCATTAATATTAATTTAATAAATATAAATAAAATTAAAATATTCACAAAACAGTATCATCATTTCTTGCACTTTCAAATTAATCATAAGTATTTTTGTAATAATTCTGTTTATTTGTGAAGTTTTTGCATATATTTTTATTTTTGATAAATATAAATATAGCAACAATGGTACATAAAAAATAAATTATGTTTTTGTGTTATGAATATGATTCGTAATTAGAATTAGAGTATTTCAAAATGATATAATGAATTAGAACAATTGGATCATAATTTAAATGTTTGTATATCCTTGATATTATTGGATCAATTTCTTCAAAAGCATAAATGAATAAGCCAAACTAGGCTATAAATATTAGAGGTATAAATAAGGATGCTAAAAAAAACACCATCAATTAATCAAATATTAATAAAGCACTGACAACTACATTAACTACTAGAATTGCTTCATTAATGTATTAAAATTTGTGAAGTAATGGCAATAGATACATAGGGTATATAAATATGATGATGTATCTAGTCAAAGAAGAGGTAAAAGTGTCTATAAATGTATAAATGTTAATTGATGTTAATAAAACATACAAAAGTATTATAATTTGTATGATAGCCATACGAATAGTGCATAGACGTTTGATTACAATAAAATAATTAGTTTATTGTAATTATCTGCATCTTAAACGTATAAATGATAGAGATATAATAAGTATGAATAGGAAGTATTTGAAATATTTTAAATTAATAAATATCTAAGCTATTTCACAGTAACTCTTATAAATATAAATTAATACTTCCCAAAAGCATAGCAATAAGTCAATACTTGAAATCCTTTATCTCTAAATATATTGAAACTATGACATATGACTAATAGAATCAAACTGTCATAAGTCAATTTATAAATGCTTGTTATAAAGACTATATTATTTGTATTGTTAAAATAATAGATGCTGAGTAGATTCAAATTTACACATATAAAAATACACCATACCCTGCCTTTCATCCATTAATTTATAAATACCTATTTTTGCAAACATTAATCCAAATAGAATGGTTAGAAGCCACAAATAATTAGGTTAAATAGAACTGTAAAAATCCATATCAATAGTCCTGATTCTTAAGTATAGTGATGTAAACAAAACAATCAAGTAATCTAAGAAAATATATTTTTTTCTTCTTCTTGTTATTGATTTTAACATAATATTTAATATTTATTTATTAATTGTGAATAATCATAATTTGAATATATTAGGATGTTTAAGAATGCCTGAAGGATTTGGCGATTTACTTCTTGCTCTAGGACTAGCAGATGGTCTAGCTTTACGAATATTACCTTCTGATGGTATTTATAGAAACATTTATTTCTGTTGAGGAGTTCTTTAATCACTATTAACCCAATGATGATATTCAACATCTGTAATACGAAATCGTAATTCATTATTCTTTTCTAACATTTAATTTAACAAGTTGATAACCTCCTCACTTAAATTATTTATTGGGAATATCAATTCCTTATTTATTATGTTATTAATTATATCTTATTGTGTTTTTCCATTGAATGGAACATTTCCAAACAACATCTTATACAGTATTATACCCATAGCCCATATGTCTACTGATGTACTCACACGTGTTACTTTACCTGCCAGAATTTCTGGTGCCATATAATGCAAACTTCCAATATTTACATGATCTGTATTTGTAGGACATTGAATTCCAGCTATACCAAAATCTATTGCTTTTAATTCATCTGAATCTGCTGAGCTGAATAATAAATTCTCTAATTTCAAATCTCTATGAACTATATTTTTTTAATGACAATATGAAATTGCTTAAACAATTTATCTAAAATATTTGCATGCTTCTTCTTCTGAAAATCTTCCTCCTTTCTATTTTAATCTATCACTCAATTCACCACCTTCTAAATATTCCATTATTACAGCCATTTAAGTATTTTTTAATGCATATGAATTATACACTTTTACTATATTTTTATGACTTAAAGAACGTAGAACTTCTGCTTCTCTAAAATTTAGTTCTATGTCTTATGCATTTCCTATCATTTTTATTATCTTTATTGCAACTAATTCACCTGTAATCCTATGTTTAGCTAATGTCACACATCCGAAACCTCCTTCTCCCAATTATTTGATTGTTTCATATTATGAGAATGGTGAATAAGGATCAAATTCATCTGAAATTCAAATACTTATTAATACCTCCTCGAGATGCATAGAAAGATTATCCATCCTTAAAAAACTTAACATCATCATCAAAAATCTCTACACCTTATTATGTAAACAATCTCATCTCCTTAAATTTCCCAAATTTCTAATCTAGTTGTGTTTAAATGTCATTCCATGTTGTATTCTAAGCAATCTTCAAATCTGTGTACTTTGAAGAATCTCCATTCAAATATATACGAATGGCTTTAACAAAGCACAAAGGAAAATCATCATATTCTTCATACATCATAAGTTAATTAAATTTGTTTCAACAGAAATTTTATTTTATCATTCTTCCACTACTTCTTTATTGTACTTTTAGATATAATCTTTATGATAAATCTTAATAGTTATCTATAACAAATAAAGAGTAAAATGAAAATATTAAGACATTATCAATTTTTTAAATGAATTCAACCAATCAAATATTTTATCAATAAATAAATATATATAAATACTAATTAACTACATAAATATATTGATATCTTAGAAATTATTAACAACAAAAAAATTCAATTGGAAAATGAAATTTAGACAAGAAGTAATTTATTATGTACAAAAATCAAACACCCACTTTTACTATTTTTAAATTAATGATGATATAAATTAGTATAAAAGAATAAATAAATTAATATAAGATACAAATAATAACTAGTTTTTTAATAGATTAAATATCAATTAATAAATATAAATTAATTAACTAAAAAGATTTATATAAGATATTTTCTATATTAATTTAATTTACAATATTTATAATAGTTTAAATAATATATGTAATTGATTATTTATAATCAAAAGTGAATATTCATGATATTATTATATTTATATATTGGTTAAAATTAAAATAGAGTGTCAATAATTTTAGATTATGAAGATTTTAATTTTAATAATATATTATTAAAAATGCTTTACACATGATATAAGTTTATCATTCTTACTAAATTTCTTCTTTAAAGTATTCTTTGTAGTTTTCTTGTAGAACGTTTTTTATTCTTTTATAGATTTAATTGAATTAAAAATAATCTCCTGAATTTTTGGTTATATTAACTTTAATCAATTCATTTTCACAATCTAAAAATTCAACTGAATATTCAATAGTTTCATCTATTTCTTCATTAGTTACAAAATTAATCTAAAATAAAAAATAATTAATATACTTTATATTTTGAGTTATGAATTTTCTTTACTTCAGAATTAAATTTAGTACAATATTTTAACAAATAACACAATATAAAATTTGGATCTAAATAAAGTAAGATTTCATTTGGTAATCCTATAACTTAACCTTTATTTAAGAATCTATTTTCTAAATTCAATTATTATTTTTCAATAGTTTCTGTGAAATCTTCTTATTCTGTTTCTCCAATAATAATACTTCTGAATTTACCAATAGGTTTTCCTTTTGAAAATTAAGATGAAAATACTTATTATATTCTACTTTTATGCTTTTAATTTCATCTGGGAAGCTTAGCTTTCAGCTTATATTCTTGCATATCTTTTTTTGAATTCAATTTTAATTTATTAAGGTGTAGCAACTGCTCCATTTGTCCATGGATGTTACAAACATTAATCTAAAGTAAATCTTTCATCAGGATTTGGAGCCAACATACCATTAATTAGATTCCTAATAAATAGTAATTAATTTAAAATCTACTTGAAATCTTATGGGAAAATATCAGACCTGTTTTTTATATGACAATTCCAAAATTCATCTCTTTTATTGTGAATTATTAATTTAAAGAAAGGATCTGTTTCAGTAGCTGTTGAAAAAGGTGGTGATCCAGCATGTAGAATAAATACTATTACACCAATTGAAAATATATCTGCTTAAGTTCCATTATATTCACGATTTTAAGTTATTTCTGGTGCAGTATAACCTATAATTATGTTAAGAGATGATACCTGGAGTTCCAAGATTTGTCTTTTACTTTGGTTTTTCCATTACTTTAGCAAATCCAAAATCAGCAACTTTAAGATTGAAATTCTCATCCAATAAAATATTCTCTAATTTCAAATCTCTATGACAAATCCCTTTATTTGTCATATAAATCATAGCAGACAATAATTATTTAAAATAATATCTTGTAATTTCAGGAGCAAATCTTCCTGAAGATGCTACATATTAGAAAAGTTCTCCTCTTTAAGCTAATTCCAATATTATGCATACACGTGGTATAATTGTTCCATTTTTTTTCTATTTAAATATTTAGTGTATGATTACTTTATAAGGAAGAGCATCACTAAACTCAATAAGGTTGACTAAATTAGGATGATTTAATTATTTGAGAATATTGATTTCATTAGCAAGAGATTTTATGTTTTAAGCAGTATTATGTTGAGTCTTGAACAACTTAATAGCCACTTTTTTTCCATCTTTCTCAGCTAATTTGACTCTAATATATTTATATATAAATAGAGATATACTTTGCATGATATCCTTATCCTAATTTTTCAATTATTACATATTCACCACATTTGCTGTGTTTTTCTTCTGTTTGCATTTATATTTATAAAATTTTAATATTACTTTATTTATTATTATTAATAATCATATTTAATTTGTTTATATTTATACAAGATAGATATCATGTTTTTAAATACATACATATTTTTAATGGATAATTATAAAGACTATACTATTATAAGAAATATCTAGATCTAATAGAATTTGTAAAATATATATAGATTATTAGAGAATAATAATTATAAATATGTAGGAATTACATTATTTTTTTTCTATTGATAATTTATATTTATTATTACATAATTAAACCAAAATATAAAATTCATTTTCATGATGATAAAGGTGGTTAATTGTTTGATTGAGTTTTTAATGTGATTGCCTCCATTTCTTGTTCTTATGATCTTGAAGATGATTTCTCTAATACAGATAAGTATAAATGTATTGATTTTTTTAAAAGCATTCTTAATAAAATATAAATTGCTATTAATAATGCTAATACTAAAATGAGTGAAAAGTATAACATACTATTATTAGAATTGTATTTAAATTGATTATGTCTTTCTAAAATTATATTATATCTTACAATAATAAATAGATTATGCAATTCCAATTTACAACTTAGTAATATCATAATGTATATAATATTTCTATAAAAAAACAATACCTAAAACAAGTACATCTGTATGATCAATTTATTAAAAATTTAATAAACACTTATGTTATAAAAAGTAATTGTAATAACAATATTCAATATAATCTTAAGGTAAGAGTGTTAAACTAAAATTAGTATCAATATTAATATTCACTTCAGGATATTATTATTCATTATAAGAGCATATAATTTAATTTATTTGATATGATGTTTCCTAATAACAATTCAAATTGTAATTCTCATTTAATATATCAATAAGTTTATTAAATTTATATTTTGATATCAAAATTTTGGATAATCCACTATCAAATACAATAATTTATGAAGATGATTCTAATTCTAATTTATTATTTTTGCCAACTATTTCTACTGATTTACCTTATATCATCCATAAAGAAGAATCAAGTGTTTTTACATAATATAATTCATTGATATAGTAATTTTTTATTGGTTTCCCAAGTATTAGAATAGATGTAGATTAACAATTTTATTCATTTAATAAAAGCCCAAATTAAATCTCATCAATTACTTTTAAATCATACAAATTCTTCAATAAGTTTTTTTCTTTTGACAATTATAATTTACTGAATCCAATAGCACCATCAGCAATTATTAATTTGAAATGTTCCACTTTTGTTGTCTCAATTATATTCAAATATAGAGATTAATTCATTATTTTAATTTTTTGATTATATTCAACTCCTGAAATTTTACCTTATGCATACTCCTATATTTCTATATTTTTAGGTATACACTTTTAACATTCATAATATTTTTTTCTATTGGAATTCTTACCAAATATCCATGTTTCTGCAATTCCAGTATCTACTACTAGATTATAAGTTATATTATTTGCTTATATTGGCAAACTATAATAATTATCTTATAGATTTGTCATATTTATCTATAGGCAAGTCACTATGGATATAATTAATATTATCATTTTATAATAAATTATATATATTTGGAAATTCTTTATTTCAATCTTTGTCATATCATAGTTTTAATTTATTTATTTCTTATTATTTTAATTGATTGTCTGATTGTATTTGATAAATTAAAATTATTAATCATACTTTTTATAATTAATTTATCTAATGTAAACTAAAGAGAATAAGTAAAAATTTGCGCTCATTTTTTTAGTTCCACACTTTCTACAAAATATATCAAATCCGATGGTATTCGTAAGTTAAATGATCTAACTAATTATGATACTATACGATAATAACAGAAAATGTAGATGAAGATTTCAATGAACAATTAATATTAAAAAATTCTTGGAAGATTACCAGATGCTAAGTTTTTTAATCCAAAATCAGAATCATATGTTTCTTATCCTTGTTATAATGAGAAATATTTATAATTTCCAAAAGAAATTTTATGCAAACTAAAAAAAAGGGTAAAATACATTTAATATTTATATTTAGACATAAGATGATGATTGTGATACTGATGAAGAAGTTAAATAACATTCAATTAATCATAATGTTACAGAAATTATAAAATCATTATCTACAATAAATAAAAAAGCATATAATGCATCAGATTATTTATGAATAATATTTTCTTAATTAAATTTAGAAGTATATTATATCTCCTGATATTCTAGTTTCATTATTTATTATTAACTATAAAATTAGTTAAAAAAATATTTATATTCTATTCATATAATTAATTTATTTAACTTAATTTTATGTAATAATATATATATATATTTAATAATAATAATGAATATGATTAATCTTAATTTACTTTTTATCATTAATTATAAAAAATAATTATTAACGAATATATGTATTCATAAGAATCTAAATGTCTCCAAGATGAAGTATCTCCATCAATCAGAGATTTCATAATCAATTTTCGAAAATAACAAGCATAACTTGAAAAACAATATGTTTATCAACAATCAATAAAAAAAACTATTCCTATCAAATCAATAACCCAATTGAAATTAAATAGATAATCAGTTGATACTTAAACAGATCTAACAGAGTAATAATAATCTGATACATCTTTCAAAAGAAATTCATTGTAAATCTCATAAAGATAAAATTCAACATATTCTTAATCATACTTTACAACTAGAGAAGTATAATGTGATGATTATAAAACAAAACCTATTGATGATCTTACATCAACAAGAGTTAACTTTAATTAACTGCATCAACACTATTAATCAATTTAATAATCAGAAAGAACAACTTAAAATACCTCTCAATAAATCCCTTTAATTTATAGATCACCATAAAAAAATGAAAATGAAATCAATTATGATTAAATGACTGAATAAATTCTCAATAAAGTTATATAAGAATTAGATAAAAGAAACACAGAAATTAATTAATATTAATAATAGTAATCTAATTCTAGATCACTTTCTAATTCAAAAATGAACAATTTATCTATTAATAATTAAACTGTATCTTTAACTGTTATACCATAACCTAAAAATGAAGATGATGATTCCTTTTTAAAATTCATGTAAATATTAATAAATTTATATTCCCTTAGTTAAATGACACTAGTTAAAAAGAATAAAATATATTATGAAGAATAAGAAAATCAACCACCTTAGAAGAGTTCTGTTATATACTTCTAAAATATTCCAAATACTAGAGAAAAACATTCAAAATCATCAATAAGTAAATCAAGTTTTTCAGAATCCTTAAATTAGAATAGTAAATTTCAAAATTATAGATAGGAGTAATAAGGAATTAAAGTAATAACAATAAAAATATGACTACAAATAAAAATGTAATTAATAAATCAAATGCACATTAAAGATTATATTAGGATGCATGTATGAGATAGGAGAGAAAAACTATGTTTAAAAAATCTAGATATTGAAATTATAATTATAATATTACTATCATATAAATATATATATATATTTAAATTTAATTATATTTAACTTCTATTATTAAATCATAATATAATTAATAATTTTACTTTTATTGAAATAATATACAATTTAAATGCAAATTAAGTGTGAAGACTTATTTATATTAATAAAATCATATGATATTCTCCATTTGAGATCTAACAGATTTAATAAATAAAGGATTATCTAATTATTTTCTATTTGCTGATAATTATCTTTTAATTGGATACTATTATTATTTTAATTATTAGATTTTCATTTATTATTTATTATCAGAACTATCAAAATGTTTTTAACTAAGTTATTTAGGTCTAGCTGAAAAATGTTTACCAATAGGTGGTAATTTATGATTTTAATTATTATGTTCATCTTCTTTTTAAATAATCCATTTTTTTGTTTCAGTTAGATGCAAAGTCTTTTCTTCTTAAGAAAGATTATTAAATAATCCAATAAATTGAGGTTGATTATCAATTGGACATATATAACAATGTTCTTTCATTTTATTAATACAACCTTCATCTGCAATATGACCACATTACAATAATCTAAGTTATTTTTATTTATGACAAAAGGAACATTTACTTTATTTTTAGAATCCAGTACCTACTAACATAAGTCCTCCAGTTTCATGATTACCAGCATTTAAATTTTCAGGGAATAAATATATTAATGATTCAACTGTGACATTAACTTCAAATTCATATTTTTCTAATCTTGTATGTTTAAACATGAATATATGTTATTAATGAGTCTTTTTATTATGACATTTATCACATAAATGATAATTAGGACATGATATACATGTATATATAGTACCAATAATAGGTGTTATTTTACAATAACTACATATTTTATTGTGTGTTTTATGTAAATTTTCAAATATCTTTTCTTCTTATCTTATTTCTACTAAAGCAGTATCACCCCAATCAACTCTACACATTGGACAATTAATCTTTTTACCAGCTGTTTATTTTTACATCACCCATACTTTCATACATTTTGCATGAAAATTGTTTCCACATTATTTTTTACAATGCACTAAAGCTTCATTACATACCAAACTCTCTTAACATATTGGACACATGTCATCCTCTGTTACTTATTATCTATTTTATGATTAATCTTCAGAATTAGTATTATTTTACTATACTTATTGCTATTATTATCTAATTACACTTATTTATTATCTTGTTTTAGTCTATTATGATTTGGTTTTATATTATCCATTTAAAATATTTGTGATATCATATTGAGAATATTGTTGTTACCATAAAATAGGACATTTTTCATCTACTTAAAACACTTTTAATAATGCATGTATTGTATGAATGCAATGTTAATTATTCTAATTACAAGAACAAATCATAGTAGTTGATAATTCTACTTTAAATTTATTTCCATCTTCATCACAATACTTTAAACTAGTTGGTCCAATTCTTTTCAATAAATATAATCTGGTTTATTTGGCTTACTCTATTAGATCTAATATTATTTATGGAGGACTAAAACTTATTAATTCATTTACTTCTTAGATGTTTTTGCTTTTGTTTGATTTTTCATTTTTATATTAAATATATATATAAATAATTAAATTAGATTAATATAACTGATTTTTTTATTATTCTTTTTTTTAAACTAATTTATTGATTGAACACTATCTTACAAATATTTAACTAAGTTAATAATTTATATAATTAATAATCATGTAAATAGGATAAATTATTGTATTTAATCATTACTATATAATATATATATATATATTTAAATGTTGTAATTAAAATTAATAAAGATAAATATTAAATCTTAATATATATATAATAATAAATTCCATACTTTTTTTTAATTAATATATAATGATTCAAAATATATTCAGGACTTTGATTTGTTAGAAAGGACTTATTGCTTAGAAATAATAATTAATATTATGAAAGAAGACAATTCTATTCTATCGTAAAAAAAGATAGATGAATTAATTAAAGAATAAAAATACTCTACACTCATCTAACTCATTTCTAAAAAAGAACCATGCAAGTAAAACTACTTTATTTATTTATCTTAGATTAAAACAATATAATTCTATAAAAATTAAGAATTAAATCTTCAGATTGAAATAAGATGTTGCTGTTTGTGCCAATAATAATGATGTTTACTCTGGAAAACTAATTAAGATATATAGCTTTAAAGATTAAAATGAATAGCATGTTCCTGTGATCTAAATTCAATGGTATTTTCATATTTTTAATTTTAGGTATTACACAAAATAAGATTTAAATTTAGATAAAAAGTTTATGAAATATATTTCTATTAAAGAATTGTTTTTTTCTACTCATGTAGAATTTTTAGCAGCTAATAAATTATAAAGTCCCATTGAAGTGATGTCATTTGATCAATATACACAATTAGAATATGTAGAAGAAACTAAATTCTTTAGTAGAGCAGCTATAGATCTTAAAACAATGGAACCAATGCCTAAAGTTACTGAATGGCCAAAATCATGTGTTTGTAGAATGCCTTAGAACCCAGATATATAAATGATTTAATGTGAAACATGTGGAGAATGGTTCCATTTAGATTGTGTTAATATTAAATCAGAAGAAGCAGAATAAATTGAAAATTATAAATGTCCAGGTTGTTAATGAATATTGATATGATAAGATATGATTAATTATCTGATTAAACAAATAATTATAATATTATTAATACAAAAATTTAATCTTTACTAATTAAATTTTTTAGTTCAAATTAAATTAAATCTTTATTTACAACAATAATCAACCTATTGACTATCTACTTTTATTTTGTTAAAAATATAAATAACAATAAGTCAATTATTGAATTTTAATTAATAATAAATGTAACAAAAAGATTGAAACAAAATCCTTTTCTTAAAATAAATAGAAGAAAAAAAATTAAAAATTTTAATAGAAAATGATTTAATAGAAAGTAAGTTCATTCAGAAAATAAGTACTAAGTAAAAAATTGATAAATTTTTGTTGATAATAAAAATAGAATAAAAAATAAATAATTTAGTATCTAATATTAAAAACTAAATTGTCTTGTTATCTAATTTAATATTTAATATTAAGTTATATATATATATATAGGTATTAATAATCATTTTATATAGAAGTTTTCTTCATCTCCTTTTTTCATTTAAGAGTTGATCATTTTTGATGAATTCATTCTAGATTATTACATAATTGATTGATTTTTCATAGTTTTATCAAGTCTTGTAATCTCCTAGTTTTATTAACTAGTTAATTCCTTTCTTACATTCTAATATTTCTAAAGTAATCTATTATTTTAAATATTATAAAAATACTTCTCCAATTCTTAAGATCTAATTTTTCTTTATTCTTCCTATCCAGATAGAATTCTTTATTACAAAGCACCTAATTCATTAGTTTATTTTAATTTAAGTTAAGAGATTAGATTTCTGATTTTGGTAGTTCTTGAAGCATTCCATTTTTCATATTCATCTCTCTCCATAGAAAGTATTCTTTATTGAGTAAGATGAGCTTCTTAATAACTATATATAGAAATGAATTTAATTACTTCTCTTATCTTGCTAATGATTCTTCAGTCTTTCTCAAACTAAGTAATTCAGCAGAGTCTTTTGGTTTGACTGGAATAGAGTTCTCTAATTCATCTGTAAATTATTTTAATTCTTCATCATGTCTTTATAAGACTTATTCTTTAACTCTTTAAGCTTCTTAATCAAATTCAGCCATTTTTTAATCCCAGAATTCGTTAAATTGATTAAATTCATCAAGATGAGCTTTTTCAATCTCTTATTTTTCATTTGTATGTCTATCTTTAACTTCATATTTATTCTTTTGATCTAATTCTTTTTTTAACTCAGCAAGTCTCTTTTTTGCTTGATCAGCTTCTAAATATTTTCCAGCCTTTTCACAACTCTTTTAATGATCATACAATATTTATCTATGATTAATTAAGAATATTACATGTATTCTTCTATATCTCCTGTTTAAACTGGAAGATTGTTGGTTCCTTTAGTTGATCTTGAATTATTCATAATTTTTATTTAATCTGTTAATTAATTAAATTGTTATAAATCTTATAAATATATTTGTTAAGAATATTTTTAATATCTGTTATAATAATAATAATGTATTATAGTAACAGCTAAACTTCCTTAATAAAATCTCCATATGGTTAAATTATCACTAAAACTCCTTTAACAAGATAGAATAGACCTTAAGAAAAAGTAAATGATTAATCAATTGTGTCTCAATATTAATCTCCTACATTACGATAAGCAATGTCACCAAAGGCAGCCAGAGAATACTTAAATAGTTTAAAAAGCTTTATAAATCACTATGAATCAAAGCCAATTAATGATAGTAGGATTGCCACTCAATCCAGTCATTAATCAATTGTATAATAACCATATTTATACTTTCCTATTGCTAATAGATTGAATGATGAGATCAAATTGATGACTCCTTAAAGAATTGAAGTCAAGAAATTAAATTAAGATGGAACTGTACATTCTCTAAAATATTATTATATGAAATAACCAGTATTGAGTAGTTCAAATGATGTTCCTATAGCAAAATAAACTACTATAATAGGATTGAATCATAGTGGCAAATAAAAATTGTTTTTAGAACTCATTAAAAAAGTTATGCCTAAAAATTTTAAATTATTCATCTAAACAGATCAAGTTGATAAATAATTAAATGTTTAAGTCAATGATGATTTAAAATCAACTATTAAAAGTATCAAAACTCAATCTAAGAATTATTAATTAATTGCCTAGAGTGACTAACATGTTCTTGTATGTCGAGGAATGTAGGGATTCATTAGAGATAAAAAAGATAAAGGAATTCTTATTTTGTGCATTAAACCTGGAAAGGAAGCAAAAATGGATTGTGTCTAAACTCTTAAATTGATAGAAAATATATAAAAAAATTGATCTTATATGTAATATTTATTTCAATATAAATGGGTACTTGCTAAGTAAAATATTGTAGATGTACATGTTAAGAAGGTAGATTTGGTTGTTAATGTGGAAGTGAAAATACTATAATGCTTGAGGAACAAACAAGAGAGATTAGAAGAAGAAGAATAATTACTTAAGAATAAATGTTAAACAATAAAAACACAGATAAATAAAGAAGATCTAATCGTTTTGATAATCAGAAAAATAGAGATGGATCTCCTGCTTAATCTAATTCTAGTGGTTCTTAAAATAAAACTAAATTCTCAACTTATCGCAAAGCTACTAATAAATCTCCAAATTCTATAGAAAGATATTTAATGTCCTAAGAATGTAATATACCAACAGACCATAGTTAATAAGACAATAATAAAAAACATAAAATAAGAGATCAAACTTTTAAGATAGGATAGATTTATTTCAAATAAGAAAATTAGGACTTGTAAATTCAAGAAGTCATTGAAAAATTACATAATACAAGTGATATTAAAATAGAATCTCCTCATTTTTAAAATTCAAAGAAGAATTTAGAAAATAAATAAAGTTTAGATTAAATTCAGTCAATTAAAGATCCTAGTGCTTCTATGAAGACACCTACAACAACTGCTTTAGAAGTCTCACATAATCAAACCATGTCTAATCCATTATTAAATTAACATCCTTCAATCTCCAGAGATAGTTCTCCTACAAAAATCTCACATCCTATAACTTAAGTTAGTATTGGACCTATTTCGAATAAACAGTCCTTATCTGTAATTACAGATTAATAATAATTAAAGAATAGATCACGCACTGCTGATCTGTTTGATGACTAAAAAAGTGTTACCATTAGAAGTGTATTAAAAAAAAAATAAAAAAATAATGATTCATTCAGAACTTAATAATAAGAATCCAGAAAAGTTAGATTCGATTTACCTAATTCACATTATATAAGAGAAAGATAACGATAATAGCCTAGACTTTATTAATGATAATTTTATTTGTAATGATTAAAAATCTTATATAACTAAAAAAAGAATTTCATTATTTTCTTTCCAATCTATTCTTATACATTAAAAAACCTTAATTTTAATAAATATATATACTTATTTAATTTTATTACATTTTTCTAGGAGTCACAACATTATTTCTAAAACTACTACAATTTCTTACTCTTTCATCACAAAAAGTACTTTTACTTCTTTAAGAATCCTAAATAGAATACTCATCTTTATTACAATATCAGTAAATTCAGTTCTTAATTACATACTTTAAATATCAATATTCTAATAACCCCCAATAGTTTTTACTTATTTCATTGTCTATACTTTAATAATACTATCATCTTCCATTGTTCTTTGAGTACCTTCAGTTTATATTGTAGGCTGAGAGAATTTCTTTTTATTTATAATATCATTCTTAGAAGATCCTATTATATTATTTTATTAATTGTAAGTTTTCTCTAATTCTGTACTATCAAATGCTTATATATTGAAAGATCTTGATTTTCTAAATGAATCACATAGTAAATCATCATTTTTTGAAAAATCTATTGGAGATTACTAAGATGATTCATAATTGACTTATTAATTTAAATATTCTATATTTGAGTCTTATTCTTATGATTCTTGTTTTGAAATTACAAATCGGAAATTTAATCTTGAATTTGATAATCTCAATACTTAAGTTTACTACTTACTTTAAAATTCAGGTGTTGGTTATTTAACATTATATGGATTTTGTCTGAAATTTTAAGGACTTTTTAATTGAATAGATGTTATGGAAGGTTAAAAAATATTATTTACATTTAATTAATTATTATTATTTTCTTTTCCTTTTATTTTATTTGTATTATTTGTTTTTTAGGTTGATGGAGATAATATAATAGGTTGTAATTAATTTTTTAATTAATAATCTTAACATTTAAATTAAGTTATTTATTTTTATTCTTTTGGACTGCATTTAGGATTGATATTTGTATGAAATTACTTTCTTACTTAAGGGGATTTACTGTTATATTAATGTTAGTAGATTGAAAACACTTTTTTTGTTTAGTATTGTAATAAGTAATTAGAGAATTGATTCATAGTTTTAACGTTAATATTATTTATAAATTAAATCATAGGAATTAAATAAATATTTTTGATAGATATATATATATATAAGTAAATGAGTCATTCTTTTTATCCTTTGATTTTGACAGATTATTATCTTCGTCTTTACAATCGTATTTATACTTGATCTTATTATTCTTATAAAGCTCTATGATAAGTAATATGAATATTAGAACTTATTATGCATTCTTGTCACTCTCTAGGATTCAAAACCATGAAATTCTAAAAGTTGATTCACTTACAACTTTTAATCTTATTCTTTAATGTATTTTAGTTAATTTTCTAATTCTTATTATTTTTAGGATTTTTAAGGAATAATGACTTTTGGAGATGGAGGAGGAAGAATGTCATGACTTTAAAGATGTTTAGATTTCTTTAATGCTGTTTCATGTTTCAATTCTTCATATGCAACATTCATGCATTAATTAACAGTTCCTCTCATCAATAATTATTAAGTTTTATTTTTGAAAATCAAAAACTTATTGTTTTTTATTGATTCGAAATATTCTACACCAATCTATATTAGATTAATAAATATTACTCTATACAATTCTAATAATTAATTGACTACTTCAATTGTAACATTATTACATTCCACTTCCATTTCTAAATATAAAATATTCTCAGCAAAGAATGGAGGCAAATATTTTGAGTGTTCCTAAAACAAGGACTTCTCATTATCTTAATGGTCATGCCTTGTATTCATATAATTTAAACAAATTATTAAATTTATATATATATATATATAAATACTCAATGCATTTTACAAATACCAGGGATTATAATTTTTTATTTCAATTAGATTACATAAGCTATATGTCCTTAAAATAATTATATTTTCCAAAATTTATTGTCTTCTATTTACTTTTACATTTCTTCATAAGAGATTTCTTTAAAGACTTCCTCCAATAATTGATTGGAATCTTTAGGTTTCCATGATCCAAGTAATGTAGTTACATGAGAATACTTAAATATATATATATATTATATATACCTTATTTGTTAATGGTATTTAATAATTATGATTCGAAATGGCTGTCACAATATTATTTGGACTAATAGCAATAGCATCAATAATGATGTCTTAATCTAAATTCTCTTTAAATTCAGTAAAGGCTTAAGATTTTAGATTTTTTGGATTGTTTCCAACAAACAGAGATGTCAAATGAATACTAGGAGGAAATTTATAATTTTGTTTTAGTTGTTTAAGCATATTTTCTAATTCTTAATCATTCTAATATTATTCATTTAATAACTAAAGTGCTTATTAAGTGAGATTCAATAGTAATTATTAAGCTTATTATTGATCTTTTGCAAATATTCCTATAAATTGAATATTCTTTTTTAACATATATAAAAAATTATTATTAATAATAAAAATATTTAAAAAAAAACAATTTGATATGATGTTTATGGTTGAAATCATTTATAAATATTATCCTAATAGTAATTTTATATGAATGGATATAAATGGATAAGAATTGATTAATAGAATATTTACAAAATAAATCAATAGATATATTATTGATGATAAAGAAAAATAGAGTTGTTTAAATAATATTAAAATCTTATATGATTTATATGCAACTGTTAATTATAATAAATGATTCACAATAAAATTAAATGAATTCAATAAATGTTATGAGCATCTTTATTTTACTTTAAATATTGGTCTCCTCTTAATATATTTCAATAGGAGATTAATGCAAATGTTAAGATCTATCGACTGAATTAGATTGCAATTTAAGAGGAATGTGTCGATGGAATTCTATCTAAATGAGCTGTTTGGAATCAAATCAGTATCAATCTACTATAGTTTCAACAAGTCCTCTAAAATAAATAGAGGCAAAATCAAGTTCAATATATTGTGATCATTTTAGTCAAATAGAATGTCCAAATTAAAATGGATGTGCATGGTTTGAAAATAAATGTGTAATGTTCACAGGATGCACTTCTTATGTTAAAAATAGAGATGAAGATTGTAGAAAGATTTCAAAGAATTGCTTTTCAGATGGTATAAGATGTGTTGAATTGGATGATTGTAGTTCATATACATACTAAAAATCTTGTGATATAAGTAAGAACGGTAAGTATTGTGTGTGGAATACTTAAAATAGAAGATGTGAATAAGTTAAGGAATGCAGTGATCTTCCTAAATCATTAATTAGTGACTTAGAGTGTAGAACCTAACTATAATTTTGTATTTATATTAGACTTATTTAAATAGGTACAACAAAGATAGGAGGAGGATGTGTAGAATCAGGTCGTTGTTCTGATGCAGATAGTGCTGTATCTTGTGTTAGTGATAGATAATAAAGTATTGATTGCTTTTGGGCTGAAGGGAAGTGTAGAGATAAAACATGTGAAAATGCCTTAATAACTTTAAAGACTGATTAATAATGTAAGGAATTCTTGTCACATTGTACAACAAAGGCTAATGGAGGTTGCACATAGAGATTAAGTTGTCATGATGCTTAGATAGAAGATGCTTGTATCAAGGATTCTAATGGAAATGATTGTTTTTGGACTGGAGATTAATGTAAAGAGAAATTATGTGATAATGCTCCTCCTTCTTATATTACAAATCAATAATGTTCATAATTATCAAGCAATTGTATCACAAATGGATAAGGATGTACTACCAATCATGGATGTACATCAGCTTTGAAGGAAGAATTTTGTGAAAAGGATTCAGAAGGGAAACCATGTATTTGGAATGGAGTCTTTTGTACAGAGAAGAAATGTGAAGATTAAAATTTAAAAGGGGATGAGTAATGCTCAGCTTTTATGAGTACATGTATTGGAAAACCTGAAGATTAGATAGGATGTATAACAAAAACATGTGAAACAGCTACAAATGATTTGATTACTAATGAATCTTGTGAAAATTACTTACCTAATTCAAATTGTATTGCTAAAAAATCAGGAGGTTGTAAAATAAATACTAGATGTAGTGCCATAGATTTTGAAGGTGCATGTATTAAAGATTCTTAAGGAAATAAATGTTATTGGAATGAGATTGAATAGAAATGCTTAATTATTACTACTTGTTCTTAGATTAATAATTAATCATAATGTATTGCAGATTAATTTGGAAAACCTTGTTAATGGGTTGATTAATTTATTAATAATATCAAAGAACAATGTATAAATAAATCATGTTCATCTGCTCCTCTCTATTTAAAATCAGAAAAAGAGTGTAATGAATATTATAAATCAGATGATGCATAATGTACTTTAAAAAAAGGAGGAGGTTGTAGATAAAAAAGTACATGTCAAGATGTTGATATGATTGATGCTTGTACAACAGATAAAGATGGAAATGCATGTCTTTGGGATCAAAGTACATCTAAATGCAGAAAACAAACTTGTTCAGATTTTACAGAATTATCATATTTTGGTTGTTCCACTAAAAGAGCAGATTGCACTATAGATTTGAGTGGGAAATGTATAGAATAATAAGAATGTTCATCATATTAAAATAAAATATCTTGTGTAAAAGGAATTGATGGAATATGTTTATGGATAGAAGATTTTAAAGATGGTAAAGGTGCTTGTTTTTAATTTGATTCATGTCAAAGTCTTAAATGGAAGACTGATGCTGAATGTAAATTAGCATCTATTAATTGTACAACTGATGGATAATAATGTGTACCTATAACTGAATGTAGAAGTACAAATGTAAATGGAGGATGTGTTACAGGAACAGATGGAGAATGTATCCAATCTGTATCTTCATTACATTCTACTGAATCTAAAACATGCTCTAAATTTTTTAATTGTAGCTCTGCCTATTATCTAACACATGAAGAATGTTAATAAGCTCATTCATTTTGTACAACTAATGGTGAAACTGGATGTAGAGATTTAACATCTTGTGAATATTATAATGTTAAAGATTCTTGTCATCTTAATAATAAAGGTATACAATATGATGAAAAGGGTTCTATAATATCTAATGGTAAATGTACATGGGATGAATCAAATTAAAATTGTAGAGAATAAATATGTTCTGATCTTATATTCTAAACTGATGAAGAATGTTCACAAATACTAACAAATTGTACATCAGATGGATAAAAATGTATTGAGAAATAAAGTTGTTAAATGTATATTGATGAAAATACATGTAATTCAAGAAATGGAATTGATGGACCTTGTTTTTGGAATGAAGGAATTTGTCGTTTAAAATAATGTTAAGAAATTGAATAAGGCAATAATTAAAATATATGCAATTAAATTAAAGATTGTATTTCTGATGGAGAAAAGTGTGTTCTCAAAGACAAATGCTCTAAATACAATACTTAAGTAGCATGTAATATTTCAGGAAATGATGGTATTTGTGTTTGGAATTAAAATTCAAAGACATGTTCACTTATGAATTCTTGTAATGAAGCAAATAATGATGAAAATGCATGTAATTTAGCAAATGATAGATGTTTTTGGGATTCATCATCAACTGAATAATCTCTTTGTAAAGAACATACCTGTATGTCTTATTTCCTATAGATAGGACAATGTTAATATTTTAAGACTTGGAATAATGATAAATATCACATTTGTAAAATGGTTCAAGGTAAATGTTCTTAAATTGATGCAAATACTTTGACTGCTGAAGAATGTTATACTTATTCATTTTATACCTATTCTTGGAGTCCTCTTAGCAACAGATGTATGTAGTGTTCTAGAAAAATAGAGAATGGATCCAATAATGGTAATTCCACAAATTCAAATAAAACAATATATTAATATATATTAGGAACCATAACAGGATTCTTTGCTTTTGCAGCAGTTTTATGAATTATTATAACATATAATCCAAAAAAAAATAGATCTATAAATATAATATTAATAATGGGAAGTAGTGTTTCATCTAGAATAAATGAATTCTAAAAAATAGAGGCCGATCTTAAATTGACCACTCTACCTGACTTAGATAAAGTATATCTAAATATATTCTATAGCTTTTAATTGTTGCTTAAGATCTTCTTAAAGTTACTGAGCAACTTAGACAAAGGATTGTATCTTATTATGACTTAATGATGAGAATAGTCAAATTACAACATTACAAAGATGTCACTTTGATTGATGCCTTTAAAATATGGTATTTGTGTACTCTTGTATGTAATGATTCAAAAGGAGACAGTGTTTAATTTGAATGTAAAATTGAGAATTTTGATTAAGAAGTTGCATCAGAAAGTCTTAAGAAACTTATGATTTTTGTATTGACTTTCATTTATACTTAGGGCAGTGTAGTGGCCTTTGCAATTGAAGACAAATTTATTTAAGATGAAAAAGAATAACTGATAATTTGTGATACAGGAATCTGTGGAGATTTTAAATTACAAATATGGCCATTCATTTGTTCATCATTCTTAACTTATTTAAGATCTGCTTATAGATTGGCACCATTTTTAGAAGAGAAAATTAATAGCCAAATTAATTTAATAAGGAAATATTTGGATGTACATAAAACAGAGAAATAAACAAAAATGATAAATTAATAAACCCTGACTCGTCTTTGTGAATAAATGAAACATTTTAATTAACTTGTAGATAGATATCATTAAGAAGTAAAATTATTTACTAAAAAATACAAATAAATCATGGAAGAATTACATCCTTTAAGTTAAGAAGTATTGAGAGAAGAAGGAAATCAAAATTACATTTTTAATGATGAGTAATCATTTATTAATTATAATTATATAGGAGAACTATCTTAAAAACTAAAATACAAGATATTGTTAGAAAATATGCATCTGACTATTAACTAAAAGAAGTTGCATTAATGTAAGAAGAAATTAAATTGAAAGAATAAAGAAGAAAAGTAAAACCAAAAACTAAGTTATAAAGAAGAAGAACTGAATAAGCTGCTCTAACATTTCCAACTACTTATCATTGGGTGGGTCATGAGTATTTTGATACTTTCTTTTCAGCCTAATCATTAACTTTGTCTGAATTAGAGGATTGTCGTGCTTAAGGAGAAGAAGCTAGAAAAAAATTATTTAAAATTACTGGAGTGAATTAATGGAGAGATAATACTATTAAAAGTGTTTTTGAATGTTTAACTTGGATTTTATCTGCTGAATTTGATAAGAATCTAAAAAATTAAGAATTTAAATTACTTAAAGATGAACCTTGGATTGTTTTTATCAGATAAAAAAAACATAAATTTACTGATCTTTCTGAAGAAATAGTTACTCATTTAAAAGTATGGTTGAAATATTTCAGTCCAATCAGATATTAAAGAATTTGTAATTATTAGTATATATTTATTAATATAATTAATTAGTTAAGATTTTTTAAAAAGATAAAGAGAACTTGAAAAGAACAAATTGGAATTTCATCATTTAATTAGAGATCTTCCTCCTTAAAATTAATATAATGCACTTTCAAGTTTTACTAAAAATATTAGAGTAAATGAAACTTATTTAAGTAAAATTGAAAAACTTTTTGAAATGACTATAGAAAGCAATGGTAAAATGGGAGAAGAATTATATGATAATTGGTAAGAGATTGTTGATTAAGCTGATTCAATTAAATATTAATTAGGAACTCCATTAAATGAATTTATTAAAGAATTTAGACCAAATACTTTGGCTGAATTGGATCAATTATAAAATAGAAAAGCAGAAAGAAGATAAACTAAATTATCTATTGCCTGTATAGAAATTTGATATAAATAAAATATCTTATATTTTTAACAGGAAATCATTTACTTATTTTTATTTCTCTATTTTAATTAATATATAAAACTAATAAGAAAGTATAATTTTTAAGTTATGTCTGTTATAAATAAATGAAAATTTTGTTGATTTTTCTTTAATAAATAATATTTATTAATAAATTTATGTTAAGTCCTATATTTATTATATAAAAGATCGAATTTATATAAGAGAATACAAAATTGATTATTATAGTAATAATTGGATAATTTTTTCAAATCTATCAAACTCTAAAATTGGTTTTGTCCTTCTCTTTTTGAATAGAAGTAATTTTGTCAATTGAAGGTGTTTAATTATTTATATTGATTTTTTTTAACATCTAAGTATAATAATTCTTTAATTAGGGAGTTGACAATTCAACTATGCTTTTATTGCAGATTTATTATCTTTTTGGTGTTGTACTTCTTGAAGGTGTTTTATTTTCAACACCTCCTCTAGAATATCCTGAGGTTTATGATTTTGTATCTATTGATAAATTTTTAGAATGAGTTGATTATTCTTTACTCTTTTATAAAGATTTATAATGTTATACACAAAACTATAGTACTTTTTAATCTTTATTTGTAGTAGTTTGTAAATTGAAAAAGACCATTTTAAATATTTCTAAAATTTCTTCTAACTTTATTTCTTAAGAAACAAATATGTTTTGCAAATAATGATAATGTAAACATACATAAAAGAGGCTTTTCAACTATTCAGAAAATTTATCTGATCGTTAGCAAATTTCCTCTATGTTATGTAATTCATCTATTTGACTTTAATACTTTTCCTTTTATTTCTATTTCAATTCATAATTGATTCCTTTAAATTATTATAAACTTGCCAACTATTTCTAATAGTACTATATTTTGTTTTATATTTATTTGAGATATTCATTGTCATTTTTTTCCATTTTGATTTTGACAACTGCTTCTAGAGTTTCTTTATTAATTTGAATATCATGAGTTATAAGAAACTATTGTAACTTCTTTTTATTCTTTTCACTTTGTTCACCGAATATAATCAATTTATTATTATTCATAATATATTAAATTAATGCATTGGAACATGAGCCTTCTGATCTTCTTCTTCTCCACACATCCCTTATCTATTTATCAATACTTTATAGACAACTCCACAAACTTAACATTGATTCTCCTTGTTTATTTTCATTATTTCAATCAATTTCTTTTGTACATTTTCATAAGTTTGAACATACAACTAATATAATGGAACCAGCTAATTATTATTAGTAATTAATAATACATACTCCATGTTAATTCAATTAATCCATCTTATCCTTTGGTAATAAAACAACTAAGTTGTCTGTGTAACTGAAAAATGGATTTTTTTTTGCTTTAAAACACTATTAAAGGTTTCCATATTATTTTCTATGCATATTCACTGGATGCTTTGGAGGAAGCTTTTACATTGCATTAACTATATCATTGCTTGCCATTTGCAATCTTATTGAATTCTATTTACAAATAATTTCCATTAAAAATTCATAGAAGTCTTTTTCCCAATCCATTTTGGTTTAATAATAATTTTAATTAATCAAACAAAGAAAATCCATTTCAATTTAAAATATCCTAGAACTCTTTCAATAATCAAAATTATCACAATAAAAATACTAAATTTTATTAAAATCTTATTATAAATATAATAAAATTGTCAAATTTATATGTATTATTAATTTTGTATAAATTAGAACATCTATTATTATCTAATTAATGCATTTAGAATGATAAGAATAAAATAATTTTAGAAAACTTTAAAAGCAATATAATATAAGATAATTTTATACTAATATATTTAATCAATTATGTAGATTAAATATATTTATTAAATTCAATTAAATATTGTATTTGATGAACATCTTTTTGATTATATTACCATTATTATAATGAAAGTGGTTTAAATTAAAATTGTCAATATTTATTTATATATTTAGTAGTTATTGTATGTTATTTTATTTTTCATGAAAGTTGTTCTAAAAATATGCTATATATATTTTATTTTATATAAAATCTTTTATTGAAAGATGTTAGATGTAAGTAATGAAAATAATCATAAATAGAAAAAAGACCAGAGCAAGTTCTAAAATTTTCTACTTTAATTGAAAGCTTTAGTTGATTCATTTTTGACTCCAAGCCCAGAACCAGAGGAATAACCAAAGCCATAGGTCACAAAAGCAAAAAAATAAAAAAAACAAAAAGATCCTCTTGCTCCAAAAATGCCTAAATCAGCGTTCATTTTTTACTTTTAGGACAAGAAGGAAAAATTTTAATCATAATATCCAAGTCTTTATTACATGTAAAACTAGATTTACAATTTTAAGAGATCACAAAATTGATCGCTAGTGAATGGAAAGATTTGCCTAAAGAAATCCAATAGGTATCTTAACAAAAAAATAATTAGCAATATCATGATTAAGCAGAATAAGATAGAAACCGGTACTCTTAAGAATAAGAGTTATATCAAACACAATCAGGGAAATAAGTAAATGGGAAGAGTCAAACAAAAGCAAATAAATCGAGTGCGAAAAAAGAGAAAATTGTAAAAACTCTTGATCAAGAAGAAGATAATGATTCTTTTGGTGCAGACATAGGCCAGGACTGATATCTATATAAGAATATTTTAAAAATAAAATTGATCTAAATATTCGAAGGAAATAGTCAATTTTTATTAAATACTTAGTGCCTTATAAATTATAAGATATTGTTTTCTTTAAATCGACTTATTTTTTAGTTATTACATAAACCACTTTATAATTATCATTCCATTATATTATTTTTTTGAATTTTAAAAAATCTTTATCAAAATTCAGATGGACGTAAAGATAGGAAGATCGTTTAAATTAACAAAGAAATTAGGTTCAGGTGCTTTTGGAGAAATATTTCATGGAATCAATCTTAAAACAAACATGGAAGTGGCAGTTAAACTTGAACCTGTAAATACTAAGCATCCACAACTGTTTTATGAAGGAAAATTATATTAATACTTGTTACAAGAACCCTCAGTTATTGATAAAGGAATTCCAAATGTTTACTATTGTGCAACAGAGGGTATTAATTTTTAGTATAATTAAGGTGAATATAATATCATGGTTATGGATCTCTTAGGTCCATCTTTAGAAGATCTATTCAATTTATGTGGCAGAAAGTTTTCACTTAAGTCAGTATTAATGTTAGCTGATCAAATGATTTAAAGAATTGAATATGTTCATTCTAGACACTTTTTACATAGAGATATTAAACCAGACAACTTTCTAATTGGAACAGGAAAAAGGTAAAATGTATCAAAATTAATATAGAGCTCATAAAGTTTACATTATTGATTTTGGGTTAGCAAAGAGATATATTTAAAAAGATGGAAAACATATTCCTTATAAGGAAGGTAAAAACTTAACAGGAACAGCCCGTTATGCCTCTATCAATACTCATCTTGGCATTGAATAAGTAATTAAAATATTTAAACTTTAGGGAAGAAGAGATGATCTTGAATCATTAGGCTACGTCATGATGTACTTTTTAAGAGGATCTCTTCCATGGTAAAACCTTAAGGCTTCTAATAAAAAAGATAAATATGAAAAGATTATGGAAAAAAAGATTTCAACATCAATAGAAACATTATGCAAAGGATTTCCATAAGAATTAGCTACTTACTTAACATATGTAAGAAATCTGAGATTTGATGAAAAACCAGATTACAGTTACTTAAGAACTTTATTAAAGGACTTATTTACCAAGAGTGGATTTGAAATGGATTATATTTATGATTGGAATCTAATATAGAAAACAGATGGTGCTCCTGGACAAACCACAAACAATTCTTAACCACAATAGCCAGCTATCGGTTAAGTACCCGCCAAATAAGGTTGATTATCAACCTTAAAGATTATTATATATATATATATATACAAAATATTATAAAAGAAATATTGAAAAACTAAAAATCTCATTTTTATAACAAAATGAGTTGAAGAATATCAAAAAATGATTTACAAGAATTACTCTATTTTAAATGGCTAATTCTATTGCAAGTAGTTTAAATTGATGTTATTAAATTAATAGATATTACTCTGATTTTCATTAGTATTTATTGTAATTTAAGTTTAAGGAGAACATAAATAATATTATTATTCCTGAGAATTCTTATTTAAATGTATAATTAATTTAAAATTTATCATTAATTTTATAGATCATTAGACTTCAAATATTGTAATCAATTATATAAATATTTTATACTAAATCCTTTAAAATTAACAATTTCCAGAATTATTGACTTGAATCATATTCATTATTTTTTGTATTTCTAAGTTATATATTATTTGTATGATTTATTAAAATCTATTTTGTACACATTGAAAACAAACCTTATTAATATTATTTAGGGGAATAAATTGGATATAATAATTTTATATTATGCAAGTAAATTAAAATGAAGAGTTTTATCTCAGATATTAGTATAAATAAATATTTACTTTAGTGTTGGACACAAAGGTGTTTATGGACATGAATTTCTTGAATTCGAATTCAGAAATGATGGTAGATTGAGATATGCAAATAACTCAAATTACAAATAAGATGTTTTAATCAGGAAGGAATGTTTTGTTTCAGATGCAGTTATCACTGAGATTAAACGCATCATAGAAGATTCAGAAATTGTCAAGTATTATAATGCATTAAATAAAAAGGGAAAATGATTCTAAATGGCCAGCACCTGATAAAATAGGTAGATAAGAATTAGAAATTAAACTTGGAAATAATCATATTTCGTTTACTACATCAAAGCTAGGATCTATATAAGATGTACAAAATAGTTAAGATCCTGATGGCTTGAGAGTGTTTTTCTACTTGGTTCAAGATATAAAATGTTTTGTCTTTTCTTTGATTGGCCTCCATTTTAGAGTATTATTGTAATCTAATATAATTAGATAAAGCCAGTTAATTGAGCATTATTGTATATTATATATATATATAATATAAGTATATAATTAAAAAAATGATCAGAGATTGTTCACACTTAACAAATCAGCATGACTAAACTAAGTCCGCCCGTTACTTTGTCATCATTTTATAATAATTTTAATATACATTCAGGTGAATGTAGGAGTATAATCATGAGATCATAACCCAGTGCTTGTTTTCATCATTAAATAATAAATTAAATAAATTAATGAAATTATTTGTTTAAAATTATGGTTATGATTATTAAATAAATAAATTCTTTTTTTTTATAATATATGAATTAATAATATTACAAGATGTTATTGGAATCTTAATCATATCTTAACTAAGTCATTAAAACATTTACTAACAATAAATAATAAATAATAAAATAAAGAAATTTAATTTAGATAAATAAATATTTGAATATCCATTTAGATTATAAAAGTTCAAAGGTTATCTCTCATTTAATAAAATTAGAATATTAGAGAATATAATGATTTATTAAACTATATTTTATATTATAAAAATTAATAGAAAGAATTTACATTTTATATATTATTTTTTATTAGTTTTAATTTATATTGTTTTATTAATCTACCAAAAATATAACTAGAGTCATTTAATAGTTTGTTATCAATGTAGAAACCAATTCATATTAGAGTTTATATGTACTATTACTAAAAATTGATAAATAATATCATATTTTAATATAAATAAAAATTTGATGGGTATTGAACAAAATAATAAATAGATTTTTAATATCTCATATTTTCAATTACTGTTTTAAGATGGATTATAATTTTAATGAAGGAATCAAGATTATATAAAGATAGAGAGGATGGTTAAATGCCACTTAATAAATCATAATAACTTATGGTGAAGGAGAGATTAAAAGCTCATTAATAAATTTAATTGTCTGAATTAAAAAATGAATAACTATAATATATGAAGGAGAGAGCATACTGGACAATTGGAGAGGAAGTGATATTGTTAAAGTATGTAAAAAGTCATGATAATCAATAATGGAATTGGGATGGATTAAAATAAAAGTTGAGAAAAAAAGATGGAAATGATTGTCAAAAGCGATATGATGAAATAAGAAGACCATAAGATGGAGAATATGAAAAGCCTGAAACTCCTATAGATAAAAGTTGGGATTAGAAAAAAGAAAGCATTTTGTTATATTGTTATATGAAATATTAAGGTCAATGGGGAAAGATATAAAAAAGAATCAACGAATTTAGTATTTAAGAATTACAAGATAAATTAGCTGAAGTATTTAAATATTTAAAGTTTTTAGATATAAAGTTCAAGAAGGTTGAATAATTAATGGAATATATGTGGAGACTATTAATTATTAGAAGGAATAATGAAGAATAAGAAATTATAGGAACTAGAAAGTTAATTAGGAAAGAATTAAGAAGAAATTACAAATCATGTGAAGGAAATTTTAGAAGATTTAGGAAAGAAATTTAGGATTACAGAAAATGATTATGTAAGTGATAAATCAGAGGATTCTGAATAGATTCGAGAAAGAATTCAAATTGTAAGTAGCAATAATAGTGAAGGAAGTGGATATAATAGTTCAGATAATTGAATTTATAAATTAATATTATTTATGAAATCAACTTATGATATAATTTTAAGTAAAGATGCAAATATCTTAAATCTAAAATATTCATTAAATTGAAATCTATTTATTTGTTATTTTGTGTAAAACACAACCTTAATATATGTGTTTGAACTCTATCAATAGAATTTAAATAATTACATCATTTACTTGAAAAAATTACCGTTAAATTTTCAATATCTCAAATTATTCAATATTTCAAAAGAATAACACTTTTATTATACATTATTATTTCATTATATGTAATTTTAATGAAGAAAATAGAGAAAATAAAAAATATATTTAAAAAAAATAAATTTTTGAAACAAATTTGCTATTCCATTATTGGATGAAACAATTATTATTGTTATCGAAAATGATAACATCACATTAAACTTTTTATGTGTATAATAATTTATAATTAATTTCTAGTTTTCATGATGAAATTTTTGTAAATTAAAGGTCTTTTGAATGGAAACATTATTAGTCATCGAGACTAAAAGTAAAAGGTTTGCTAATGAATTCATTAGGATCTTTGAAATAATAAGATTATATACATTTCCCTTTAGTTAGAAGATAATATTGAACTTCAATTCCCAAAATGATTTTATTTATGTCTATATAATAGCTCATGTGAAAGATTTTCTAATTATTTTTCATATCTTTATTATTTTTTAATTTTTTTTGTATGAAATCATGATTGCTCATAAGGATTACGACCGAAGCTTAGGAATCTGTTTACAGGAGAAATTAAATTTTCCTTTGTTCCCATTTATTTTCTAGTATAATGAATTACTTTATACTTATTGTCATTGCTATATCATTTTTCCAATTTAAAATACGATTTGGACCTTTCTCCCATTAAATATAACTTTAACTTTATAGAAAGTAATCTCCAATTGCATATTTATATTCAAAAGGGTTTTGAAATACATCATATGATATTTACCATAGAGAATCCTTAAAATCTACTGACATAATTTTACCTATATACAATTCATACGACACATTCTATCAACAACCCAATTTGATTGAGAATTGGCTAAGTACAAGGCTTATCCGTATTTTAGTATAATATCTAAATTAAATTCAACAAAGGGCATTAAATATAAGTTAATTATAAATTTTATTAAAAGTCCTTACGAATTTAAATTCAATTTGATCTAACTGTCAACTTGTATTATTAAACAAGGTATATAAAAATTAGCAATACAACTATGTTCTCTTCTTAAATATAAAAATATAAATAATTATTTATCCTTGTTTTTTTAATTAAATTTCAATGGAAAATAAAATAATATAGTAATCAACATTAATATAAAATATAACTCTTTGCTTTAATTATAATTTGGTATTTGATTCTAAAGTACATAAATAATAATGAGACTTATTTAATCCCTCCAAATTTTATTAATAAAATTATTTTATATACATATTTAATCCCATTATGAATAATGTAATGATTAATCTAGCTGTTAATAAAAATAACAATACATTTGTAAATTATAAAATTGTTAAATAATAAAATATAATTACATTATTTAATTCAATAAATATTTAAAGTTAATTAAAACTTAATTATATAATTGCAATAATTATTTCTAAATTTACATTGATAAATGTAAAAATAAAATAAAGTCATTAGAAACTATTCATTTTTACAAGGGAGGGAGCTTAATTGTATTTTTTAAAACTTTCATTAGAGTATTTTTCCTAAATTTAAGGGATCTAAAAATCATCTCTTTGCTCTTCTTATTTTTCTTGTATAGGTGATTAGCATATATTATTATTAATTGTTTTCTTTCCTTTAATCTTTTCAGAGGAAAGATAAGAATCAAAAGGTTTGAGTTCATACATCTCTTAAATCATATTTTTAATTTCTGCTATATATTTATGCTAATTATAAATATTCCACATTGTACTTTTTATTCGATTGAACTGATTTTATTATAATGAATGATTTATAGTGTGGCTTCATTTTAGAGGAAGGAAATAAAAAGATCTTTGAGTAAATTCTTACAAAGCTTAGACTCTTTGGGTTCATTGACTTAAACTTGAAAGCATCTTTGTAAATCTCCTAATTCAAATCGTTATTATTTTGATGTCTAGATAATGGTTTAATTGAAATATACTTTAGATTCTTAAACATTCTGTAAATATTTGTAAGCAGCATCTTGCTCCATCATTTTGGCCCACTTCTTAAAACGAGATAGGAAGAAATGAGGGATGCGCCTAAGGTGTAATTAGTGTATTTGGATACCTTCTAAAGTCTTGATCTTCTTTGATGTCTGGGTTTGGGTAAGGATGGGAAACATTATTTGATTTCTCAGAGTCGGAATTGACTGAGGATAAATAGGGGATGGAATACCACGTATTTTTCTTGAAGAAGTTTATTAAGGGTTGAGTTATTGTTTGATATCGTCGTGAAACCTTTAGATGATGGAGAGAGCATTGGCAAATGAGTTGAATTGATCTTCATCAGCTTCAAGGATGATTTTTTTGTTTTTTTGTTCAAGGACCTAGGAAATAAAGATAAGAGTTAGATAAAGTACTCGATATTTGAAGAGAGAAGGCTCATTATTGGTTTTCATTTATTATAATTAATGAGAATGCGTAATTAGATTGCTGTATTCATCAGGGGGTCTTGGCTTAAAGGACTTGGATGATTTCATGGTATATCTGCAAAGGTATAATGTCAATACGATTTTGCCTAATCCAGGCTTATATTTTTCTATTTTCCTGAAAGTACGCTTAATCTTCAAAGTTTCTTCTTTAAGTGATTCGACGTCCTCTCGTATTGGTGTTCCAGTGGCATCTAACTTAAGGGAAGTGACAACTCGATTGTGTGTGTAATTAAGAGTTTCACAACTGGCTTATTGTTATTCTCCACTAAGCATTCCAGCTCTTTCGAGTAATTCAAAAAGTAATTAAGTTTTTTTGGCATTTCTAATGAAGGGATGAGTAAGTAACTGAGTAGCAGTTGGTCTTAAACGAGGATCTCTTTGTAGACATTGATGTACAAAATCAATCATCTCGTTTGGATAGTCTCCACTTAATCTTGGAGGTTATTGGACTATTTTAAAAATAACCTTCTAGGGTGGTACATCTTCATAAGGAATCTTGGAAGTTATTAATTCAAATGCAGTGATACCAATAGCCCAGATATCAGTTTTTTGATCAGTCAATGAGGATTAAATGGTCTAATAGAATGAGAAGGTCTCTTACTTCAGGAGCCATCCAATAAGGGAGACTGAGGATGTGGGATTATGATTTATTGATGGTATCAGCAAATTCCTTATTGGTGGAGAAATAGGAGAGTTTGACTTTGGCTTCTTGGGAAAGGAAAAGATTGGCAGCTAAAAAAGAGATTTAGGGTAAAAATAAAACTCACATTTAATATGTCGATGTACAAGACCTTCCTAATGGATCTCTTATACACCAAGCAAAAGTTCTCTTATGATTACTTGAACATATTGAGTCTCCAAAGTTTGTTTGTTGATCTTAAACAAATGAATCAAATCTTTTAATGATCCTCCAGCAAAGTATTCCATAACAATAAAGAGTTTGCCATCTTGTCCAAAACACTTATCAACCAAGCAAATATTTTTAAAGGGTTTAGTACGATATGTTTAGACAGCTTAAGCCAATTCTGCCTGATTGACTAAATTGATGACTTTAATGGCCACGATGAGTCCTGTTTTCTTGTCCAGTCTTGAATGATAGGATTATGAGATTACGCTTTATAAACAGTGGAGTAGTCTGTACGGTCTAATGCACAAAGAATATCATAATCTTCAATAGAATGTATTTAGTGATCCAGACTAATGAAATTCATAATTACATACAAAATAAATCAATGATATTATGCTATATATGTACACTCAATACCAAACTCAACTCATTAAATGAAATAAGCTTTAATTTTTAAACATGAATCTCCAAACGTCAAAGCTGATTTCCATGAGAATGATACTAAAGACCCTATCAAGATCCTTCAATCTATTTATGATTAATATGATGCATAGTTTGTAGAAGAGATTATACTTGAAGAACTCGAAATACCTGAGATTACACCTGAATTGAGAGATAAACTCTAAGAGTTTCCTAATGTTCATAGTTTTGGCATTAATAGATGTGGATTATAAAGTCTAACAAATTTTCCATCCTTCAAACATTTAGTCAGATTCTAGGCTGATGGTAATCTTATTAAAGCTAAATAAATTGGGTATTTGAAGAAGTATACTGAATTGCGTTCTATTTCTTTAATTTGTAATTAGATTGATGATCCAAAAACAATGATCAAATATTTAAAGGAAATGAAAATAACTTAACTTAATTTATATGGGAATCCAATGCAAGACTATTTCAAATTATTTTTTGATGAAATACCCTCTTTGATTTACTTGGATAATTTACAGAAGACAGGTGCAGAAGTTTATTATGATTATGATGATACAAATGAATTGAGTAAATAGGATGGTTATATCTGTCCTAATTACAAGGAATACAAAAGTTGATGAATGTTTATTATATAAAATAAGAATAAATTTAATTAATTATATGGCTTATAATAACGATTTCCAGGATCTCTTGCCAGATGACTAAGAAGAATTTGCTATGAGAATGCCTGTCAAGAGTCATTTATAGAGGTTGGATGTAAGTAAGTCTGCTAAAAGTAGCAATTATTATAATCATTAATGGATGAATTGGATATGGTTAAAAAGGAGAAGGAGTAATTGCGTAATAATTTAATTGAGTTATCTCAAAAGACTAGTGATTCATTTGATGATGCAAATAAATATTTGAATGATGAATATCGAAGATTGATGTAGGAGTTTCATGAATAAAATGCTTTGTAATTGGAATAACATCAATTTTTAAAATAATAAGTTGATTAGATAAATTAAGACAGAATAAAATTATAGTAAAATACTATTGTACTTGAGAACAGAGTTTAAGATTCAGAAAAGGAATTGGGATTTGTTTGATTATTATTATTATTATTATTATTATTATTATTATT